ATTGGGACTAACACACCGCTCCAAAGGACCAGAAGACTGAGAAAGGAAAGAAACTTGGACAGAGGGCGGGATAATCTTGGGCCCCCAATGTATCCATTCACTCATCCCTTCGGTAACTGGAAAGACGGGTGAAATGATCCCGCTATACCCTGCACGTAATCGGGTCACGCAGGAGTGGATACCAAGAGAGGTAGACTAGTTTCTCCAATGAGCATCCCGGTTTAAAGAATTCGCTTCTACCTTGGTTGCCACACCGCCGTCGATCCATAGGAATCAAATTCCCCAACTCTGCTGTATTGGGGAAGAAGATACGGCGGGACTCCGAAAGCGCAATTGCAGCAGGATGGCACCCTCCTAACTTGAAACAAACTTACTCAGTCACTACTTGTTGGTTCACCCAATACCATTCCAGATCTGCATGTTTTTGAGCAATGCCTGCTTGTCAATACGAAGGCTGTAGAGTAGGCCTGCTTTTGTTCTCCAAATCGGTCCGATAGACTTGCTTCTCCCAATGAACATTCAATTGCAATCATGTCATGGGTCACTTTTCTCTGGTGGAGTGGAAACGACGGCACACATTTCTGGTGCATGAAGATGTTTTGCGTGCATGTGAGGGACAGTGCATTCTGCCTAACCGTCTTGTGTTCATCCCGCATGGAGCATCCGGTCTAACCAAAAGTGGAAATGGCCTACCGGTACTTTCTAGCGCAAGGGTCTCGGCTCAATAGACTACGCCAGCATACGTTCGATCTTCACTGCGCAAGGTGATGCAAGGGTGTTTGGATCCTTGTTTGGATAATCGGATGGTGTTTGCGTAAGGGAATCGGCGCATTCTCATTGAAGCTGGGCTGAGGTCTTGGTTGAAGTCGTGCGATACGTACGTGATAGGTAAGGATATACACGTTGGTTTCGTGTATACCAATCAAATTCATAGTCGTTGTAATGATCGGTAGTCAAGGGCACGGCAGTCGCCCCTCGATCACTCCACAGTATGACGTTGGATGTCAAAAAAGCCCATTCGCATATTGTTGATGTTGCAATACCCGAGTATGCTTACGGTATCGAGAAGTCGGCTGGATAATCAGTGTGACACAGCATTCCCAACGGCCGAACAGATACATATGTAGATAGAGTAGGCAGACACAATACGGCATGCCCGATGATAGCAGCATGGAACGTAGGTCTTAGCTAGAGCCTGGGCGAGGCTTGACAACTTGACCATAGAGGAAGGAACATAGAGGATAAGCACTGAACACCTAAGCAGTCGGGAAAGAAACACCTTGTTGGATACCATTGTGAACATCATACAAAGAGCTTCTCTTCCACGTAATGCTTTTGAATCCAATACGTAATGCATGTTGTGACGGGTGATCGGTAGGAAGTCAGCATGTGTTGAACGTTTTAGGATTCGAATAGGGCGCACATGTTGAATATTCAGAGAAAGCCAATGACACCGATTGAATGCGTACGGCTTAGAACGACAGTCTGTGGGTAATACTCAGGTCCATCCCGCTCTGGTGGTCATAAGTGAGGATGGTGTAAAGGCCCATGCCGCAATCACTCGTATTGAAGTAGACAGCCTATTTCCAAAGTCAACAAATTCCTGTCTGGCCTTTCATGCATTGGCTGTTGTTTGACCGGTTCGATAAGAACAATTACCAAATCGACGTGTAAGATGCAGAACATAATTCGACTTTGGACGAATGAACGATATTACCGTTCAGAAATGATGCTGCATGGTCAGCAGGGGTGCATGCATGTCAATTTTAGCCCGGAATTGCGAAGATCGGCCCGCGGAGAGACTGTTCGGGACTGGAGGTTGAGCTTGGATGTTGAGCTTGCGGGGCTATGGCTCACGACACCTTGCACCCACGTGACAGGGAATGCATGCATGCAGACGGGAGGGATCAAGCCCGAGTCCAGTAGCCGACATGAGTGACTGTCTGGTCCTGTCGATCAAAGTCATGGTCTCACTCAACGTAGAGCGTGGTATTAGTGCAGTAGTGTAGGTATTGATTTTCTGCAGACGCCACAATACCAGGTTTTAGCAAATCCTGCTGTGCACCCTGTCTAGACGTGCGTCAAGGTACCTGTCTCATGATATGGTAACCTCGAGACTGCACGACTGCAGCAACGACGTAGAAAGTGTACCGGTCCTCTGCTCCCGGAGAGTGGTATGGACACGGCAATGAGCAAGCGGCAACCTCCTCCACCGCTGGTCTCTCACTTTTTCTTTTTGTCCTTGATCTTCTTTTTAGACTCTGCCCCACTACTTGCCCCGCTGCCGCCTGCCTCGCCTGTCATCTCGGCCATCATGTCCTGCAAAAAGTTCTCGCTGACACCACCTCCTGTCAGGGCTGGAGAGTGCAAGGGGAGAATCTTGTTCATCTTCCAGCCCTTGGGTATCGCTGGCTCTGGCATCTCCTTGGGCATGGGTAGGCCTGCAATTGGCAGTCGGAAGGGAGTGTTCTTCTGTGTTGGGTTCGCCTTGAGGGCTTGCGAGATGAGGATGTAGAGGTGATGCTTATTTTTGATCTGCTGGTGCATGTTCTTGCCCTCGTGCTTGAGCAGGACGCGTACCCTACCGGGGTTGCTCCAGTCCTTGGGGTGGGTCTTGTCGGGCTCGAAGACTGTCCTCAGGCCAAGGTCTGCTGCCGCGTCTGCCATTTCCCGGGCAAGAGGATTCTCCACGGCCAGCTCCTTGCCCACACGACGGCCCTCTGCCCTACTTCGTGATATATCAAAGTATATGGGGTACAGGCATTGGTAGTGTTTTGACTTTTCGCGGTCCGTCGTCGTCTTGATCGAGGGCGATTGGGGCTGCAGCATCTGCGAAGCCATGGCGGGCGGCATCATGGTTGTGTTGCCGGTACTGGGCGCATTACTCGCATTCATCAGGTAGGGCACGTCGTCAATGTCCATCTCGGATGGCTCGCTGTCCGAGTCGCTGACCTCTTCGACGCGGGGATTCATCTTGTCGGACGTGGTGGCAGTGCTTTTCCGGTGGACGCTGTGCATGGGTCAGAGGTCGTGTGGGTGCGTACATGGTACATCGTCTACGGCATGTTGCCGTCGGCCTCACTCACCTGACGTAAGCCCGTCGACTGTAATGGGCAACCAAAGGTGGTGAATGTCGGCCACGGCCACGGCGGCGGTTGGACGAATGTGGGGAAGCTAGAGGGACGGGCTTGGCAGCGAACGAGGCACTGCCGGTCCGGGTCGGCTTCTCGTTTCTCTGCGCTACGGCCCGGGTGCTGGCCTTGCTCCGTCTCCGTCTAAGGCCCTTGATTGATAACTCCCATCCTCTAGCACCCCTCGGCCAACACTGACGGACCCAGTGAATTTTTTTTGGCCCTTCACCGCATGTTGGCGCTTGCAAAGACCCAAGCCTTCGCTGCAGGGTCATGGCCACGATTGATTACCTGCTAATATAGCAGGGCCTGACGACTGTGGCCCTCGCCGCCACCCCCAAGCCGCCTTCGCTTCACTTGCTAGCGGACGCTCTGCTGCAAGAGCCCCCCTCCCAATCGCTGTCCCAAAGTCGAACCCTGCCGTCTGCAGGCTTGCTTTTTCCCGCCGCCTCGTGCCGTCATGTCATGTTGGTGTCACGGAGTTGCATGTGGTGGCAGCCAGTCTCCGTACACCCGGCTCCTCGTGGACCTTCCAAGCTGAGTAGAGTCCGACTATTTCAGGTCAACTATGAACGTACGAGTATAGACGCATTGGCGTCACCTGGCATGTCTCCATCGAATCATTGGCCGACGGTCAGCTTCCGTATCCAAGATGTCGTCGAATGCTTCACCTTAGTGTCTTCGTGTCATCTTGCGGCTATTCACCCCTACCAGAACTTCCAGTCTGGCCATCGCACAGAGTCACGTCAACTCGCCAGGCATTCGCGAGGCCACTAGCCGTCCACGACACCGGTCAGCCCCCTGTGGAGGCGCTTGCAGCGGCATGCACCAGACTTGCCTTGCCTTGCCTTTGGCTACTTTGGAGTACCTCTGCTTCTGGTCTGCAATGACGAAGCACTCTTGTCAATTGACAATGCTTGTTTGTCTTTTTTTGGCAACCATTTCAAGCTGACTGTGTTGACATGTTCCCTTCTAGCCTCGTTACACAAGATAAACGGTTAATTCTGATCCGATCGCCCTGGTACCTACTAGACGCATGCGGATGTTGCAGCAGCAATCTTGCCCACCCTACCACACAGGGGTCTCTTGAAATCCCCACATAACCATGTGGCAACAGCGCATTATCGTGTGCATTTGGGTCCAACTAACGCGATGCTACTTCTGCTTGGTTCGGGTGCTACATCCTCCCACATGCCTCTGTGGCTGCCCTGGCAGCAGGGCACAACCCATGGCCACAGGGCATAACCCATGGCTACAGGTTCCGCTATGTGTGCAGCCATTGTGCCTGTCCTCGGGGCGTCCGGCGCCTTGCCCTGGCATGGCTGCAACTGTGCCGCCCTACTCTGGTCTTACACACAAAATTGTCCATGACACAGGGCTGACAGTCGTTTGATAACGTTGGAAACCACATGCTGTATGCAAGAGTGCCACAGTCAGAGGTGATTGGCCGACCGGGTATACCTCTGGTAAGCAGTTGACCGTTGAGTTTCCGCGAGAATGAATAAGCCCGTGACTTTCCCAGCGCAACGCATGCGCAAGCTTCTTTCAACTTTTCAGCTAGTCATAAGCCAAAGCCATTTATCGGGGAAAAGTGCCCCGACTCTAGTCTTCCCGCGCGGCTCGGAATATCAGACTGGATTCGGGTTGCCGACTGTGCAAACTATGGTCCTAGTGACCTGGGCCCTGATTACGTGGTAGACTCTCTGCTTCCAAAGGAAGCTTTACCGGTCATGCCGCATTGTGGTTCCATGAATAGCCTTCGTGGTATAAAGAGTAAGGTAGCCCGCTCCGGTTCTCAAGGTTCGTTAGTTCCGCTTCTGATTTATTGTGTCAATCCACTCAATTCTTTGTGAGAAACATATCTATATCATGGCGCCAGCCCTGTTGCTCGATGAAAGCAGTAGCCCCTGCACAGTGTCTGTTGCCAGCGCTTCACCATCGACGGACAATTGCACTCCAGTAATGGCGGCTTCGTGGAATCGTCAGAATCGCCGGAGTCCACTTCTCAAACGTAGTGTGAGGAGTGTCCCACTCTGGCTCACGAGTGCAAAAGGAAGCTGGCTATCAGTTACCGATGGCACCAAGACCTGGAAGTTGTTTGATGCTTCTGGTGGGGCTGGAGTGTCCAACATTGGCCATGGCGACAGGCGAGTTCATGAGGCAATCAAGAGACAAGAAGAAACGGGAGTCACCTACGCAGCTTCTATGAGCTTCGATACAGAGGCAGCGTGGGAGTTTGCAGACTACCTTGTCGAATCGACAGGCGACGAGATGGCTGAGGTGGCCTTCTACAGTTCAGGTAATGTGAAGTGGATGAACATTAGAACCAACAAGCTCACATGAGGCAGGCTCTGAGGCTACCGAGGCGGCTAAGAAGCTGGCATATCAGTACCACTCCAAGTTGAAGCAAGAGGGCCAATCTGGCCGACGATGGTTCATTGCTCGTGATCGATCATATCACGGAGCGACGCTGGGTGCTCTCGAAGTCAGTGGGCACAAGGGACGGAAAGACATGTACAAGCAGATTCTGCCTGACAACACGCAATTTGTCTCTCCATGCAACCCATATCGAGATATGAAGGATGGGGAGACTGCAGATGAGTATGTTAAGCGGCTGGCAGAAGAGCTCGAGAGCAAGATTTGTGAGCTTGGTGCGAACACGGTGGCGGGATTTTTTATGGAGCCAGTTGTGGGTGCGGTGAGTTGTGCACTAGGGTTTGGATACTTGGTATAGCGGTTCTGATGACTGACATTGGTACGTAGGCACTTGGCTGCGTTCCAGCATTGCCTGGCTACCTGACGGCCATGAAGAAGGTGTGCAAAAAGTACAATGTACTCTTCATCTTGGACGAAATCATGTGTGGCATGGGGCGTACGGGCTACATGCACGCTTGGCAAGAGGAGGGGGTGGTTCCAGATATTCAGCTGGTGGGCAAAGCGCTTGCGGGGGGCTATGCAGCAGTTTCGGCACTGCTCGTTAGTGCGGATATTGTCGACACCCTTGGGAATAGCTGCTTTGCTCATGGCCACACGTTCCAGAACTTCCCAGCGGCATGCGCCGCCGGTCTGGCGGTGCAGCAGATTGTGCACCAAGATCATCTTGTGGAGAATGTCAAGGATAAAGGGGACAAGCTAATGAAGAAGTTAGTGGCGCGCCTTGGCGATCATCCCAACGTCGGAAACATACGTGGAGCAGGTCTCTTCCGAGGAGTAAGTTTGGCAAGATGTTCAAGTGCCGGTGAAGCTGAGCTGAGTGTGACAGATTGAGTTTGTACGCGATAAAAAGAGCAAGGCGCCATTTGACTCGGAGGCAGCCATAGCGTGGAGAATTCACGAGAAAGGTAGGTTTGCCTGGAGTTGCCATTGGGGCATTGTGGAATGCTGATCTATGTGTACAGGGCTGAGAGACGGATACAACGTCTACGTTTACCCAGGGTCCGGGACTGTTGATGGCGAGCGCGGAGACCACATCATTATTGCCCCACCCTTCAACATTACGGACAGCGATGTCGACACGATTGTTGAGAGCGTGGGCAAGTTGATTTTCGATTTCTTTGAAGACATCAACAGCCCGCCCAAGTTGTAGTCGTGCAGACTCGATATGTCGGCGTCGAACTGTTGCTATGGTCGAGGGGTGTATATTTGGATGGGTCACTACGAATGATGATGATGCACGAATTTCCTTCATGTTTGTTTTCCATGGCGGCTGCCATGGCCAGTATCTGGTTTGGAATCATGGACGGGCAGTTGGCAGAAAAAATTTGCATGGGATCGGCTGTTTGAACATGGTGTCTCGAATGGGGGCTGTCTGACTATTGATTGAGAGCGTACTGTATTGAAGCGTACTCTAGTACGTGGACGAGGATAAACTGTCCTTTTGCGAGTCAGGGTTCTGTCGGCACACTCGTTCAATGGCTTTGTTTTGGTCGGAGTATGTCTTGTTGTCAATTGGTACACGGGTAGATAGCCAAGAGATTGATCGGCTTTGGCATAGGAAGCAATGCGAAGTGGAGTGGACGGCATTTTGAATGTAGTAGACTGGGGCAACGCAGGCCATGGTCGGGCTTGCTATCCACCAATGGGTGATGTGTCTGGCACGTGCCGAGAGGCAATTGCGCCGCCGCCATGATTGCAGAAGGTCACCCACGACTCAGCCTTGGCGGCTATACCAGCGCTAAGACGCAACAAGGAGGCGCACAAGAGGGCGCGTCGAGGCGGCTGACAGGCAGCGGATGGGGAACGGATGGATAGGATAGAGGGCCATGGGCCATTGAGCCGGGAGCTTGGACGCGGACGCAGGCGCAGACGCAGACGCAGACGGGCTCTGGGAGTGGGAGCAGAAGCGCAGGTGGTGGAGGGCGAAGAAGGGCAGACGTTGGACGATGACGTTATTGGGTGCAGTAGCAGAGTGGAGTGCAGCCGTGCAGCAACCGTGAGGCGAGCAGTGGGTGGGCTGAGTAATGGCTGAGCCAAGCAGTACCGATGGGGCATGCTGCAGCAGGTCTCACCTCAGCCTATATACTCAGGCACATGCGGCGAGGGAGTAGTTGCGTTCCTGGAGCAATGAGTGTACTTACAAGTGCAAGTGTGTAACAGCGGATAGCAGAGCGACATGGACAAGGACAAGGACAAGGAGAAGGAGGGAACTGTGTCATGGTCAGAAAAGGGTGTTTTAGCGTTAGTCGAGCTGCGGCAGGGACCGCGCTCGTATTCAGGCGTGATAGCGGAAGCGACAGCAGCCAAATCGGGGCACATGGTAAAGTGTATATATTGGAGCTACATAGTTATATAATAGACTACTATATATCCGACGACAACACCGACGACGATGAAGACGGCGGCCGAACAAAGGCATTGGACAAGTTGCTCTCCCCAGGTTGATCGTGGGGGACATGATCGGGCCTAAACAATTATGTGCAGACGCCTATTCTCAACAAAAGACGACTTGGCTGCAAGGTAAGGCTGGTTGGACAAGCAGATGACATGCTCCATGGGCGCAGGACCGTTTGTTTCTCGTGACCATGCTGCGCGCATATCGCTTCACTTTGGCGGCGTCATAGGAACCGATAGGCGGTGTCTTTTGGGCCGAATTGCTGCATGTAGTGTAGTTGGCAGGCAGGAATTAGGTAGGTAATCAGAGGTAGGGTACTCTACACAGTAGACGGGTAGAGAGCCGCACGGCTTGTTCTCCGTCTCCTGTGGGCTGGGCATTTGGACGTGTGCGACGGTTTCGAGACGGAGACTGAGCCGGAATTGTGGTTGTGTGTGTAAGTAGATGACTGGATTCATGGATAGATGGTGGATGGAGGGACAGAGCAGCAGATGACTGGGTGTCGCCCCCCCTCCCCCTTGGGGCTATTCCTGTAGAGTCGCAAGCTCAAACTCTGACCTGCCCAGGCCCGTCGTCCTGACCTGGCTCGAGGGTGGCGCGAGACGCGAAAGAGAGACGGTCGCTGGCGTGCCGCGAAAGCGAATGACGACCAAGTGGACCGCACAGGCCCGGCTTCTCACCACAGACTCCGCAAGTGTCATCTCGACCTTGGCTGCCCTCCGTCTGGCGACCACGACGCTTTTCTGCCTTTTGCCTGGGCATGTGTGACTACGTACAGCCTTTGTGCCTCGCCCCTCGCCCTCTGCTGCTACCACACAACACACCCGTCCTAGCCCGCCCAGCTGACGCCGCTCTGGCTCACGCACTCCCTCCAAGCGACGTGAAGGCCCTTTCTTCTCCGCACCCCCGGAGACTCTGAGCGAGAGAGAGCGCCCTCGACTGGCCAGGCCTGCCACCATAGCACCCGCACCCACACACCCACCACCACCACCAACACCACGTCCGCGCCCACGAGTGCATCGCCATCTGCGCTGCCTCTTGGTCGCCCGTCTCGCCGTCCTCGCTCCCGCTGCTCGTCTGGCAGTGCTCGCATCCAGGGCTACCCTGCGCCGTCCAGCAGCCTCGTCGACGTGCCTGACCCGCTAGGCTGCGCAGAGCGAAAGCAGCGTCACGACGTCGCTTCTCGAATGCCCCGGGACGACGGCCCAACCATGTCTACGCCCTCCACCGCCACGGCCACACTCCCGCCCCATCATCAGTTTTATTCGCACCACCACGCTTACCAGCCAAACATCTCCAATGCCCAGGTTGCCAACGGCTCTGGTCGGATAGGCAATTCGCTCTACAACGGCTACGCTAGCGGCTCCTCGACCTCTGACCTGCGCCGAACCGCTGCATCTGCAACTGCAACTGCCCACAACAGACAACCCCCCCAGCTGCCTCCCATCCCTCACCCAGCCCCGATCGACATGAGCGCGACCGACGCCGGCTCGGCTCATCGACGCCGGAACCCGGACTGGGCCGATTTTTACAAAAACGGCATCCCTAGAGAGGTCATTGTTATCGACGACGACGACGATGACGACGCTGCACACGCTGCTGCAAACTCTTCAGCGCGCCATGCAGACAAGAAGCGCAAAACAACCGCGTCGACGGCCTACGACCCCATCTACAACCAGCATACCTCGTACTCGACCACCCAGACACCCTACTACGACTCGCCCAACCACTCGCTGTCCACCGACAGGACAACCTCTGCCCTCAATACCACTGCGCCCACCTCGCTTGGCTCCCAGGTCAGCAACGGCCACAACATCTCGCCTCACGACACCACGGCCGCTGGCCAGAAACGGAAACGCACACGCGCCGTGGTCCAGGACGAAGCAAAGCAGGCCAAGCGACGAGAGCTAGATCAACACGACGACCCCTTTAGCCTCTACCAGCCACCGCCCAACCCAGTCATCAAGGCCAAAGATGTTTATGTTCAGGTCATCCAAGACGTAAGTCACACACACATATACCCACTTCTTGTTTCAAAACACCAGATACTGACGCGACCCAGAAATCATACAACAAGGACCAAAAGGTCGATGACGAAGATGGCCACTACATTGTAGTCCCAGATGCCGACCTCACCGAGCGATGTACGTTGCTCTCACACCGCCATGCGTTACTGTAGATGCTGATACCTGACCAATAGACCAAATCACAAAGCTGCTCGGCCAGGGCACATTTGGCAAAGTTGTTCAGGCTTACGATAGGCGAAAAGGAACAAACTGCGCCATCAAAGTCATCAGATCTGTGCCCAAGTACCGAGACGCCAGCCGTATCGAACTGCGAGTGCTGTCGACATTGGCCTCCAACGACAAGCACAACATCAACCGATGCATACACCTGCGAGATTGCTTCGACTACCGAAACCATATCTGCATTGTTACTGACCTCTATGGCCAAAGTGTGTTTGACTTTCTCAAGTCGAACGGCTTTGTGCCATTTCCCAGCTCTCACATCCAGAAATTTGCCAAGCAGCTCTTCACCAGCGTCGCCTTCTTACATGATCTCAACCTGATCCACACGGACTTGAAGCCAGAAAACATCTTGCTTGTCAATAACAACTACCAGACTTTTACGTACAATAGAACTGTACCATCATCGTCTACCACGGTCAACAGGACCGCACGACATCGCAAAGTCCTTCTTGACCCGGAAATCAGACTCATTGACTTTGGATCGGCAACCTTTAATGACGAGTACCATTCGTCGGTTGTGTCAACCCGTCACTACCGTGCACCAGAGATTATTCTCAACCTAGGCTGGAGCTTCCCCTGCGACATTTGGAGTATCGGATGCATCCTGGTCGAGTTTTTCACTGGCGACGCCCTGTTCCAGACGCACGATAACCTTGAGCATCTGGCCATGATGGAAGCTGTCTGCAGCGGTAAGATTGATCGGGATATCGTACGAGCCGTCTATAAGCAAGACCGTGGATCATCACGCAATTCGGCAAGCTCGTAAGTAGCCACATGCATTGTGCCTAAGAAAGTTTCTTTGCTGACATGACTAGTGCTGCGAGATATTTTAAGAATTACAAGCTCGACTACCCCAACGCTGAGACCAACAAGGCGTCCAAGAAATATGTCAAGGCGATGAAGAAGCTCCCCGTACGTCCAGCCACAATGCATGACTTGATGACGACTAACGTTGTACAGGAAACCATCCCAGCCCACACCGACTTCAACAGGCAATTCCTCGATCTATTACGACGCATCTTCGTGTATGACCCCAAGAAGCGAATCACAGCCAAGGAGGCTCTACAGCACCCTTGGTTCAAGGAATCGCTCATGGACGATGGAACAGAGGCCCACAAGATCAAGCTAGAGCGAGAGAAAAAGGCCCGCCGGGCGGAAGAAGAGCGCCGATTCCGTGAACAGCAGCGACAGTACTGAGGCGGCCTCATCTTTGACGTTCTTGGACAGGAACGTCGTTGTATAGATATCGAGTTCCGCCGTGTTGGTGAGGGATGCAATAATGGCGGTGGTTTTGTCTTTTGCTTCACATCTACCGCATTTACGACAGCGACATGACGCATGGAGAGAAAGGTTTACTCTAGCTCTCATACCGGACTTATTGGCGTTATGTGTGTTCTTTTGTTATCTTGGATTACCAATTATTCTCCCGTCTTTCCTTTTGTTTGGTTTCCGCGCGCCCACGGAAAAGTATTGTTTTGTCTTGCGCGCTTAGCATAAGAACAAATCTGTATACCACAATGTCTGCACGTGCAGCTTCGGGAGGGCGGCAGGGAAAGCTTGTACTTGAGCGGTGGCTCAGGGGCCACGGTTCGTCGTCATCATTATTACCATTGCGGGGAGAGCGCCATGTTGTAGTATGCACTAGACAATGTCTCGTGCCATACATGTGGTTGCGTTGTATTATATAGGATTGGAAGAGGTGGTGCTAGAGGCACTGTATTGCGTATCACGATAGTTGAATGGGCTGTATGCAATCAACTGCAGTTATGCATTCCTCACTTGTCAGCAATCATCACATGTCTTGTTTCCGTTTGCTCAAGATGGATGGTCAAAGAATAAAGTAGTATTCGGGAATGGTAACCGCTGCCCCCGAAATCATCAATTTCCCCTCATGTCTCACCTGCCGGCTTGCAGTCTTCCGCACGCAAGGGTTCCAAACGAAGCGGCCTTAGCGAGGCCCGCCTAGCGCGTGTGCGACCCTTGTTCGTCGTCAGACGCCCGTTGGGGTAAACACACGTCCCCCTCTCGGCGCGTGTCGCAAAACATCCCGGCGAGCATTTGCGACAACCGCAGCAACGCGAACAGCGACAGGGACAAGGGACAAGATGGCGAGCGCAAAGCAGCAGGAGAATATGCTCCTTACCGAGCACTTTACTTGGCCTCCGATTGTATGTGTGATCTCGCAGTGAACAGTGGTGGTAGTGGGCATTTGAGCATGTGTTTGGCGGGGATGCATGTTTCCCAATTCTTCATGTCATGATTGCACAACAAGAAAAAACGGTCGCATACGGCCCATGGTACGAGACATTGATCTGACGGTGTATATTTTCCAGTCCCTAATCGACGACATCATCAACGCCGTCAACGAAGTCCTCTACCGCTGTACCGACTCCTTCGAAACCGGCCTCGCATCCGCGGACCCAGCTCTACTCGGCTTCGCAGACCTCTACGCCTCGCAAGGTCGCACACCACAGAAAGATGAAGATGGCAACAATGTGTATCCCGAGGCGCGACTAGAGATTGAAGAGGGAGTCTTGAAACTCGAGACACTTATGGAAAATGCAGTGGACAAGAACTTTGACAAGTTGGAGATTTGGACACTGAGAAATGTGTTTGCGCTTGGAAGAGGAAAAGGCGAAGATGAAGGACTAGGAGATTGGGTTAGGTTAGGACATTACGAAGTATGCAACTCCCTCTTTATACACCACCAAGAAGCAGTTGTGGAATCTGACATACAAAAACACTCAGAACCTCCAACCCCCCTCAAAAGACACCACCCTAACCCCCGAATTCCTCTACACCCTCCGCCGCAAACTCCTCGAAACACGCACTCTGCACGCCGCCCTCGTCGCAGAAAAAGCCCGCAACGAAGCCCAAATCGCGCGCCTAAAATCCCTCCTCAGTCCCCCTTCTTCTTCTTCCGTGCCTCCAAAGCGCGAAACACGCAGCTCAACAACAACCACAGTCCCAGAATCCGCAAGCAACACCGACACGACAACCGCCCCATTCGCCTTCCTCACCTCAACCCCCGCAGCACAAGCCCTAGGCATCACCTCCAACCCCCCTTCAACAAACGAAAAAGCCGCAACCACTACCTCCCCGCCCTTGACTACACACACCACTTTCACAACAACCCAGCTCCCATACCTCCGCCAACTCGTTGCATCGCTGAAACCCCATCTCGCATCTACCTCTACCTCTTCTACCTCCTCTGCAGCAAATGCAACAGAAGCATCACAAGACCGCAGTGCCCAGCGTAGACTCTACATCGAAGCTCAGTCTAAACGCGTGCTGGAGCGCAGAGGAGTCGATACAATGGATGGGGTTGAAGGGGCATGGGAGCTTGGTGGGACGAGGGTTAGGGGCGAGGAAGTTAGGGGGTTGGAAGGCTTGTTTCCTGCGAAGGAAAAGGAAAAGGAAGGGGAAGGGGAAGGGGAAGGGGAGAAGATGGATTTGAGTTGAGAATAGCAATCTTTTTTTTTCCCTTCTTCTCTTCTTCTTTTTACTGTAGGCGTTCTGGGACGGAGGGATGGAGTGATTAAAGGGGAGGCGTATGGGTATGGAAATGGATTTATATGATTATCTTTTTTGGTGACTAGAGAAAGAAGAATGATTGAATATTTCCTGATTAATGTGTGGTATAGCAATGAACCTGGGTGTACTGGGGGGTTTCTTATTTTTTTTATGTTACTACATTCATGATATGCCTTGCGTGATTTCACTCAGCAACTCGTCACATCATTTCTCATCTTCGTACATTTCACATTCATACCATCATGAGATATCCAACATCCCCTTCCCCTTCATTCTACCCACACCATGCACGTCCTCCCCCATCTCAATACTCTACAAGCTTGATCCTCTGCAGCAACTCCTCAGGCAGCTCGTTCTGACTGACAATGCCCATCCTAAGGGCATCCCCCCAAACAAACATGGCCCGATCGTTAGCATACTGCAAGTAGTCGAATTCCTCTTCATCCTGCGGCTTGAAAAGGTCAGCTTCATTTTCCATCTGCGCCTGCGCCTGTATCTTTTCCGCCGTTTCTTGACTCACTGCCCCGCCGCTCTTTTGCTCTGCTTTAGCCGCGGCTTCTAGCTCTGCGGTTGCACTATCTAGCGTTGCTGCTTCGGCGCTTGTGTTGGCGCTCGTCTTGTTGTCTTCGTTCTCCTCGTCGAAGTCGGGAAGACCGGGGATGTGTGCTTGGACTATGCCCCAGGCAACCCACATGGCAGAGTTGGCGAGACGCCAGAGTTTGGTTTCTGCTAGTATGCGGCGCGCTTCCTCTTCGATTTGTCGCTCGTACTGGGCTTCCTGCTCTTGATATTTCTCGCCTGGAGGAGCTCGCGAGTCGAGCATGAAGGCGGAGATGCTGTTGGGAGCGGCAGTGGCAGCCAGGGCAGTCGTGCTACCGGAAGAGGGAAGCGGTCCAAGGTGTGGTGTAGGAGGATTGGACGTGTATCCGCCACTAGCCTTGTACGACGGGTTGTGCATCAAGTACGCCCGGATAAAGCGATGCTGCTCTTCGATTGTCGGATAGTGCTTAGTGTTGCAACGCCAGGAAGTTTCTGGATCGTGGTAATTATACGCCCATTCCGTCTGGAGCATGTCAGCTTGTCCTTGCATCATGGCTATGCCTAGAGGGCACTGAGCAAGAATTGACAAAACGGATGAAGCTTACAAAATGATTGGCAAATTCCAATCCAGGAAGATTAGCGTTTGCATACTCGAAATCAATAACCACCAGCTGCTTGTGCTGATTTGCCGGTAGCATCAGTGGTGACTCGCCTTCCGGCATCATGCGAAGGATGTTTCCATACTGGGTCTGCAATCGAGTTAGGTCATACTGTTTTCACTTCGCGTTGCGACCTACATCATTATGAGCGAAGACCATGCGTTCGTTAATCTTATCAAGACCGCCATACTGATCTTCTAGCCACTTCCGGTACTTGTAAATCATTTGCTTGAACACAGGCCACTCGGCGCCGCACACATATCCTCGCTTCTTCCATTTGTCCGACGAGGCTCTGGAGAGGCCCTGGTTGCTTTCGCGGACCTGTTGATCCAACCAGGTTACAATGTGTTCGCAGCGATTGACCCACTTGTCCCAGTTTTGCCAAACAAACGGACCGGCCTCTCGCTCTTTCTTTAGCAAATCAATGCCCTCATGAAGTTCTCGCATACGCTTTGCAATCTGTACTGATGTTTCCGGGTTACGTAGCTCCTTGGAAGTCAGTGGCTGGGCATGCAGAAACTCTTCAAATCGACCATTGCCAAAAGTACCAAGCAGGCGTGGGCCAATACGTTTGCGGGCAAGCCGCGTCAAGATCTGTAACTCCGACTCTCGGTCGATCAGGTGCTCTACCTGCGGACCATAGATACGAAGTAGGAGCTTCCTAAAAACAAAGGTCAGACAAATGCTAGGTAAAACGCAGTAACACTTACGGTGGAGGGTTCCTGGGCTTCGGTGGACCATCTTCGCTCTGCTCAGGAGCCGGTAGGTTCTTAGGAGGAGAGACGACATAGACGGCGTTTGTGAGTGCACCGCTCAGTCTTTGTACACTGATTTCGTTGCTCAGCTCGCTGGGTACCTTCCTCCATCCCTTCAATTTCAGCGTGTGAGTAAGACGAAGGATTTCAGCTCGAAATTTGGACCAAGCCTCCTTTTCCTTGTCCGCTACATCAACGTTGGGCTCGGCTCCAGGCTCATCGACGTTGTATGCCATGGTTTTTGAATTGTCCAAAGTGGCTTCACAGCTAGGGACAAGCTGATCTACCGACTCAAAGTAATCCGAATCAAGAGAAATCGCAGAGTGTCGCTTCAAGCCGATGGACGACCTGTGCACGTGATGTCTCTTCTTCGCTTCGGAAAGCTTCAAGGACATGTTCTTTTCGAGAATTTGTGCAAGTTGAGTGAGTGCATCCTCGCCATGGGAGGAGTCAGAGTCGCTCCTGTGGTGAGAGATGGACTTGTCGAGTGCCTCTGCTGCAGCGCTCTCGGACTCATGGTCAACGACACCAGCTTTGGCGGCCTTGCGTCTTGCCCTTCGTGCATGGCGGCGGCTTCGCTCCTGCTTGAGCCAGGTGCCTACCTGTTTCAATAGGTTCTCGTGAGCTTGGTGGCTATGAGAAGCTGCATCAATTGAGCCTTCTGGAAGTAGCGAGGTCCAGGCAGTGCTGGCATCGGCCATTCCAGATTTGGATGACCCCTCGCGTTCATAGGAAGGACGGCCGGACAGGCGCTTTTTACTGACACTTGCTGGAAAGTGCCTGGGGGGCTTGTCAAGATCCAAGTAGTCTTTTTGGTCGAGCTCCTTGTTCTTGCCGATGATCAACGGGGAAATTGTGCTGTCATCGGGAAAGGATACGGCTGCAGATGTATAGTAAGCAACTGGGCAGGATCTGAATTGCTGGCAAAGCGCAGATCTGTACAAAGAGGGTACAGTGTCTGTTCCCAAGGCGTCGTGGATTTCAAGTAGACTACCTGAGGAGCTAGAATACAGCCACGCATGTGTTACGCAAAGCCTAAAGCATAGGCGCCTTCAAGACCGCGGAGTGATTTGTTGCACATGATTCGAATACCACCCAAACCCGATAACCCCGCCATACATGTAATGTGACAAAAGTGATAGAGGTTGCGTGCAGCCAGGAAACAAGAGAATGATTGACTAACCTTTGCTTGAGCGTGGCGATGCACCGTCGTCCAAAGTGTTGTTGCGCGAGAGGGCTAGAGAGTCGCTTGATTGTGGGCCAGCGGGCTGCTGGGCCTGCCAATTGGAAGAAGTGGCCATGGTCTGCTAATGGCCGAGGAGAGTCTGGAGCAGTCCGGCTGGGTAGGTCAGCCGGATCGGCGAGAGAGATAGCAAAAGCGTTGGGAACCCTGTTCCTAAGGCGTGAGAGTCTGTGACAACAGCCGCTCCTAAATGGTGGCAGGAGGATTAGGCCGCTTGGTGGGCGGGCGGGCGTTGTGTGGTGAGTGTTATCGATACCCAGGGCAGGGCAGGGCAGGGCAGGCAGGACAGGATACGCGAGTAAGGGGTCCACGTGCCAAGCTGATTGGCGGTCAGGATCAGCTGGGAAAACAAACAGACGAGGGAGGAGAGGGAAGCGTCATGGCATAGACAGAGACGGGCATGCAGACAGCAGAGAAACCACCAAAACACGCTTCGAACCCATTGTAACTCGGGGGCGTCATGGCCATGGCGAGCCCAAGGTACATCCCGGCGCCCTTCCTGCCGCGCGCTGTCTTGACGAGGTTCCATGTGTGATGGAGGGCTTGGCAGTGTACAAACGGCCAAACCACAACGAGATAAGCAGGCAAAACACCAGTGGACAGAAAACCTGCACTGTGGAAATGTGACGAAATTCAGTGCCTAGTGCACACGCGGCCAAGCCTCCGTGGCATCTTCTATTGTGGTAATGAGCAACACATCTAACTAATAAAATACTCGTACAGTGCAAGTGCAGCGTTGCAATCCACATGCAAGCCGCTTTTGGACGTGGCAACTGAGCCCTGTAAGTAGAGAGAGGCCTATCCAAGGCCTACCTACGGCTACCTACGTCACTTCTCGTAGTAAAACGCCAAACACCAAAACGCCGCGCTGTAACAAACACAATATCCCTGTTTTTCGCCATGCGCTCAAGTATACGTACAATTTCCGTGCTAGTGCCACAGGCGCAACCCGGCGCCTGTTTGGTCTCCCGCTCCGCTCGTTCATGTTGCCCATTCAACTGTTTCCAATGCAAGCATGACCAATAGCAGAGTCGAGGGTAGAATCCATACCACGTAGCTCTGAAACAAGATCCGCGACATGGCCCCCATATACACATTGTTGATCTGGCAGATCTGCGCCAGTTGAAGCGCGCTAGGTGCGCCGCTGAGAAGGAAGCAGACAATAATAAAAATCGGGTCGTCGAGGATGCTGACGGGCACGTACTTGGCAGTCAGGGCCAGCATTGGTGCCATGAGAAGCGTTGGGATGAGCATGCGACTGATGAGCGAGGCAATGACCAACTTCCTCTCTACGCTGGGGTCTTCGATAGAGTTTTGGTCCTCCTTTGGTAGCGTGTTGCGGGCAAGATTGGCGCCCAGGACAACCAGAATCAGGGGCACCGCCACTTGTCCACTTTGATTTACAGCGCGCGTAACCGACGTGTTGATGAAGGTTCCAGGGGTGAAGAACAAGTGTTGTAGCGATGGAATGGAGGCGACAAAGATGGCAATCAGCATGGCCCAGAGGGGAGGGTTCATAAAGTCCCACACGCCCCTGGCGAACTTGGACAAGCCAGAACCAATCTTGGATAGGGGTCCTTGGAGCCACTTGGGCAAGCTGTTGAAGATGCGGTTGCCAGCGCGTGTCGTCGATACAGATACCGAAGTTGCCGAGCGTTGCAGTGCCAGTCGAGCTCGCGTGGGCATACCCTTGATGCCCTTGGGTGCGTCTTGCTGTTTCTTGTGGGCTGCGAGCACGCCATTGAGGTGTCCGTTTGCGAAAGTGCCCTTGGGGCTTCCGCTCATGTCGCCAGCTCCAGGGACGGTTGCGTTGCCATTGGTGGGCGTAATGAATAGGGCCGCCGCTTGAGCCTGGCCACGGTTGAAAATGGAGTCCGAGTCTGAATCGCTGCAGTCGGCAGAGGTGGCGTAGCTCGTAACATTTCCAGATTCGTAGTCGGAATGCGAGTCGTCGAGCAGGCGCTGCGTCTCGTCGTCGCTGTACTCTCCGCTCTCGAGGGCATGGTTTCTTCCCTCGTCGTCCTTGTAAGCGCTAGCTGGGGCCAGGAGCACGTTGAAGCCCCAAGTCCACCGCACGAGCTGACCGAGCTGCTGGAAGATGAGGAGGTAGAGGATACCGCGGGCACCGACTTCATTGTCGTTATCGCCTGGTATTCTGTCCCAGTGCAGGCCGCGGAGTGTCTTGGAGAGGGAGATGACGAGAGAGATGGGCAGCGAGTTGGAGTTACCAAAAACCTGAAACTGTAAGTGTGCGCCGGATTACAGCGGATTCGAAACTAGACGTACTGCCATGGCAACGACAAAGTTGGAGGCCCTTTTGTTGAATTTGAACATGCGTGAGACGGCAAGGGCGGCAATGTAAGATATGAGTGTCTGGACGACAAAAATAACGGGAATGACTGCAAGCTCAGCCAATTTCTCAGCCGTCAATTGAGAGGCGAGCTTGGTGAAGACTGCAAGGCCGAGGGTCAGATCGAGTGCGCGTAGACAAGGAGGGCCGTCACTCACTGAGGCAGGGCGTGAACAATTGGGTGTTGAGGTTTGCAAGAAACTTCTGGCTCTCTGCGTCGAATTGGCCCATTCGGGCGACAACATAGCCCGGGGCGCTCACACAGACGACCTCCATGACGGCCTCGAAGACGAGGAGGGCCAAATTGGCAAAGTCGGGATGCGAGGGATGGGCATTCTCGAGCGAGGTGAACATGGCGCCGGTGACGGAGTCTTGAGACTGGGCGGCGAGGGCGACAAAGGGAGAGGATGAAGAAGGGGAGAAGGAGCGCAGGCGCAAGGCCGTGGGCGCGGAGAAGAAGGACATGGCGAAGAGTAGCGTGTGGTGTCGAGGCAGCAATCAGTGGGAATGGAGGCGGAAACGGTCCAGGTATATCATGAAGCGCAGGCTGTCTTGGCTGCCGGACGCGCTACCACAGCGACCAGGACGTCACGGCTGGGCGCCCGCTCAGCCCGCCTGAGTGCAGGTCCAACCGAACGAGCGCAGTTAAGCGTGTTTGGGCGTGTTTGGGACGTGTCGGGGCCCTGCATGCTGCTGCAGAAACATGGCGCCGCCGGCCATGGCATGCGCCCGCCGACGAGTGCGAGGGCAGCGCGACGAGAACATGTGCATGCACACTACGCCTGGATAGATAAAGACACCAATCCGGCCGTGTGCACTACGCATCACTACGTATGTATCGACGACGTATTACGCCTACGCCTACGCCTACGCCTACGCCTACGCCCCCATCCAGCACTTCCGCACTTCAGCACTGTCGCTGCGCCACACATGTGCATGCAAGACCGCCCGCCCGCCGCCGCTCACGCTCCAGACGTCTGGGCGCGTCGGCCCTGCGCAACCATCATCGGGCCCTGGGCGCCCTCATCGGCCCTTTGTCTGCACTTGGTGGTCTCTGCACGCTGCACTTTGCCTCGTGCTTACTGCACATCCGATAATCACTCACGACATCCTTCTGAATCGCCTTTCCTCGATACTGCCTGGCAAGCCAAGTGTCTGTCTCCGGGCGTGCCGTTTGCCTCTGAAAGTACCTGCTGTATATGCCTACTTACCCCTGCTAACATCATATCCAACCATGTACGTGTATCAACATGTCCATGTAAAGAGCAATGTATGCATGTATGAATATATGAATATATGGATACACGTGAATACAGATATGCATGTACGTAGCATGTTCACCACGCGCATCTTGGCCATCCCAAATCCCGTCTGCCAGTCTCCTCTCCCGTGCTCTCGTGGGTGCGTGCACCAGAGCCTCCACACTGGCGCCATCTTGGTCTCTGCACCATCACGTCACAGCGCGCGAACTTGCACGCTACAACCCACAACCACCACACATCCACTATCCTCGTCCTCACCCGGCATCGCCGCCACGCCCCCTCTCGCGCTGCAGTCGCAGCTACCCATTCTACCTCTCCGTTGCATCCGCATCACTATTCCCTCCACCCTCGTTTGCTCCCTCCACCACCCACCCTCACGTACCCCGCCAATTCCAGGCCTGTGACACTCGTCACCCCTTCGCCATGGCAGACTCCAATCCCTCTACTCCCGACGTCGAAGTCGATTCCGACACCGTCTTCGACAGCCCCTCCCCTTCGCCTGTGCCCTCTAGTCCTAGTGCCGATGCCTCGTTGCCTGAAGGCCTCTCCGCCGAACGCCCTGCCCCGCGAAAAGCCTCCACGGCCACCGCAACCACCAACATGACATCTTCCTCGACGCCCCTCGGCAACATCAATGCCGCCAGAAATCCCCGTCCCGCGAACCCGCCCACCATTTCCAGCAGAGGCAGTGGCCTGAACGTCTCCCAAGATATCCTTGCAAGAATACAAGCAGTACATCTGGGGCGCAAGGGCGCCCCGCCCACTGGCTTGCCGGGCAGAGGGCCTGCGCCTCAGAGTCCAGGCCCATCCCTCGACAACCGCAACCCAATGTCTCCAGGCGGAAACCCTGGCGGTGTTCCCCCTAACTTCCGCATGCCTGCGAGACCACCGACGACTAACTTTCAGTCGGCGCCTGCTATTCCGGGTCGTATGCCCGAACCCAAAAAGTCCATGGCTGAGCGACGTGGAATGCAGCTGCCGGGCGGACTGCCTGGTACTAGCCCTGCTGCTCCTCCTGCTGGCAGGAAGAAGCCTGGCTTGACTCTGGGCATGATGAATGGCGGTGACAAGGCCCAAAACGACGCGCAACCGCACAAACAAGAGACCCAATTCGACCAGTTTTCACAGTACATCGACACAAAGACTGGAAGTCTGAAGTTTGCGGGCAAGGCTATCCTCAACTCAGAGGGTGTGCAGTTTGCCAGCGGAAGCACTTTCAACATCTCACTTGATGAAGTTGACACGCTCGACGAGCTTGGCAAGGGTAATTATGGCACAGTATACAAGGTCAGGCATAGCAGACCCCGAATGCGAAAGCCAGGCCAAGGCCTCGCCGGAAACAAGGCTGCACCAGGCTCACCGTCTCGCAAAAACTTTGACGAAGAATCGAGTCCTTCGAGCGCAAAGCCCGCTGCAGGCACGGGCATTGTCATGGCAATGAAGGAAATGAGACTAGAACTCGAAGACTCAAAGTTTGCTACCATCATCATGGAGCTAGATGTCCTCCATCGCTGTAGATCGCCTTACATTGTCGACTTCTACGGTGCCTTCTTCCAAGAAGGAGCCGTGTATATTTGCATGGAGTTCATGGACGGTGGATCCATAGACAAGCTCTACGCTGATGGTGTGCCGGAAGGTGTGCTAAGGAAAATCACTCTGGCAACAACCATGGGCCTGAAATCATTGAAGGATGAACACAACATCATTCACCGCGATGTCAAGCCTACCAACATCCTTGTCAACACCAAGGGCGCCATCAAGATTTGTGACTTTGGTGTGAGCGGCAACCTCGTCGCCAGTATTGCCAAGACCAACATCGGATGCCAGAGTTACATGGCACCAGAAAGAATATCCTCGGGCGGAATCGCGCAAGCAGGTGCCAACCCTGGAGGTGGTACATATAGCGTGCAAAGCGACATTTGGAGTCTGGGACTGACCATTATCGAATGCGCGCTTGGACAATATCCCTATCCACCCGAGACGTACAACAACATTTTCAGTCAGCTTAGTGTAAGTTTTCCAAAACGCCAATTATTATTATTATTTTTTCTGGCAAGCCGATCACTAACTTTCTTTAGGCTATCGTCGATGGTGACCCACCAGATCTACCTGACGAAGGATACTCTGATGCGGCCAAGAACTTTGTACGGGGCTGTTTGAACAAAATCCCCAACCTGCGACCAACCTACGCAATGCTACTACAGCACGCATGGCTCGCCCCTCTTGCTAAGCCTGACACCATTACAGAAGAGGATGAAGAAGAGGTGGCAGCTGCGCAAGAAGCTACCCCAGATCAAGCGGCCGGGGACAAAGGACCAGCCCAGGCTATTGAGGTGGTAGAAGACCAAGAAGTTGCTGACTGGGTGAAGGCCGCCCTTGAGAAGCGAAGAAGTGGAAAGATGAAGGGTGTTGAAAAGCCCGCGCTGCATGCCGCACCGCTGGATGCAGGAATACAGAGCCCTTCGCAGAATGGCGCAAACGGCTCAGTTGCGGCAGAGTCAACAGAGGTTGCAGCGTAGGTTATCTGATGTTTCTATTGAACATGAAAGCCAGACACGCAAATGTGTCGAAGTCTTGTATCTTTCCCCGAGCACAGCTGTTGGCCCTTATGTCTTGGCTAGGAAGAGAAGGCAGTATAGTATGCCATCTTGTACACTTTCGGCGTTGCACCGGCGCATTACTGGGAATGATTGACATGAAATATTCAAGTCAGGGCATTGAGCGTGGAAAATACATGCACCTAGCATAGCATACATCTTATCCAGTTTAATTGGTATCGACTTCGCCGTGACAGACGTGACGTCCGTGGGACTAGATTTAATGAGAGACGTGTCTGGTCGATTTTCGCTCTTCTGGACAGGTTGCAGTTGATGGTCCATCAAATTACTTACAACCAAACCGTGTCTTGTCATATTCTGTGAATTTAAGTTTCTGGCATGTCGCGTCACCCGCAATCATATTTTCTCCCATCCTACTCAAGTGTCCATCCTCCCCCACGCAAGTAAAATATCTGTCTCGAGGGTTGATTTCGTCGTGACGTAAATGCAGCGGCGCGCTGGCACGTGACGGCATGACCCCTGCTTAGCCAAGCGTAATCGCAGCGGCCATGTGTCGTGGTGCGGCGGGAAAGAACACAGTGGTCGGAACAACTTCAATAAGTGGCCACGACTTTTATTTCGTACGCCCCGCCCACGCCTTCTTCGTAATGCCACAGGCCTAGGACACACCCTCCCTCTCTTTCTGCTGCTTCCCAAACTCGAGGCTACCCCGCTATTTCTTCTATTCGCTCTCTCGCAACATCTCCACTTGTCCCTAGGGACAGACATTAAACATGTCCGGCACCGACTACAATTACGATGAGCAGGTAGGGCTTGGACGCGCACACCAAACAATTCGCTTCTAACATGTTTGCAGGGCCAGTTCTTCCCCTACTTCATCCTCACTGTCACCACACTCGTCACCGTCCCCACCACAATATCATTTCTGAGACCCAGCAAAGGTGCGCATCCTAGTTGTATTCCAGCACCGCTATACTGACTATGCTCATAGAACTTGAGAACACTGGAGCGCGCATAGAGTCCGACTTTACCCCCGAACATGCAGATCTCATCCAAGGACAGCGAAAGAAGCAGAAGCGCATGGAAAGGAGGATCAAGCGTGGTCTAGTCATGGTGGGCGGTTGGGCTCTGAATGCCGCGATGGTCTATCTTATCCTAGTCACTGCCAGGACGACGCCTGACATTTGGGACCCGTATGCGGTTCTTGGTGTATCAAGGGTAAGAGCGTTCTGATTAACATCTTGACCTGTGAATAATCATACTGACTCACAACATAGAGTGCAGATGAGAAGGCGATTAAGAGGCATTACCGAAAACTCTCTCTTTCTTTGCATCCTGACAAAGCCCGCGAGGACCCCGAGAAGAACATTACACTGCAAACTATTAACGATCACTGGGTTGATGTCACCAAGGCCTTCAAAGCTCTCACTGACGAGGAAATTCGCAACAACTTTCTGACATACGGACACCCCGACGGCAAACAGAGCTTCAGCATCGGCATTGCGCTCCCACAATGGCTAGTTACCGAGGGATCTGGCAAGTACGTCTTGCTGATTTATGCGCTCGCGCTCGGTGTCATTCTTCCCTACACAGTTGGCAAGTGGTGGTATGGCACTCAGAGATTGACAAAGGAAAAGGTCTTGGTCGCAAGTGCTGGCAAAATCTTCCGCGACTACGACAACGACCAAGGCGAGACGGGTGTCATCTATGCGCTGAGCAGTGGAGAAGAATTCAACGACCTCCTTACTGGACAAAAAGCAGAAAACGGCCTATCCAAGTTGGAGCAGAAAGTTCTCTCTGAAAACTCTGGCTCGCTCATTCCACAAACACTCACGCTGAAGGACCGCCAAAAGCTTGACGATTTGGAGGACAGCCGGAGACGCAAGGTTCTAACCTTGCTGTGGGCATATCTTGGCCGTGTTGAACTCGAGGATGAGACCCTAAATGAGGAAAAGTTCGCCGTCGCACCCATCGCATTCCGTTTGAACGAAGCTTATGCCGCCATTGCCCTGGCGTATGGCAACACCACAGCCGTACTATCGGCATACAGGACATCCCAGAATATCATTCAGGCTCTACGACCAGGATCCTCTCCGCTGGAACAATTGCCTTACTTCACACCTGCTGTTGCAGATGCGGCTGAGGCTGAGCGATCAAGGACACATCTTACCATTCAAGAGTTTATGCAAATCCCAGATGCTCAACGCAAAGCGCGCATCGTCAAGTCCGGCCTCCTCTCGCAAGAGCAGTACACCACAGCCATGTCTGTAGCCTCGCAAATTCCTCTGTTTCACCTCGAGAAAGCATTCTTCAAGGTTGTTGGCGAGCGATTTGTTACACCCAGCAGCTTAGTCCAATTTGTACTCAAGGGTCGTTTCATTCCTTCAGGCGCCACCAAAATTCCCGAGGTCAACCCGAAAGATCTTCTCGACATTGATCCTGCGGAAGGCGATGTTGCGGCGATTACAGGACGCAAGAACGACAACTCTAGTGACAAGCCCATTCAGCCACCTCTAGCACACGCTCCATACTACGCCCGGGATCACGCACCAAGATGGCACGTGTTTCTCGCAGACAGCAAGCAAGGACGCATCGCAGTACCCCCGTTTACATTTTCGACCTTTGACAAGCCTATTCTCGATGAGAGTGGTAAGCCTACATTCAACGTACAAACACTCAAGATGCAATTCGGCGCCCCTCCACAGCCTGGTAGTTACACCTTCGTTATGCACTTGATTTGTGACAGCTATGTGGGTATGGACACCAAGATGGAGGTTACGCTGGTCGTTGAGGACGCCAGCAAAGCCGAACAAGTCGAAGAGGAGGAAGAGATCAGCGAGCCAGAAGAAGGTGAGTTTTTTTTCCAAACATCCAAACAACGGGAGCATAATGACTGACATTTAATAGATTCCATTGCTGGCCAGATGCGTCAAATGAAGACTGGTGGTGCGCCAGTCAAGAAGCGGAGATCAGCAGCCGATGACTCCAGTGGCAGCGACACCGAGGGTGATGTGGAATCCGAGAGCGAGACTGATACTGACACGGACTCGGACGATGAGTAGATTGTTTTGTTCTTTTAGATGAATTGTAATTCATAGGATATTCTCATGTGCAGACCCGAGTAAAGAGATGGAAGCGAAACGCATACGCTGACGGCTGGTATTCGTTCCTACTCCGCTTGGGGCCAACTGCCATTGCAGGCATTTGCAGGCGTTTTCGGAGCCAGGGGCCATTCGCGACTTCAAGGGACTACCATGTTATGCTTTTAGATGAAGTTTCTATCGCTAAAGGGGAGAGATCGAGAAGGACACCAGGTGTGTAGTAAATGATGTGTACATAGGGATGGCATTCGGCAAAATCTCAACCTCATGATCTTTGAACCACCTTTGGCGTTGATCTTCGTTTGTCATGGGTCCACATATGCGCATGCAGTGCAATAACATTCCAGATGGAAAAACAAAACAGGATTGCACTTTTTCCCTTGGTGCAGGGTGGACGCTCTAGGTACTTATTGACCCACATGAATCGACAGCCAAGCATCCGCTCGAACGTCCCAGACACTCTGGCCATTGAAAATCTTGTTTAAATTGGCCGACCTACCTATATGCGCATGCCTTAGGAACCGGATCAGGTTCAAACTGATCGTCACTTGCTTAATGCATAGTAATATGCCCATATCGGGGGCGAGGCTGGGGTTGGTGTTCGCCAAAAGTTCTGTCCCACACGCGTGGGGTTTCAGTGACGTCTCGGCTCCACCTCCTCATCACCACCGTGACTTTCTTCTTTACTTACACAGGCTTCCACAGTGACAGGTAGGAAAATTCTAGCGTCCAGAGTCAGTTGACGTTGGCGGATGCCCTTCATGTTACAGGATGGACGTGTGAAGGGTGACACGTCGATGACACCACTGGGCATGGCCATGACATGAAAGACAGGCGCGTTGCTGTCGTCGTAGATAGTGCGATGACTGCGAAGTCAAGTAAAAAAGCTTAGAGGACTCATTATCACGGAACGACGACCAAATGGTTCTCGAGTGCTGTTCTCAGCGTCACGTACAGAGTTCATTCCACCACGGTTCCGGAGCAGAGAGTTGCCCCAGCGTCCTTTCCGTTTAGCCGTCTCCGCATTCGGCCCTGTCCCAAAGAGCGGTCCTTTGTCAAATTTGAACGGGTAGGAGGTGCACCGAACATGGTGTCGCACTGTCGCCAAAGCATGGTCTGCCACACCCCAGACTACAGCTACGCCTTGGCAGGCAGTCGGATCTTGAGGCTCCGCCATCCTCAGGCTCTTGAATACGCCTCAGACAGCAAGGCAAAACTGTCAAGCAAATCTTGGCGGCCATGTCGTTGCACATCGGCGCTCTTGGCAGCTGCGGGAGCATACTTCGCCGGTAGCAAGTGACAATCACGCTACGTGTGTCACACAACAACCGCACAGGGGATCAGGCACGCCACAGATGAACGTTTGCTAGGGCATTACCAAGAAAATCTGCAATGGCGGAAAATGGATAAAAGGTACGGCATGGTCGCGTAGACAAAGAATCATCCTCATCCCACATTCACTCCAAGCCTTCAGCCTTGCTTTTCTTCCTTCCTTTAATACCTTTCCATTCTTTAGCGACTTTGATAGTCTGCCAGCAATCACTCTCTTTGCCATTTTAACAAGATACGTCTGTGACGTTTAATCATCTACAAACTTTAATCCCCGCAACTTTAAAGTCAAGTCTATTCCAGTCTTTACATTTACTATCACCATGTCTTTCAAGGCTATTGTTACCTTTGTCCTCGCTGCCGGCTTCGTTGCCGCAAAGCCCATCAGCCAGCAGTCTGGCCTCAGCCTCGACAGGCGCCAGATTGATGTCAGCTCCGTCATCAACGGCTTCAACCGCAACGATGGAGCCTTCAACTTCATCGATGGCTTCAACAACTTCAACAAGCAGCAAAAGGTCATTCAGATCCAGCAGCAGAAGATCCAGGTCGTTGAAGACCGCTTCCGCCAGCAAATTGTCCAGCAGATTCAACAGGTTCTCATCATCGACCAGGTCAACAACGGATTCAACAACGATCTGAACAACCTCTTCCGCAAGAGCAACTTCCAGAACCAGTTCCGTGACCGCAGGACCGATGTCATCATTGTTCAGGAGATTGTCGTTGTCATCGATGATGGCCGTGGCGGCCGTCGCGACCAGAGCTTCTTTGCTCAGAACGTCGTTGTTGCCAACCGCGGTGGCCGCGACAGGCAGAGCGTCATGATCTTCGACTCCCGCAAGCTCATTGCCAGTGACATTCTCCGCGACGACGCCTTTGGTAGGATCGGACGTTTCAATGGCATTGCTGGTGCCACTGGTCCCATCGACGGAGCCCTTCCCCTCAAGACCAAGGGCTTCCAGATCTTCGATGAGCGACCCCGCCACGCCAACATTGTCGAGGACCCTGCTGCAATTCTCGGCAGCATCTGGCAGGGTGCAGTTGAGGACCTTCAGCGTAACAACGAGGATGAGAACGATAATAAGCTTAATGAGTTGCTTGCTGCCCAGGAGCTTGAGGAGCTCCTGAAGCAACAAGGTAACAACAACAACGACGATGCGCAGCGCAAGGCTGAAGAGGAGCAGAAGAAGGCTGAGGAGGCTGCCAAGCAGGCTGAAGAGCAGAAGAAGCAGGACGAGGCTCAGAAGGCGGCTGATGAGCAGAAGAAGCAGCAAGAGGAAGCTCAGAAGCAAGCCGATGAGCAGAAGAAGGCTGATGAGGCTGCCAAGCAGGCTGAGGAGCAGAAGAAGCAGGATGAGGCTCAGAAGGCGGCCGACGAGGCCCAGAAGGCGGCTGATGAGCAGAAGAAGCAGCAAGAGGAGGCTGCTAAGCAGGCTGAGGAGCAGAAGAAGGCTGAAGAGGCCAAGGCTTCCGCTTGAACGATTTCTTTCTCTCTATGAAGCAACCTTTTCTTACGAAGTAGTTAGTGCACTGGTTTGCAGCGACGGACAAAAAAGGTACACGGATGATCCATTTGGGAGTGGCATCAATGGGAAATGGGATGTGGCCTATCACTCTTATACAGTTATTGAATATACCCTACATGAGGCTCTTAAACAACTTTCGTCTTCAACATTTTGCAGTGTGATTCTCATTTTCGTATTTTCAGCAGCTTGTACCATTTTCGCAATTTGCAAAATCAGAATATCTCTTCTTGTCTAATCTAATCATCAGGAAGACCAGCCAGGGCATATGCCGTGTCGGACAATGCCGTATGCGACTGTCAGGCACGTCAAAAGAGCTTAAAGCTGTATTCACCTGCCCTTTTGATCTGTAACTTCAATCGTCTCAATCTATGTTGGCTATTATGGTCTCCGTATGCAATACTAGACCTGGTTGAAACATAACAGCTTACTGGCACTAGTCCGTGCTTAAATTGCACCACAACCACGGCAACAGTCTATCCGGTCGAGCAAAGTCATATATCTTGAACGATTGAAGCGGATGGCTATGGTTGCTCGTACGCTCGTACCAGGCGTGACTTGTCAAAGTTAAATGCTCCCATTGTACAATAACTCTGACGTGTCGATGAGGCCCACGCCGGACTGTCTTGAGAGTCAGGCACCCTGCTTCAGGGAGTCATACGGATACACGCTGTTCATTGGCGTATCCAGAGTCGAAGTGTGCTTATTGAGCCACGATTTGATGGTGGGCAGACATCTCACGACCGTCCGGGTACTCGCACCGAGTTGCACTAGTCCTATCGAGGAATGACGTGCCAAGCAGTGACGTAACCATGATTGGCGGGGATGCTGTGACTTGACCGGAAACTTGCAGCAGGTGCCCAGAAGCTTCTACGTGCAGGGTGGAATGCACGCCTAGCTTCGAGACATGACGAGAAATCACTCCACCACACTGGTTGTTTCCTGGTACTTCGCCCTCCTTTACGTCCAAATTATATAAATCTCGCCTGGGTCTTGTCCTACCCAGCTTTTTCTGATTCTGCAGAGATACCCATCAATCAAAAGTGTACATACACCTAGTACAAGACCTGATAGCAGGTTCACAACGCACAATTTTCATATTGGCTTCAAGCCATAAATAAGGCTACAGTCACTAATCAAAATGACTTCATTCGACGCCTATACCGACCGAGCTGCAAAGGCCCTGGCAGACAGCTTCGACCTCGCCAAGGGCTATGCACACTCACAACTCACACCTCTACACCTCGCGGTGTCGTTGATAGATCCACCTAAGGACCTTGCAAACACAGTCGACGTACCCCCACCACCGCTATTCAAGCAGGTCCTCGAACGCGCAAATGGCGATCCACAAGCCTTCGAACGCAACCTCAAGAAGGCAATGGTCCGGTTACCAAGTCAAGATCCCCCGCCAGAGCGCACATCACCCTCACCAGCTATGGCAAAGGTACTGCGCTCTGCGGAGGAGTTGAGCAAGACACAAAAGGATAGCTTCATTGCCGTCGACCATCTCATCATGTCGCTCTGTCAGGATTCCCAAATACAACGAATCCTCGCCGAATCAAACGTACCCAACACAAAGCAGATCGACAATGCTATCCAAGCACTTCGAGGAACAAAGCGGGTGGACTCGAAGACGGCAGACGCCGAAGAGGAGAACGAGAACCTCAAGAAATTCACCATCGACATGACTGCCATGGCACGAGAGGGCAAGATCGATCCTGTCATTGGTCGTGAAGACGAAACACGACGAGTCATTCGTATCCTGACTAGGCGAACCAAGAACAACCCTGTTCTCATTGGTGAGCCTGGTGTTGGTAAGACTACAGTCGTTGAGGGTCTTGCCCGGCGAATTGTCGATGCAGATGTACCAGCAAACCTGGCAGCATGCAAGCTGCTTTCACTCGACGTCGGTGCTCTAGTTGCTGGAAGCAAGTACCGCGGAGAGTTTGAAGACCGTATGAAGGGAGTGTTGAAGGAGATTGAAGAGTCCAAGGAGATGATAGTGTTGTTCGTCGACGAAATCCATCTCCTCATGGGCGCTGGATCTTCTGGTGAGGGTGGTATGGATGCTGCCAACTTGCTGAAGCCCATGCTGGCTCGTGGACAGCTTCACTGCATTGGTGCAACCACCTTGGGCGAATACCGCAAGTACATTGAGAAGGACGCTGCATTCGAACGTCGATTCCAGCAAGTCCTCGTCAAGGAACCTTCAATCCCTGAAACCATCTCCATTCTTCGAGGACTGAAGGAGCGATACGAGACGCACCACGGTGTCACCATTATGGATGGTGCCATCGTTGCAGCTGCTACCCTCGCCGCCCGCTACCTCACCCAACGGCGACTGCCGGATTCTGCCGTCGATCTGATCGATGAGGCAGCGGCAGCTGTCCGTGTCACCCGAGAGTCACAACCCGAAGCTCTGGATAACCTCGAGCGACGCCACAGACAACTCCAGATTGAGATTCATGCCCTCTCCCGAGAGAAGGATGAAGCCTCACAAACGCGCCTAAAGGAGGCCAAAGCTGAGGCTGCCAACATCGAGGAAGAGCTGAGGCCACTTCGTGAGATGTACGAACGCGAAAAGGGCCGCAGCAAGGAGATCCAGGATCAGAAGCTCAAGCTCGAGGGTCTCAAGACCAAGCTCGCCGAGGCTGAGCGTATGCGCGACATCCAGACTGCCTCCGATCTCAAGTACTACGCCATTCCCGATGTCGAGCAGCGCATCAGCGAACTTGAGCGTGAAAAGGCCCGCGCAGATGCTGAGATGTACTCCCACCAGGCAAGTGGAGGTGGTGAGTCTCTCCTGAGTGATGCCGTTGGCCCAGACCAGATCAACGAGATTGTCGCTCGCTGGACCGGAATCCCAGTTACTCGTCTCAAGACCACAGAGAAGGACAAGCTGCTCAACATGGAGCGCCACCTACAACAAGTCGTTGTCGGTCAGAAGGAGGCTGTCACATCTGTCTCCAATGCCATCCGACTTCAGCGCTCTGGTCTTGCCAACCCCAATCAACCACCAAGCTTCCTCTTCTGTGGTCCCTCTGGTACCGGAAAGACTTTACTCACCAAGGCTCTTGCAGAGTTCCTGTTTGACGATCCAAAGGCCATGATCCGATTCGACATGTCAGAGTATCAGGAGCGACACTCTCTCAGCAGGATGATTGGTGCACCACCCGGCTACGTCGGTCACGATGCAGGAGGCCAGCTTACCGAATCCCTCCGTCGGAAGCCGTTCTCCATTCTGCTCTTTGACGAAGTCGAGAAGGCCGCTAAGGAAGTTCTTACCGTTCTCCTGCAACTCATGGACGACGGTCGCATCACCGATGGTCAAGGCAGAATCGTTGACGCAAAGAACTGCATTGTCGTCATGACCTCCAACTTGGGTGCTGAGCACTTGTCGCGCCCCAACGCACCCGACGGCAAGATCGACCCCACCACCAAGGAAATGGTCATGAATGCACTCCGCAACTGGTTCCTGCCCGAGTTCCTCAACCGTATCTCGTCCATTGTCATCTTCAACCGCCTCACGAAGCGCGAGATCCGCAGCATCGTTGACGTCAGAATGGACGAGATCCAGAAGCGACTCAACCAGAACGGAAGGAACGTGCGCATCGAAATGACACCCGAGGTGCGCGACTACCTTGGTTCGGCCGGTTACTCGCCAGCATACGGTGCCAGACCACTGGCCCGTCTCATCGAGAAGGAAGTGCTCAACCGCCTTGCTGTCCTCATCCTCCGCGGCTCCATCAAGGATGGTGAGACAGCGAGGGTCGTGCTCGATGAGGGTCATGTTGCCGTCCTGCCAAACCATACGGACAGCGAAGATGACTCGGAGATGTACGATGAGTCTGACGCTGTTCATGAGCTGGACGATGATGATGCTGGCATGGATCTGTATGACTAGAGGAATGACAAGGAAGCATCTGGGATGTAAAATGGTGATGAAAGACTTTGTGTTTGAGCACTGGCGTTATTCTTTTCGCTGGAGGGGTTTTTTCCCCTAATTACTTGGGAAGGCTGATTGATGTCCATGATTTAAAGAAGGCATCATCACAATGGGTTTTTATGAATTACGAATGATGGATTGATTGGTTTGCAGAAGGTGCTTTTGATAGGCATTCTAGGTTTTAGCAGCATACTTGAGCATAGTAGTCTTGTATATAGTTAATGAGATAAAAAATCATGTCGAAAGACTCTATCTGCCATTGTGTCCAGTGTGGCAATTCATTGACTTGACTCGACTTTGAAAAAAGTACAAACTCAGTCAATACTTGTCAAGCATTCATTTGTTCATGATGTTCACTCAATACATAAAACAATAATCACACCAATGATACAACCACCCAGAAAGAGTCATTTGAATTCATCAACTTTTTTGTCATTTCTTCGTTGAACGCTCCCATGATGGACCACTTAGCCAAATACATGTGAGTTATGCTTGTCTAAGCCCGGGTATATTGCATCCCACTGCCACCACATTCTCGAAACATCCTAGTAGAAGAAACCCAGAATCTTGCCGGCAACGTGCTTCCTGCGGGCCTCCTCGTGGTCCATGATACCGGCAGAGGTGGTCAGGACGATGAAACCGAATTGACGAGAGGGAAGTAGCTTGACGACCCACTTCTCCATGTCGCGGAGCTGGACGTTGTAGCGGGGGGAGATGACACCGGTCTTGTTGATGCGGCCGATGAGCTGGATGACGATCTTGCCGTTGCGGTGGTCGTCGACCTCCTCGAACTCGCCAATGTAGCCTGAAGAAAAAAAAAGTCAGTGTATGTTGCGGCGAAATAAACATCAGACGTCATGAAAGGGTTCCGAAGACGTGTAAGTCCTCCGCAGTTCAATATATCGGACACTTAAAGGTCAATGATCGTGGGAAATCGAGATCATTAACTAGTTATCAGCCCGAAAGAGGGGGAAGGGAAGGGAAAGGGATGTGGATGCGCGCCTTTGTCGTCGTTCGGAATAAGGAGATCGAGACGTCTGTAAACCAAAAAAAGTGTACGTACCGTGCTTCTGCATGACGCGGAGGAACTTGACAATGACCTTGGAGGAAGGACGGATCAGGACTTGGCGCTTGCCAGCCTTCTCGGCGTTGTTGATGGCGTTGAGCGCATCGTTAAGGACGGAGGTCTTGACCATTTTGGCGGCGTGTGGAGATTCTCGGTGGCGGCGGAAGGCGACTGAGGTATCTACGCGCAGAAAATTGTGGTTAGCCTCCAGATGCCAGAGCGTGGAGAGTGCCCTCAGACTGCAAGCATGAGGGTTCTTCAGCTCTTGTCGCAGAGGAGAAGCAGTGTCGCCGTCATCCTTGCGGTCGACAGCGATTGCATCCCCAGGCTCTGAAGGGCACTCGGGTTGACAAAAGACATACCTCGGCTGGGTGCGGGTGGTGAGCGGTTGAGGAGAGTCGGTGAGTATAGCAAAAGTTCGAGTTTGACGGGGAAATTGGTGTGGTGGACCGTGCGCTCGCTAACTGGACGGTGCGTGGCTTGGCAGGACCGACTGGACCCTTGCACGCTCGACTGGGGAACCGGCCTCTTTACCTACACCCATGGTTCAACGCTCACTGCACGCGACCATTGCATAGAAGCTTAGCAAAGGGGCCGGTGTATTCGTGTTTAGACACTCAATTTATACATGTAAAGAAAGATTCAATTTGACCGACATACCACCCATGTCGCGCCTTCACGTGCCAACGCGACGTCTAACCGCTTTAGTCATGACGTAGCACGTCTTCCTTTGCCCCCCAGTGTAGTGTATCTGTATTACGAATCTTGTGTCTAGCACTTCACATCTTCATCAGATACCTATTCTCCTGTTACCGCCATGTCTGAAGCATGCTGTACATGCGCTACGCTCCTTACGTCGATACCACCCACATACGATGAGAAGACAGAGAAACCCTCGCAGTTCGAGCGTAGACTTGACTGCTGCGGCCGCGCCATATGTGCCCGATGTTTAACAGACAACCCTAGATTCCAAAACTACTGTCCATTCTGCCAGATAGCGACGGGACCATCAGCATTGCCTCCGCAAGGTCTACGCGATCCTCCTACATATTCGCCACCAGACGAGCAGCAACTGGTGGATGACGAGTTACCACCTTACTCCGCACGTAATTCGTTGCAAGCGCCATCTGAGAAGTCAAAGGCAAAAGGCGAGGATGCGCCGGATGTGTTGCATTTCGTAGACCAGAATAACGACTCGGTACGGTCTTTATCTCTTCGATACGGTGTTCCGGCCGATGCCCTCCGCCGAACAAACAACCTGTTTGCCGACCACTTGCTAGCCGCGCGCAGAACGATTCTTATACCCGGCGAGTATTACAAGGGTGGGGTCAGTCTTAGTCCGCGGCCGCTCGAGGGCGAGGAAGAGGAAATTAAGAAGACGAAGTTGAGAAAGTTTATGGTTAAGTGCAAGGTGGCAGAGTAAGTCGGTTTATGCTGTATCTTGTGGTAGTGAGGGATGTATGCTGACTTAGGTGATTAGATATGATGTTGCCCTTCTTTATCTCGAACAAGCAAATTACAACCTTGAACAAGCGATAACTGCATTCAAGGCTGATGAGGAGTGGGAGAAGGGACATTCTTTAGAGGCAGCCAAGAAGGGCAAGTCCAAGGCCTCACAAAGTCTGGGTCGTAAGAAATGGGGGTTCGGAGGGCTTACTGGCCAAGCTTCGTAGCACATGAGCCACTACCGTTCTGGTCGATGTATGTTATACGAATAGACAGTCTGTGCGTTGATACTTCATGTCTCGCTCTACTTTACCATGTACAGACAAAGCTTTTCAACACATCCCCATCCAAACTAAACATACCCGCCCTGAAACTCCTCACTGTTTTGGTATGAGGGGTGAAGGTTGTGAACGATAAAGACCCCACCCGTTTATTGCCAATGGGCCCCATCATACCGCGCGTCTTGCAAGCACCGTGGCTTACCGTTGGCTGCACGGCAAAGCGAACTACGGGTAGTAAGAAAAACACCTAGCCCTCGAGCTGGGGGCTAGCCAACTCCGTAACACTACACCGTCAAAGCCATCGAATAACAGCCCTCGAGCAACCCCCCAAAATGCACGTAGGCATCAAGCTGTGAAACGCCAACTGCACAACAAGGCGCTTCGTAGGCCAAAAAACCCTCAGGGACTCGCACCATGTGTGCATGTGGCAGACTGGGGGGCTGCTTCGGGCAAAGTGTCGGCGCTTACACAGTTCACTGCACTGTTAGAAAAGCGTATTCTTGCACGCTGATTGGCTGGCAAATCTCATGGACATGGGCACACCAAAATAAGCTGCAGTAAGTAAACCAACCCCAACGAAGGAAGGCGAGTTATGAGGCATGGTAAAAGTAAAATGTACCGCATGCAGTAAGACTGCAAGTAGTGGGGATGTGCAAAAGAGACTAAATACTGCTATTCTGGGCAAAGACTGCATGGGTTACGCGCTGCGAGTGGTAGCGCTGGGACCACCACACTTTTGCAGGTATTCGTAGCGCTACTATGGCAGACACGACTGGGTGGTTGCAGCGGCAAGGCAGATTGAGCCAATGTCGTTTTTCCTGCCTGCTTCTCGTTCTTCTATTTCGAGGTTGCGCAAGTAAGTAGGTTGGGAGTGGGGAGGCTGCAAGGGGCGGGTAACGGCAAAGGGTGTTCTGTGGGCTTGAAACCGCAATTGCGACCAAGTCGTTTTAAAGGCATGTTGGCCACCCGTCTTGGTTGCTTACTTTTCTGTTGTCTATCTAGCTCAGGCAGTAAGGTTTTTCCTCTTGGACGACGGCCTCAGGAACGAATATATCTGGCTCTTTTCTCGTTCGAGTGTTTTGTTTCTTCGTCACTGTCGTTGACCCCTCTTTTATTTTATACACGGACGACAAAGAATAGGTGATCCTGGTTGACACCCAGTTCGGACGATACAATCTTTATATCCTTGTTGTTTTGTTTCATTCACCTTTTCTCGATTACGAGTAATACCATCAGACCGGAACCTGAGAGAACACGATCGTCAAGATGAAGATCAACCCCGCTCCTTTCCACATGGCCCAAGCCATCATCACTGGCCTTGTTGTTGTCCTCAGCATCGCTATCCTCGGTACTTCGGCGCACACTCTCCGTGTCTTCAACGAGCAACACCTGTCCAACCCATGGTGGGCACCCATGTGGCCCCAGCACTTTGATGTGCAAGGAACCAAGGCACTTGTCGCTTCTTCCGTCGTCACGTTGGTCCTCTGCGGCGCTTTCTTGATCGCATCGTTCATTCCCAAAGTACGTATAGTTCTGTGGTGGGGCTTTAGTGAAGTCATGTGGACTAACATGTGACAGTTGGCACTTCGTCAGAAATACACTCTCCGGGCTCTTCTTTCCTTGGCCACACTACTCCCTACTCTTCTTCTTACGCTCATTACTGTTGTCTGGGCACACATTCTTAACGGAAACGCACCCGACGTCGATACCATTCAGACATGGACATGCAAGATGCAAAGCTCGCGGCCACTGGAGCAAAACCTACCTGAGGGCATTGCTATGCCGCCTGGCATGGGCAACGGCGACTTCAAGTCGCTTTGTCAATCGAGCAAGTTTGCGCTCTGGGGAACCCTTGTCGTCTTCCTGCTGGTTGGTGCTAGCACTGGTGTTACAATGGTTACTTGGATAGCGGACAAGTGGGCTGCCAGGCAGCACAGGAAGGAGGTGGAGATGGGCAACATCCCGGCCAATCTGCCTTAAGAGTGGGGGCAGTGTGTTGCATCTTCGTTGAGATGAAGGCTTGCCTAAGGGCTGGTTGGGCTAGGTTCGGAGGCGAGTCAATTGTTTAGTATATCCCGGGGGTTGTCCTCAAAGGCGAGAAGACATGTACTTGTATCTACTGTCAGGCGTACTGGTGTTTTCGGCGGAACAAGGCCTCCCGTCGGCGGGTCATGGGATGTTATATTTCTTTCGCGATTGTACGATTTGAATAAATGAAACAAGTCCCAAGCGGCCAAGCACCAATGCCTCGTTCCTGGGATGTCTGGATGGTGTGAGGGCGCCGGTCGAGATTGGTGATTAGTCCCGTTCAAAGGCGATGAGGGCTAGTTGCGCACGACCGATCCATGGGCTTGTAGGGTATCATGGGAAGGTGGTAGCGAGGTACGTTGACGTAGTCGCAATTCCATTGTCTCTCAAGATACGTGTCGGCAGTGTCGGAGCGCCATAACGCTTGCTGCGAAGTCATGGCATCTGATGGGCGCTAGCAGGGATTGCAGGTGTTTGTCGCTAAGCAGAAGCAACTGCAAAGCCGGCGGGAAAAAAATGTCTTTTGGATGGGCTAAGATGCGCCGTCTCGAGACACAGGCAGAGTCTCAGCAGTTTCAGCGGCGGAGAGGAATCTGTGGTAAGAGTCTCAGTGCGTGTAGGTAGATAGAAGCGGCCCGCACTCGCCCTCGCCCTCGCCCTCGCCCTCGCCCTTCACCCTCGCGCGTCGGACGCGGCGCGCGTGGCTTCATGTTAGCCCGCCTCCCGCAGTGGATCCCGTGAATAAGCTGGTCAGCGATCACCCTCCTGTCCCCATTCCCCATTGCCCTTAGTCTGTCGCGTCATCTCAGCGGCCGCCATCCGCCTCGCTCGTCCCCCATACTACCTGCCATAGCCAGCTCCAAACTATCTTTTGCGCCTGTGCCCTTCAATCTTGTGCTCCCCCAGGCCTGTCGGACCATCCAACCTTTTCTATCCGCCGTTCTTCGACGAGCCGAGCAGCCGATCAGATCGATCCGCCCCCCGGCACAGGGCTCGAGCGTGCATTCAAGCGGCATCAGAAAGATCACCCCTCTCCACTGCGGCAGCGAGGCTGCATAACTGTCTGGACTGCCCCGGCCCGCGCCCTCTTCCTCCTCCTCTGCCTCTGCCTCTGCAATCGCTATGCACCATTGCTCTACACCACCCACGCTCGCTCAACAGCACCCCTGCAAGAAACAGTTCCAGCCTAGCATCGCGACCTATTTCGAGGTGCGGGACGGCTTGCACCACTGCGACCATCTGCCGGGCCTAGAGCCAATTACCCGCCTGCGACACCAAAACACACGGCCAATTGCCCACCCCCGAGACCACCTTGCCTCCAACGCCCCTCCCCACGTCCAAGCAGACTTGCTGAGCGTGGGCATGCGAGTACGCAAGAGCGTGCCCGAAGGCTACAAGACGCACAAGATGCTCTCCTCACCCTCGGACCGCTTCGCTAGGGCGAGGCCTCGCCTGGACATCAAGCCCCCGCCAGAGGCCGTGCCCGACCACTACCAACACCAGCGCGAGCTGCTGCCCTTCTGTGGCCTACACAACATTGGCGGCTTCGCCGAACAACCCACCACCAACCCTCACCTCTACACGACATCTCCAAACCGCCAGAGACCCACCATTGCTTTTCCACTCACCGCCGACGCCTTCACCCAACCCTTCCCAGACCAATCTTCCGCAGACAGCGGCTACGACTCCACCACATCGCCCTCCTCGCAACGTCTGCACAACCCCTCAAAACGCTCCTGGCACGACGAAGACGAGGTAAGGCCACTCAATACAAATTTCCTCTTCAATGGTCGCTCCTCATCATCAAGAGGCGGCAACCTGGCCGTTGAGTTCGACGACGTCCCTGTCAGCCCATTAAGTGAGACACCCACCCACGGCATAAATTCATTACCGCCCGTACGACAGTTTGCGCAGCCCAGATCCAGACGGACCACAAGGCGGACCATTAGCGACGACGACATCGACATGGATTTTGAAAACGCCGCGCGAATCGAGGGTCGCGTGGGCGCAGGCAGTAACAGTGATTTTGAAGAAGCTGACTTTCTGGGCGATGAAGAGGTACACATGAGTGGTGTCTGATCTCTATTTTCTGCCTCTTAACCAAAATCTTTTCTCACGGCCTCTTTTTGCTTTTTCTTTGGGGGGGGGAGGGTGCAGCTTTTTTCTTTCCTTCGGTTTGCAAATCATGGCATATGGCGCTACACGGTGAACTTATTACGAAAGATGATATGTCGTTCATGTCGGCGCGTATACCCGGGATGTCGTTTTTTTGGGGATTTCTTTTTTATCTTTCTTCCTTGCTTTCTAGACCTGGTCTTCTTCTTCTTCTTCTTCTTCTTCTTCTTCTTCTTCTTCTTCTCCTCTTCCTATTTTGTTCTTTGGTCTCCAAGTTGTATACTGCATGACCTGATAAAGTAATCTAGTGTATGTATGTGTTGAATTAAAAACGATCAAATAGTCTCTTTGCTTGCCCTATCACTACTCTGATCGCAAGGCTGTCGTGCTGGATTCGCGTCATCTGACTTCCTTCCTCTCTGTTACCCTGTTTTTGCGTTCATTACGTAAGTGTGTGTGTGTGTGTTGCTGTATGCCGTGCCTGCCTCCTGTAGCCCTGATTATGTCACGTACACGTGCATTGTTTGTGTTCCCGTCACCTGAAGAAATCATTGGGATCACTGTCTTCTTTTCCCATGTTCAGACGTCCCTGCTAACGATTGCCTTTCCTTTTGTATCGGCTAGGAAGAGCTGTTGAAGTCTTCACTCCAGGAGCCGTACCTGCTACAAGAAGACTGCGTGTGACAATTACACCCCAGGGATTGAAATTCGAAACTACTAAGACCGATACTTTTCCTGTTGTGGAGGGTAGTGTAGTTTAAAATACTCCACATACCATGAATGCCTATGAATCTGGCTAAGCTGCCTGACCCTGCTGTCCATTGATGTAAATAGTCTGGCTGGAGCAGCCAGCTCGGCCAGATCGGTGGGCATCTGGTGCAGCTTGTTTGACGTTTTCGCCCCTTTCAGGTTTGTCGTGAGTTGCACCCTACATGTGATGTTTTGGAACGATATCATTGTGTATTTAGACTATCTAATTCTCGTGAACAGATATAAACACAACTAGAGTAGTGAGAGTTCATCTCCTACCTTATATAGTACTAAAGGTCTTTACTTCACTACTATTAGACTTTCATTACTGCAATGGTTAGTTTTAGATACCGAACCTTAGAATGTACGTAATCTTCACCCGTAGAAGGCTCTTTCCTAAACAGATATTGAATTTCACTTTCACTTCTATTTACACATAACTGACGAGACCAAAGATTTACTTCAGAACCTATCAAAGTTGTCGTTGGAACCTCCAAGACGACCTATTTCGTGAATGAGGCGCGACTTCGTGCGAGTTCCGACTTCTTCTCCAAAGTGTTTGACGGGCACTGGAAAGAGAGCACAGCGAGGACCGTCACGTTACCCGAGATTATGCCAACGGCTTTCAGTATCTACGACAAATGGCCCTATACTGGCTACTTCTATACGACAGGGTCAAATTGCCTAATCTACGACGAATGGCTTGATGAATATCGTAAAGAAGAGTATATCACGTTCGGCGAATGCTACCAGCTAGCCGACTACCTCCAGGCCACAGACTTTAAAGACGCATGCATCGATTCCTTGATCCACAAGACGCTGTTCGATAAGGAGATTCCATATGGTATCGCAACCAACATGTATCCCCACACTCTTGAATCTCGCCCCATCGTCAATTCGCCATTCACCGCGCCCTCAAATTTTGGCCAAACAAAGCCTTTGAGTTCTTCGATGAACAGAGATTTCCCCAGGAGTTCCAAAACGACTTGATACTTGCGTTGGGGTTGAATTTACGGGATGGCCTCAAACGCGCTTCTGCAAAGGAATACTTTGAAAATATTGACCCTTGCAAATACCACGAGCACACTACGAACAATAAACCTTGCTACAAGACAAGGTACCCGCATCGCTCCTGAGCACGTTTACAGGTGCTGTAAGTGACACACACGCACATACATACCCATGCTCCTTGACCGAACTGACGTTCCGACACATAGGCCAAGACCATCCGAGTTTGAACCGACCAGCAAAGACAAAGATGACTGAAACATTTGGGTTGGTAGAGTGAGGTTGTATACACGGAATATTCAAAGAGACGGATACATATCCTGGTCCATAGTATGGTCTCTCTTCACACTAGAGCTTATCGGAACTACATTTCATGGGAGATTTCTTTGCTCTCGTACCTTAGATAACCAAATCTTTGTTTTATAGAACACAGTGCTCTAGAGCAACCACCACCCTTTCCACCCCTTGCAGAAGAACTCGAATGATACGATACTCTATATTTGATAAACACCTCATCATTACCGCCTCATATTCTTTATCTTCCGATCCCGATGCTTTGAAAGGAAAAAAAACGCCAACGCTATGCATACGTGCGTATAGCAAATACACACTCCCGCCTCTCCCTACCCATCAAGTGAACCAAAAAAAAAAGAATCTACGACGTCGACTTGGTAAGCAGGAACCCCACATTACACTCCGGCTGCTTCAAGACATCAAGGAAAACATCATCGTCCACCGCAACTGCCAAATCATCCACTACCTCATCGTCCGCACTTCCCTCGTCAGCGCTCTTATCCATGCCCTTAAGAACCTTGGTATCAATATGCCGATACTCCATCAACATCCTTAACTTTGGCTGCTTCGCCGCGCGCCTCGCCTTAATCTTGGCCTCCTGCTCCTCGATATTAACCTCGCTAGCTTTCCTCAGCATCGGGTACTCCTCTTCTTCCACTTCGTCCTCTTCAGACTCTCCATTGTCAGGATCGGGTGTACCTTCGAGCTTGCCCCGACACTCACACGTGCAGCCGAGTAAATCGTGAGTCTGGCACCCTTCGCGCTCGTCTAGACGAAATAAATCGCGGAGTTCCTCTTGGGAAAAGGAGGATGCGGAGGCTTTGTTGTCGACGACTGCGTTAGCGAGACCCATTTTCATGACTTGGCGTTGGTAGATTTTCTCGTCGAGACCACCCTGTACGAGGAAGCGGTAGACCTTGCAGGGCAGCTTCTGGCCGTCGCGGTGGATGCGCGCCATGGCTTGTAGATCAGTGGCAGGGTTCCAGTCGATGTCGAAGAGGACGATGCGCGAGGCGCCGATAAGGTTGAGGCCCACGCCGCCAGATTTGGCTGAGAGGAGGAAGGCGAAAGAGGTTGTTTTGGGGGTTTTGTTGAATTTCTCGACAAGGGACTGGCGCTTGGAGGCTGGCGTGCTGCCGTCGAGGCGGAGGAAGGTATAAGAGAGGGAGACGAGGAGGCGCTCGATCATGTCTAGTGTTGTTGTGTAGTTTGAGACTATGACGATTTTTTCTTCGGTCGTCGTGTAGATAGAATGGACAAGGCTGTCGAGCAATCGCAACTTTGCACTTGAGGCGCTGGACTTGAGGATCTTGCTGGGGATGAGTGGGATGATGGATTGCAGCATCTCAGATGGCGTGTCATCATTGTCCTTGGACGATTTGAGTAATGAAGGGCTGTTGCAGACTTTCTTCAGCACGTTGATGAGCTGCAGCGCAATGTCCGTACTACCCAGGGCAAGTCTAAAGGTTGGTGAGTCCAGAATAGCGCGGTAGGTCTCCGCTTGTCCTTTGGTCGGCCTACAAAAGACAATGTGCTCAGTTTTCGGCGGTAGGTATTTCGAAAGGACTTCTGCTGTCCGCCGGATCATGAACTGACTAGTCAGAGATACAAGCTCCTTCCAGCGTGCCTCGCCCTTTTCAAGCTCTACTTCGCTTGCGTCCGGCTGACGACTACGCATAATTGGCAGTTCGAACGACCGCTTGAAGGCGGCTCGTTGTCCGAGGAGTCCAGGGTTGACGAAATCGATGGCAGTATAGAACTCGCCAAGATCGTTCTGCAATGGGGTACCGGACAGGATGATACGCCTCTCCGTGTTCAGAGACTGGATAGCAAGCATAGCTTTGTTGTTAGCCGTCTTTAACCTATGACCCTCGTCGGCAATGACAATGTCGACACCACTGCCTTTCTTCAACTCTTCTTGAACGATACGAAGCATCTCGTATCCGACAATCATAATGTTGTAAGACTTGCCCATGGTGAAGTTGGCAATCTTCTTGTTCTTTGCATCCAAGACGAACACACCGACTCTCTCATTTCCGAGCCACTTGCGGAACTCACGTTTCCAATTATCTACTAGACCAGCAGGACAGACAATTAGGGCTTTCTTGATAACAGGAGGGGAATCATGTATCGGATTCTGCTTCATCAATGTCCAGAGAAGTGTGATGGTCTGCAGCGTTTTACCCAAGCCCATCTCGTCAGCCATGATGGCACCCTCACCCTCGCATCGCATACCCATAACGCATTCATACAAAAATCGTACACCCTCGCGCTGGTGGTCTCGGAGATGCTTGCTGAGGACCGGGTCGATGACCACGTCGACTATCTGCTTTCCTTTGGGACACGAATCAGGTCGTTTCATGATGAGGGCGTTGGGTGCATTTGGGTCGTGACGGGGTTGCGGAATTGACGGGTTGCGCTGCGGCATGACAGTGGTAGATAGCAACGGTGCCTTGAATTGCTGCTTGCGATGAGTTGAAGGCTTGTACTCGGGCACACTCTCCTTATCGTCGCTAGTTTCCTGTTTCCTCTTCGAATTGGGTTTCACTGATGACAGAGGCTTGTGTCCTGGCTCAGGCCGCTTTGACTGCTGTATTGGTGCAGCCGCAGCCTTGCCTAGGAACATGCGTCCTGAGAGGTAATCTGCCTTATCCATGGAATTCTCAACTTCTATTTCCCTTCCACCAATGGAAAGAGTAGATCCGGGGAGTAGTGGCCGACTGCATGCTCCCTTTCCCAGCTCTTTCCCCGTCTCGCTGTCGTTGAGCGTAGCGTATCCACCCACGACAGCAAGAACGCCGTCCCCGTCCCATGTCTTATTTTTTTTGGTCGTATGTTTTCGCCATAATACCGTATAGTAGTTCCCTTCGAGACCCGGGGGTAGGAATTGTGCTGGTGCAGGATTGTTCATAGTATTGAGCGGTTGACGGTTGCTCGCCGACAATACATTGGATCCAATTTTTCGTTTCTTGCTTGGTGGCTCGCCATTTTCGGGACGCGGGCGCGAGAGAGTGAGAGGCCGGAAAGGTTTCATGGTGAGTAGCTTCACTCACCAACTAGCATCTCTGTTTGCGAGATGGTTGTTTGGGAGGCGACAAGGGTGGAGGCGAAGTAACGATGAGCGCGACGCGCCGAACCAAAACGCGGTCTTGCGCTATCACGTGACGTACCTACATCACTCTATCCAATGAACACGATTGATCTACTCTGGAATACCCATCTCCAGGCGTACCCCTAATAGATAGTTTGAATGTTTCCGTATTTGTTATTGACTGTGCCACAACATCGCCATTCTGTCACTCTTCTTCCGTCGGCCTGTTCATATCTTGTAAGTTTGAGATTTAACTGTTGCGCGATGGCCCTCTTATTCCAAAACCTTTTTTTAGTTTTGAGATTTTCTAGAAAGAAGAGGGTGTTGGGTATAGCTATTCGGTGCGGACGCGTAGTACCAAAGTGCGGCATATCAGGTGATGCATCCTTTCCTCTATTCAATTGAGAGAACAGGGCCGAGAAGCTGATTTACGGTGGCACGAGAGCTGCGTGTACCCCGCTGAGGGGCAAATGCTCCATTCAATGTTCTCTATATCTTTTCGCTGCCTCAGTCTCATACATATATACACAGAGAAGTCCTAGCGTATATCTATTCTGCATACTGCGTAGGGGTTTCGGTAGGCTGGCCGACCTTTGAATGGCTTGGATGACGCAATTTTGTGATTGTAATTTCTTTTTATTCCAATTGTCTTTTTTACGCTACGTAGCCCAAATTTAGCTGGTCACATTCCAGTCGACGCAACAGTGCGGGCAATGCCACAAATGGTCACCCTCAGTCTTGGGCAGCATTTGAAAACTCACCCTTATAGTACTGCAATCGTTAGCTGATGCCCGTTGCTACGCATAGATCTGGAGTCAGACTTTCAAAAAGACCGCACTTACCTCGGACACATTTCTCGCCAGCTTTGGGTCCTTGAGCCTTGATTTTGTGGTCGGTATGCTCCAGTTATTGACACCCCACCACCACCTCCGTATACGCGCGCCTACACCCTGTCCACTGAACTTTGTTGATCGATTCCAATGCCTCCAGCCGTTGAGGAGGAGGGTCCATAGAACACCCTGTGCGAAGCACATTATGACCTATTTCTCATCAGCATGGGTATCTCACAAGAAATGTGATAAGCTTATGGTACCTGATCTCGCAGCGTAATCCACAGCACGCCTTTCCATCCCTCTGCGTGCTCAATGCTCTTCAAGTAACTTTGCTCGAATCGGAGATCTGGCAGTGGAGGCATTGTCTTGTTCCGCGGTACTGGATCCAACACGCTGAGAGGAATCTCGTCTTCTCCAACATCCGAGACATCGGGATCGGGGTGTTCATTGAGACGGACTGGTTGTTTCTTGGATGCGGCGGTCGATGGGTTCACGTCATGTCGCGGTGACGGATTTCGGTTGATGGATGCGCCCTGCAGCACGGAGCCGACTTCTATGGGCGCGTCTGAATCCATAGTATCTGTCGATGTCTCTAGTTGCGACGCTCTAACCTAGAAGCGAAGCAACGTGCAGGTGTTGGGTAGTGAACGTCCTGGCTTGGCGATTGACGTCGGAGGTGCCTGCGTCTAGCGCAGATGGACCCTTGGTGGCGGCGGGCGGGACCTCCAAGTTGGCGGGCGCACGGCGACACAACCAAGCCCAGCAACCCCACAAGCCAGGTCCTCGACCACTCCTACCTTCACCGCACCCTAATCCTTACCGCCAACAAGCCGCCAAAATGGGTAACCAACAGTCGGGGCTGCTCGACAACATCGCCTCGGGCTCGAATTGTACGTAGGCGGCTGAAGAGAAGACTCACCTGAAAAGGGTCTGGCTAAAGGAATGCTTGCTGACGGCACGTAGTCGACCGCGAGGAGGTAGACCGCCTAAGGAAGCGATTTATGAAGCTGGACAAGGTGCGCAATTAAAGCTGCGCCAACAAGCCATACAGCCTAGCTAACTCCTGCCCAGGACAACTCTGGAACCATTGAGCGTGACGAATTCCTGGCCCTCCCTCAGATCTCCTCGAACCCTCTCGCAACACGAATGATTGCCATCTTTGACGAAGACGGTGGCGGTGACGTCGATTTCCAAGAGTTCGTCTCTGGCCTCTCAGCCTTCAGCAGCAAAGGCAACAAGGAGGAGAAGCTACGTTTCGCATTCCGTGTATACGACATCGATCGCGATGGCTACATCAGCAACGGCGAACTCTTCATAGTACTTAAGATGATGGTCGGCAGCAACCTGAAGGACCAGCAACTGCAGCAGGTGCGTGTGCATACGAGCTCCAAGGTGATGAGCACTAGAAGCGGTACTAACAATTTGTAGATTGTTGATAAGACCATCATGGAGGCTGACCTAGACCGCGACGGCAAGATCAGCTTTGAAGAGTTTACCAAGATGGTTGAGAACACAGATGTATCCATGAGCATGACCTTGGACCAATTTTAAGCGCTATTCCCTATGATAAATACAACAACATCTCCTGATACGAAGGTTTCCTCGGCGAGGCGTTCATGGTGTTGCAGGCACACTTGGGATGGATTTGAAAGTACTCGATATCCATCGACCTAGGGGTTTGGTTCCTGAACATGAGCAGTATGCATGAGGACGCTGATATTGACAAGAGGCAGTTGTGCAGCTCACTAGATGCAATCTGCCTTCACGAGAGATACCCAAGGCGGCCATTTCTCTGTAATGCAGGAACGGCCCGATTCCGCTTCTACTCTAGCACCAAAACACCAAAGCGCCCACTTCTACCTGTGTTTACATACCATTTCACAGTCTTGAATGCAATTCTGAAACACCTTCTTGATATCCATTCTCTATTGAACCCCAGAAAGACTAAACTTGGCTAAGCAGTGAAGAAACTAATTGAAAACAGTATTCTAGCATACTCCCGTCAGCCTGTATGAAAACGGCTATGCCATCGCTAACCCTAACCACACAAAACTCCAGCACACGACTAGTCCGTACAGAATAACGTCACTGTTATTCTACCGCCAGATATTTCCGAACTTTGCCTTCATAATGAACCAGGCTCCCGGTTCCGCACGCAGACGCGCCAAGAAAGCCTCAACATCCCTTTTGATGTAGTGTAAACTCTTAAGCATACCGCCCGCACTCTCAGACATACCACCAAGCTCTTCACGAATCTGGTCTTCCACAGCAGCCCCAACACCAGAAAACATCCCATGAACTTCCCGATATGCATTCAAATCGTCGCGCGCCCTCGTCATCAGCGCGTCCAAATCCGGCGGCAAGCTCCCAATCGTAGTGAAACGCGGATCTGACAGCGTCTGAAACAAGCCCTGATAAACTTGCAGCATCTGGAGCGCACGCTTGAAAACCCGTTTCAGCGGCGTAACTTCACTTACCACTACGTTATACACGACTTCCATCTTGTTTAGCAGCGCCCCTCGATCGTTAAGCAACGTCCTAGCCGCCACATTCTCGTTCTCAAGCGCACCAATCAGATTCGTGAAGACATCACTAAACGCCTCGCTCTCGCTCTCTACCTCGCATGCATGCGAGACTAGGTCTGCTAGTCGAACTTCGCACGCTGCCAAAGCCTTCTTGTCGCGTTCGCGCAAGCGCACAAAGTTTTCGGCGGCACGCTCATTTTCCGAGCGCAGTTTGTGAATGATAAGTTTGTGCTGCTCGAGCTCGCGGTGGAGTTGCTCTTTCTGCGCTTCTAGGTGGCTGACTGCTATTTGGTCTTTTGTAGCTTGCGTTAGAGACTCCTGGTAGCGAGATGCGCGCCGCTGCGAGTCCTCGGCAAGGACTTTGTAGTACTCGATTTGGCGGTGGGCTTGCTTGAGATCGACATGCAGGATTTTGACGTATTCGGCGTAGTTGACTACTTTTTCTTCGTCTTTTTCTCGGTACAGCTCTTGTATCAGGGCGGCTTGTTCTTCGAGTGCTTTTTGTAGAGCGGTGTTATCGGCTCGCAAGTTTTCTTCTTTGTATTTAAGTTCTATAATTTTGTTGTGTAGTTCTTCGGTTTCGTCCATTGGTACGGGGGGTTCTCGGCTTTTGGGGAGACGCTGCGGCTAGGTCCTAAGTTAGTAACCGTTTTCTTCTAGGGAAATGGGCCAGAGTTTTGGGGCCTGAAGGAAGGATTGAGCATATATGACCTGGGAATTTGACATTGTTTAGACATTGTTGGTGTACGGTGAAAGTTGCCAGGTGAAGTAACCAGAGCCACTGATTTTGTAAGCGCTCTTGAACAATGTGTTTAACTAGGATCGCATGATACCTTCATATAGAGCGAGATTCATTGCAGGGTTCTTGAATTGCCTGTTTTCAAATTTCTACCTGAAATGCAAAGACAATTGAGGTATAAACTGATGCTCGACTAAGTTGACACCTACCCTTGGAAAATCTGTAGATATCTAAATGGGACTTCTCTCGTTACTCATCTTCATCGTAATCATCAAAAGGCCAGTGCAGCTCCGTCATTTCTCTCGACCATGGGTCACCTTCTACAGAAGCCAGTGACTGCTTTCAAATCTCAGCTGCTATGCTCTTAGAGGTCTCGTAATGATCATTTGGAGTCCAACCATGCACCGGCACACCAATGTAATCGCTGATACCTTCCATGAGTGTGTCCACTTCGCGGTGCTCTTTGTATAAAGCCTCTATACGTTCCATCTCGTCTTTTTGTAAAAGACACAGGACAAGCAGGTGCTGTGCCATCTTGGTTTTGAGAAGCAATCACATCCCAATTCTTCTGAATTTGAACAAGGTTGTACTGAAGAGGCGTATTGAGACCTTTCCATGGTTCGTTAGCATGACCGAAGGTGCAAGGCTTGAGTAAGGTCGCCTATTGCTCAAGTGCATTCAAGTGCCGCGGGTTCATTGTTTGAGTGAAACCTAGATAGAAAAAATGCACGTGTCTGCGACGATAAACCTCCTGAGCTTGAGCTTTTTGGGACTCGTTTAAGGAGTCATAATCATCTGGAAGAGATGAATTGCAAGGGACATTGGATCATCGTCTTTGTAGTTTTGGAACCAGTTTGGTAAACCACTGGCAAGGAATGTTGGGAGTACGATGGTGTGCCGTCAGTTGATAAGGTCAGTGATCAGGTAATCTTTAGATACGAACATGTTGTCTGGTTCGATGTCAGGATGGCGAATAACAGGAAGGTTGAGTTCCGGCTCCTTTGTTATGAGATATGGGGCTACCTCCAGGTAGTTTCTGAGTGATGCTGCGTGGTCCATGGGGTCTTGCTTTTTGTATTGGACAGCTTCTCGACATTGTCGGTAGAATGGATGTCTGGGCCGCCCATATTTACGTAACCAATTTAGCTCCTTTATAGCAGGAGTTCAGAGGGCTTGTAGCGTATCAACATCTAAGCACTGTGAGCCTTTTCTGGGGAAATTACTTCAAATGGAGAGTTACGAGGCCCTCGGTCAAGCTCAAGATATTCTTGCCTGTCAAACCACCAGCGCAATCCAGTATAAGGATCCATGCAAAATTTACCAGCTGACCCAGGAAAACCTACCTTGAATGTACCCCGTTCGAGGTCGTGAGTGTAGTATATACTTCCACTACTAGGGAGTGGGATGTCGAATAGCTTGGCTTCTAGCTCGACAACGTCATGTATTACCTGCGTTCTTTGCTAGTCGGAGAAATCGAACTAAGCATTTCCGATTGGGTTTCTAGATCCCTTTTCCATCAATATATACTCTGTACCAACTGAATTCTTGTCTATAGCGTATTCCAGCACTCGTGGAATTGGAATGTCGGATGTGCGGACGAAGTCCATCGTTGCGACCTCGCTAGCGACGGCTAACCGTCACGGCAATTTGAATGAATAGGGGACTCGAGCAATAATAGAGGTGCCATCTCTCATGGTTATCTTGAAGATTCCATTGTAATTATCTTTGGTAACCTTCTAAAGACCCTTGACATCAGACTCGGACCTGTTGATAGAAGTTGCGGCAGCTTTCATGAGTTCGTTGACGTTAAAGCATAACCGTCTTTCGGCTAATAGTTTGCTCTCTTTTTATCTACCGTGAATCAGATATGGTATCAGAGTTCGGAACAATTGATCTCATCGGCAGATTGATTGTTCTCAATTCTGCATGGTATGCAATACTGAATGATATTTTGCCAAAACTTATATCTATGTGCTGGAGTTATATTCGAACAACTCATGATTAGCTATGCGATCTCGTATATAGATTTTAGAAAAGTGTTGACGTAGTACTAAAACTCTGAAGAATCTTGAATCTTGAGTTGCCCCGTTTGAGAAAGGGCGTCAACCCTTGCCGAACCGACATTCTTGAAAACATTGTCTGCGCAAGAAATGAAAAGGCATGTTCTTAAGACGGCGTTTCTTTGATAAGAGGTCGAGTTGAAATGGATTCGCGGCGGTAATGATATGGGGGAGACGATCAGGTCGAACATGGCAGATTTACTTAGATCTGTGCGCTGCGCTGTGTGACTAACATCCTCATTACAACCATAGTTCGCAGTGATACTACCTCCTTCGCAATCATGGTTTACTATCCTACTACCTTTGTTATGACTTTCGCAGCCAAATTGATTTGTCTGTACCTAGTGGAGGTGTGACTAATGGGCATATACCCTTTAAGAGGTGTATGTATCCTTCGTAGTATTATTTTTCTTTTGCAGCATCAGCTGCATATTATAAGTGGTCCTGTAGGACATTTCGTGTAAGAAGAAACGTAGTCTAATTAGCTCTAAGAACCTCTGTGCTCTTTGGCCGTCACATCTTAAGATGAACAGTATTGCCTTTGATCTCAATGCCTTGAGATAGAGCTCCATTTCTTTTTAGCACTCCCACACTAAATTGCACCCTATCTGGAGGCCTAGAGAGCCGGCTAGAGCTAGAAATCCCATTTCACCACTAGACCACAACCGATCCAAAGGTTTCTGGTATACCTAGCCTGTTACATAAACATCACGTGACGGCAAAATCACCTCAAAAACATCATCCATATATACAAGTAAAGCGGGTGACTCTGACATCTTGGCACATATATGAGCGTTTAAGAAATGCGAAATTAGTTTCAACCTTCTTCTGTAGGACCTAATAAATGAATTGGGTATATCCTACATTACTACCCGTATTTACAGTTTGAAGACGGTTTTTCCAGGACGTCCTGACTGCCGTGATCTTCGTCAAAGACCAGCTCCACATGTTGAGAATCGTAATCTGACACTCTTATTCTCGCCGTTTGCTGGAACGTACTCATCCGATGAATTCCCGTTGTTGTGTTCTTCAAAGCAACTACAGAGGGGCTTGACTGTTGAGCAAGCGTCAGCAACTCGGGTATGGAGTCCCAGCAGCTGGAACTACGCCGCCGGATAATCAAGCGGAGTATATGAAGGACGGCCATGATGAGGTGTAAGAAGACGACAATTAGAGCAAGTATGTCGGTCGTGGAAGAGACTTTGAAGGCGTAGCCGGTGATTTCTTGTCTGATGTGAAATTCGGTGAATGTAGAAGCTGACATGGTAGAGGGATTCTCGTATGCTTGGCCATCCTTTAGGAGCTCGGATTGATATAAAGATTTGCGTATGTGGTACGAAACGGGATTGTACTTTTTTCTTTGGATCGGGACGGTAATGTTCAGAACTCGCCAGCTGCCGGCGCGTGATATAGCATCGGCAAAGACGGAAGCCAGTATGTGTTCTACATTTGGAACGAGAAACGAGTCGGATGTCGCCATAGATATGAGAGACGATATTGTCGTTCTCGATTCGGAGTCATTGGAATTCAAGATAGTGTTGTTTGTCACTGTCGTTTCCCATGGCATATCAATGCTTGTGTTGAGCTTCAAATTGACAGCGTCGAACCAGTCGGCAGTGATACGAAGTCGGCGCCAAGAGTCTTGATGTCCAGCATCCAGTCGAAACATGTCATATGCCCGGTAAGATGTTTCCGTAATGTCACCGGACTTGGGAGCTTTTGTGACCGAATAGACCTCCGGTTGCACTGCCTGAGCAAGGCTCACCGACAACGATCCCTTAGCCCATCTTGCATCAACAACACAAGCGGAAAGGTTGCGTTGACTCTTATCTGACGTAGGAACATCAACTATGATACCCAGGGTGGCTGTCGTCCACGTAATATCGGCCATATCCAAAGCAACAATTGATGGATGCGGTGATTTCCGTAGAGACTCCAATGTCTCACCTGGCAACTCTACCGTGCGATTTTCAGTAGGATAGCCAGGGCTCTGATCATCAAAGATTATGTCGTTCGTGATTGCACTGCTGAACTCTGGGACGACAGGAAATTGGAGAGATGTCTGCTCAGACTCGAAGGTTTGCGAGGAGCTGCACACTACTCGCACTGCCGGAACCCATGTTTCAACAATAGACTTCATTTGGTTGTAGTATCTGTATCTTGAAAAGGGAGAGTTGGAGTCGACGGGTATGGCGTCAGCAGCAATTTGCCATTCATCGTTGATCCTTGCCGTAACCCACGCCGCAGGACCATGAATGCCGGTTGCTGATGATTCTAGCGCTACTCTAGCTCTCTGCGCAGATGCTAGGCTGTAGGGCGGCACTTGTCCTTCTGGACTCCAAATCAGGAAATCCGCAGGTGCGTATCGAGAGTCCTTAGGGGCTGACCACGGTCTAGGGTTGTCGGTCGAGGAAAATCTGTTTGCCAGCGCCATATACCCGCCGGCTGGGCAAAGCGCATTGGTATATGCATTTGATGAAGAGCAGCTAGCCCCGAATACATCAGCTCCAAGATCAGGCATGTAGTGGTTGATATCGAGTGTTGAGGGCCAAAGGTCTTCTGAACTGCCGTTGATCCAGTACTTGGTTCCCCCGGCAGGCCATGTATGTTCGCGTGGTATAAGTAAAACCGCAACAGCAGGACCAGCAGTCACAGCGATGAAGCCTGCGAGCACGACTAAGCAAAGTGTCGCTGCATTCCGTCTTATTGCCCCCTGACTTGAGAACGACCCGATGAAAGCCGTGGACCAGAAATAGCTCAATTGGGTGAATAGTGCTCCCACTCCTACCAATCCAAAGGGAACACCGTTACCGTCAATGAGATCATACCGAACTTTGTGCATAATAATGGCAGTAAGGCTGGCGATAATGAGAAGCTCTTGAATTTTGGCTGCGATCTGAAGAAGTGCCGTATATTCTGATGTTTTGCCAGATTCACCGGCGAGTTCAAATCCGATAAAATGACCGTGTATATTGATTATGATAAGAAATAAAGCGAACGCGCATGGCAAGAAGTGTACCGCGCATCGCTGGAATGCAAGATGTAGTGACTCTGTTCTGACTGGTTTCTTCGGCTCATGCGGAATATGGTAACGAAGAAGATAAGTTATTAAAACACAAAAGGCGCCTAGGCCTATAGACCGGAGAAATGTTGCCAGGGGTGGATCGTATGGATTCCTGTGACGTTTGTCACGTATGTTGTACATTCTGACGACGTAATAGAAAAAAGCTAGGTCCAAAGTAAACCCAATAATTCCTATTCTCCATGGATATAATTATGGCTACTGAGGCTCTTCTCTGAAACCAGGTACCCAGCTTGTCGGCGGCTATGTTGCTTGGCAGCGATATTGCAAGGTATGACAACGCAGGGCAGGGGTAAGGTTATTCGTCGCCCCTGTTGTTCAATAGCTGATCCAGTCTGCGTCAAACCTCATACATGTCTTACTGTGAGTCTAATCAAAATCTTTTGTACTCTGACCATGATTTTAGAAAGAAGAAGATAGTGGACTTTCTTTTCTAGATGTAAGATGAGTAAGGAGATGGCTGTCACAAAGTTCCTGCCTACAGTGTGTTCTGTGGGCTATAGTCACTTCGACCACAGGGTGAGTATGGCCTGTGGCGAAATGTCATAATCTCGTGACTAGCATTGCGGATGCTGGTAGCCGTTTCAATGCAAACCATACTGCGATCGTACTGAGATTGCGCGTCGTTTGGGGGCGGTTATTGCATGGCACAAAATTCTCCGCCCCACCACTTGCATCGCATCTTGTATGGGTTCTTGTCAGAACCATTAAATGCATCCTACTACTCTTACAAGCTTTATCGGTCCGATCTCAAAGTATCGTTACCGATAATCCTGATAACCTTATCAATTTGGGGTCCAAATTCTCACGAGTCTTGTCTTGGATCAAACTCCGGCTTTCTGCGACGCCGCACTGGCGTCGCAGGATAACCTTTTTGAGCTACAACAACTGTTATTTCCAAATGACGAATGTTGCAGCTGTGTGTTAGTATAAAGCTCGCCGGTGAGGTTGGACACCAGCTTTTGCACATTGAGTTTTGTAAGGATGCCGGGTCCAGTTTCTTCAGATATGCCTGCAAGGACACAAGGATTTAAATTACTATCCTTGTTTGCTTGCGCAGTAGCAGAGTAAGTGCTTCGGCAGATAAGAGATACTCGCGCAGCGCTTGGCGGTGTGTTATGAAAAGCGCGATACCATCTATGGAAATATTGCCGTTGATTTGGGGATGGAGTGAAGAGAGATCAGCGGATATCCTTGAGTCGGGGGCGCCGATAGAGGTCGTTTTAATGGTATGCTAGACTCCTATGGAGAGGTTCGTGATGATTTTAAGTCCTTTTTAGCCTCTTGTCAGGTTGAAGAAGATGATTTAGCCAGTCGGCCAAGGGTCCAGAGACTTTGACTGTCTGACAATTGAAAGATTTTGCTAGGGCGAAGATTGGGTTATATTCTGAGATGTAGACAGAGTTTTCCGTCCGCGCACCATCTGACAATGCATTGCGGGAAGATGAGAGTAAACATACAGATATCTTCGAGAAAAAAAAGATAGCCAGGACTGAGTATACTCGCGTTGGAGGTTTGGGGGTTGAAGATAGTGAAATCCCTTGTGCGTCGTTTTTGCCCGTCAACTTCCGTGACTAATGGAGTTTTCATCAAAGCACCAGAGTGATGGCCACGTATTCACTTTAATCGGCCTCATTTTTCTCGGCCTGAAAGTATGCTGAGTTCTGATTGAGGGACTTTCCTGATAGTGTGTTATTAGCAAGAATAGCCTGGTGCAATCAGATCCAAGTAGATTGGCAAAAGCAAGACTTTTGTAATCTCATCGAGCCAACATATAACATGGCTCAAAGTAAAAACAAGATACGGGAAGTGGGCGCCTCGAGCAAGGTTGGCATGGACTTACTTACCTCTGCTGAGGTTTGAGCCGCCGTCATCATACTCTGTGTGGGGTAGACTACTAGCGATGTCGTGACCATTGCATAAGAGCGGTTAACATACTTGCCTAACTAAACATATCCCGTCCGAGTAGTCACAATTAATGCCAAAGGGAATACCGCATAATGACATTAATTCTGCTTCGTAGTAGAATAGCCTGTAGCTGGCATCGGTAGTGAGACAACGTTACACAAACTCAACAACACAACTGAATCCGATGCTGATGACGTCACAGTACGTGTTCGCTTCTGCAACGTTGAGCATCGCACACAGCGACGATGACCCAAGGAACCGTTAGATGTAGATTGAAAATTGGCACAGACTCCTTCCTCCAGTGAATTACTCGGCAATGTCCACCCGTACTATGTAGGCAAGCAAGATACGCATTTCCTGTTGCCTCGGAACCGCTTGATAAAAAGCAACTATAAGAGCCTACAGCCAACAGGACGACTGCTGTTCATAAAACAGCGAGAAATATATCACATTCTTCAATCGATACAAACAGTTGTCATCGACATGTTCGCAGCCTTCTTATCCATCCTTGGCCTCAGCACGACACTAGGGGCAGCATGCGTCGGCGGGGAGCAAAATACGACATGTGTACTGAACACCGATCCACTACAACAACCCTTTCCCTTCTTCTTTCCACACGAAGATGCAGCAAACACCTCTGCATTGTTTCCAATGCCGAAATGTAAAGGAATCACGCTTGAAGAAGCCACCATCGACCAATTGCAAGAGTACCTGAATGCTGGAACCATCACATCTGTCCATCTCCTCAGGTGCTGTCTTGACAGAATACACCAAGTCGACAAATATATTAGTTCGATCATGGAACTCAATCCAGATGCCGAGAAGATAGCCATAGCACTTGACGCTGAGCGTACTGCTGGTCACGTGCGAGGCCCACTACACGGTATACCATACATTGTCAAAGACAACATTGCGACCAAAGACCGGATGGAGACTACGGCAGGAAGCTGGATGCTAATGGGAAGCGTGGTACCTCGAGATGCGCATGTTGTTGCAAAGTTACGGGAAGCAGGCGCTCTTCTGATGGGCAAAGCAACCATGTCTGAATGGGCTGATATGCGATCGAACAACTATTCCGAAGGGTACTCGGCAAGAGGTGGTCAAGCGAGAAGTCCTTACAATCTAACCGTCAATCCTGGGGGAAGTAGTACAGGAAGTGCAGCAGCAGTAGCTGCGAACATCGTTACTTTCTCACTAGGTAAGCTCAAGTCCTCAAAGATCCATCTCCGATCCAACATTGACACACCACCAGGCACCGAAACCGATGGCAGCGTCATCAACCCCGCAGAACGCAACTCCCTCGTTGGCATCAAACCCACGGTAGGCCTCACCTCTCGCGCGGGCGTAATCCCAGAAAGCATCCATCAAGACACCATCGGCACCTTCGCCCGCACTGTCCGCGACGCCACCTACGCCCTCGACGCAATCTACGGCATAGACCCGCACGACAACTACACCTCCGCCCAAGAAGGCAAAACGCCCAAAGCCGGCTACACATCCTTCCTCTCCAACGCCTCTGCCCTCTCAACCGCAACCTTCGGCCTCCCCTGGAACACCTTCTGGATCCACACTCCACCATCTCAAAAACCCCACCTCCTCTCCCTCCTCACCCTTCTCCGTTCCTCTGGTGCAACAATCCTCAACACCACCGAGCTTCCCCATTACCGCACCATCATCTCCCCCTCCGGCTGGAACTGGGACTACGGCACCACGCGCGGCTTCCCCAACGAATCCGAATACACAGTCGTCAAAACCGATTTCTACAACAACATCCGCACGTACCTTTCCTCTCTCGAAAACACATCCATCCGCAGCCTCGAAGATATCGTCGCGTACAACTACGCCAACGACGGTACCGAAGGAGGACACGCATGGCCCGGCGGTATCCCCGCGTTTTTCTCCGGCCAAGACGGCTTTCTCGCATCCCTGGAAACACGGGGTGTCATGGACGAAACGTATTATCAGGCCCTGTCTTTCATCCAGCGCACCACGCGCGAGGAGGGCATCGATGCTGCTCTTACGCATGAGGGACGCAAGATAGATGCGTTGTTGGTACCCGCGGATGTAGGACAGACGTATCAGGTTGCGGCGCAGGCGGGGTATCCGATGGTTACGGTGCCGGTGGGCGTGGGCGAGGAAACGGGAATGCCGTTTGGACTGGGGATTATGGGGGGTGCGTGGTCAGAGGGGAAGTTGGTGAGGTGGGCGAGTGCGATTGAGGATTTGATGAGAGGGGAAGGCGGGAGAGAGGATATGGGGAGGACGGTGCCGAGGTGGTTTGGGTATTTGGAGAGAAATGTTCCGGTTAGGAACTTGTAAGGGTTGGGGGAGAAGTGGTGGATTGGGCTGGGGTGTGTTTGGGTGTTCATGTGGTTTTAGTCTCGGGAGGCTGGGGGAGGGGGGATATACTTTCATTATGCAGGTACAACACTGCGATATGATCAACGTCTTTAGTGATCCAAGAGTTCTTGTGTATTATTGAAATTACAACTCTAACGTCTTTTACCAAGCGAAACCCTACGAATAGAACAAGTTCTAAAAAATATCTTCCAAACCGGCCTCACCCCATGACGTTTCACCCTTTGCAACACGGTCTCTGATCTTCCAGTACTCGTGGTTAAAAACCCAGTACTCCTCACCGGTAATCTCGCACGTGCCCTTGGTAAACCATCTGGGCTGGAACTCTTTACCCTCTGCCTCTCGCTGCCGCCTTGTAGCACGCTGCTTCTCTTCTACGCGGTTCTTTTCCGTGGCCGCAAAGTCGTACTCGCCATCTTCCATGGCGCGCTGATCAGGCCGGAGTCGCGTGTCTGTTGGGGCAATGATTGGGCGCAACTTATCGTTGATGGCGTTGAGCGTCACGACAAAAGGAGTAAGATTGAAGGGTATACCAGCTGGACGCTCGTGGCACTGCCAAACGAGGAAAGCCTTGTTGTCGTCGTGTTTTGACGGCTTACCGCCCTTGTCAATGTCTGCATCCTCAAAGCCGGGGGTGAATCTAGCGTAGATCTTGTCATTCCATCGCCCGCCGATGCTCCAGCGCACTCGGCCTTCTGCATCCATGACTTTTCCGACAACCTGGTATGCTGAAGAAGCTTTCCAGCCACGAGGTTTGAAATCCAGCAAGCACTTCTCCCCGGTAGTCCAGTTGGTGATTTCCATGAGACCGTAATTATCGATGACGGGGTTTCCGGTAATGATACCGATGACAGTAGATGTGACCTTCTTCCACGTGTACATTTCCTCTTTTCCACCTGTTGCAGTGGGTCGCAGGCGCAGGAACCAGGTACCCAGTGGATTGATGTCGAAGGATTTGCCGTAGAACTTTGACTTAACCGCCGACTCACCCTGCATATTGTCAGATGATGCTTCATAGTTTCAATTTTAGAACCTACATAGTAATCCCATTTCTTCGCCTCTGCAAAAGCAGCTCCAATGGGTGGATGATGGCTGACCTGCTCAATGAAGAAGCGATAGCCCTTGTCTGGTCTGGCGTACTCATAAGTCTCAGCAAGGAGAGGATTGAAAGGCTTAGCAACACGCCCAATAGTAGAGGCATATTCGGAAGCCGCAAACGCAGCGACATAAAGCAGTCGTTCTGTGGAGTCTGATCGTTCGGCAGCCGTGTCGAGAAGATCAGTGTATTCCATATCCTCCGCCACACGTTGGAGTAGTGATGTTGGCTCGTTGAAGGATACCGGCAGCGTCATCTTGGTCATGTCCTTGCCAATCATGGACTTGAGAATTCCCTAGCCAGTCGTCAGTATTATGTAAAGTGGTAGCGACATTGAACATACCCAAAGTGAAATCTTCGGCCTGTCATCTGCGTCCATTGCCAGTCGCTTTCGTGGACCATCTTCATAGCCTGCCCACGCAGTGGCGATTTCCATAGACTTTCTCTCCAATGGATCTTCGGAAGAGTCTGGGGCACTGCTTTCCACCTCTTTAGGAGCGCTGGGAGCGGGCATCTCCACAACCTCGACTTCGCCAGCACCGATTGCATCGAAGAACTCTTCGTCATCTTCAGACTCAGAGTCGGAAATGTGGGCTGCAATGTCTGCCAGGGTGGACTTTTTCTTAATCTTCTGCTTTTGGGTGGATGCGCCTGCGGGCGCTGTCGCCTCCTTTTCCTGCACACCGTCTTCTTGTGCATCAGCGAATTCATCTTCGTCTTGCTTTGCTTGTGTTCCAGCTTCAATCTTCTCAAAGCCTTCCAACGCTTCCCGAAGTGCTTTTTTCTGTTTTCGCCGCTTTTCCTCCGACTCGCCTATCCTATTCTCAAGCTCTTCTTGTTCCTTTGCGACCTTGGCCATGCTCTCTTCCCACATGCGACGCACATTGGCTTCGCGATCTAGTCGGTATTGCCAGTAAGCATCACGGTCCCTGGAAATTCTGAGAAGATCTCCGATGAGTCCTTTGAGGTTGCCAATGGCTGATTCATACGAGGCCAGCGCTTGCAGCATCATAGGGTCAGAAATCTGCATATTGGGTGATCGTTCCTTTTCTGTCTGCAGTGCTGCAGAAACAGATGTCAACAAATCAAGCTGTAGCTTGGCGGACTGCGCAGTAATGTTGAAGGCATCCTTGCTCTGCGGCTTCATCTCATGACTGCTCGAATCGTCCCCATACTCGTCTTCGTCGTCATCATCGCCGGCAACAGTCGCTGTTCCCATGTGACTGACCAGTCTATCAAGACCCTGGCTGTGCATGCTAGGCTCATAGACGCTACCAGGGTCTTCTGTGACACTGACCGCAGTTCGTGAAGATGTGGCATCGACGTTGTTTAAAGGAATGTTTAGATTGGATGCTGGGATATGTTAGTATGTAGAGAGACCTCTTCTAGAGCAACTTACTGGTTGGGTGCTGCTTGGAGCTGCTGACTATCTTGGAGCTCCCAAGGCTGGAAGAGTCACCCTCACCCTTGATCTGCTCAATCTTGGCCTGCTTGAGCATCTCTTGGTCCTGAGTAGCCCGCTTTTCTTCTTCGCGCGCTTCGTCCTTGGCCCATTGGATCGCGTTGTTCAATGCCCAATACCATCGTTTGGCCTCGACTTGATGGTTTGCCTTGAGATGGTACTTTACAGACGACTTGCCTTGAATCTCAAAGCGCTGCTTGTCTTGGGGATCCATGTACAGCTTGGCGATGCGCATGTTAATCGCACCACGGCATGCAGATCCCGTATCATCTTGGTGCTTGTAGTAGCTTAGCACACCATCTTCAAGGACGAACCAACGCAATTTGTAGCCAGTCGTATAATTTGTCCACTTCTTCAGGTACCCCTTCATCTCGCGCGACTCCTTGACGCCCATTCCAACCTCTGCAGCTGCTTGTCCTGGTGGTGCACCGGCGAGAATGGTCTTCTCCTGTATTCCTCTTTGTGCGGCTGCGGCAGCGGGTGATCGCTTCAAGATTGCGCGGGTACGGTCATCCTTGGTGTAATCCTGAGGAAGCTTACCCTTGCGATCGCGGCGAAATGGGTCGGCTCCATTCAATAAGAGCAGCTGAGCCAGTTTGACGTCCTTTTTCTTTGCAGCTTCATGCAGAAGCGTGCCTCCAGCGTCAACGACAACCGGGTCGGTCGCTAGCTCGCCGCCATTGACATCGAGAGTGCTCTTTACCCGGTTATCCTGGAGAATCTTCTCGAGCGCATCCATGTCCCCTGATATGACCATTTGTTGTATCTTTTTTACGTACGTGTCGATGAAAATGGACCGCGACAGCTGCAGGGCCTGGAAAATATCTGGCGTACGGGCGAGATCTAACGGGGTTTGGCCGTTGTAGTTGGTTACTGAGTCGTTGATGCCAGGTTGATCAAGTAGCATCCGCACAACTGCAGTGCGGCCAAGTATGGCAGCGAGGTGGAGCGGTGTGTTGCCATCGCGGTCGCGGCCGTTGATGTCGACGGGTGAGTCTGGCGATGCAGTAGCATTTGACAGGACGAATTCAATTACTGGTACCTCTGCGCACTGTATAGCTAAGTGCAGAATTGAAGTTCCCTCTGTACGTGCATTAGGGAGCTGTATCGACGACCGGCTGCTCTCGCCATCGGCTGGGCTCGATTGCTCCCGGATTGCGCGGGATATAGCTGCCGTGTCGCCATTTCGCAGCGACTCAAAAACTCTAAACAGCTTCACCGACTGCTCGATTGAGGTTGCCTTTGTGGGAGATGTAGGAGTCTGCTGGATGCCGGGAGATGAGGGACTGAGTGCGTCTTGGCTTGGACCGGGACCGGACATGCTAGTGGAAAGATGCGGGTTCTTTTTGGAGAGACTGCGGCCGTGTCCCGGCGTGTTGTATCCTTTGATCTGGGCAGCGTGCTGTGAGGTGGCCGACGTAGCTGAACCTGGGGGAGAGTTGTCGCTAGGGTCGGGTGTGTCGCCGTCGGGCTTTGACGACACGCGGGACAGGAGGTTCTTCACACTGGCCGACTTGGAGCGCTTGTGCCTGTAGAAGTAGGCAGTCAGCGATGAGCCTTGGGAGCCGCAAGCCGTGTCTTGTACACTGATCCCCGCCATGGCGACTGGCAGGCTTGGAGCCGAGCACTTACCCTTCCATAGCCGCTTGATTGGCCGACCAGCCCAGAGATACAGCAGGACGCGTGTAGGATGTCAGCAAAGAAGACGGAGAGGGTGTTTGTGGGTTTGGTGTTCAATTGAAGTTGAGGACACAGCGCAAAGATAGACTATGCAATCGATGAATATACTGTGTATGTGCTGGACAGCCAGACTTCGTTTAGGGGTCTGGGCTTTGCTTGCGGCCAGGGAAACTGATAGCGGGGCGCTCGTCAAGCTTGGGGTTTCGTCAGAGGCGCGGGTTCACCAGCCACATCAGCCACGACAGCCAATCATGGCCGTCGACGTGCATACAGCCACAACGGGCGGTGCCTGGGGCGTGCTGACAGCCAATCACGCGCCTCGGAGCTTTGCACGCCGCCGCCGCCTATCAAGTCCTGTCCTGGTCGTCCAAGATTTCTATAGACTACAGCAATTGATGTGTTATGTTACATACACTAACTAACACTCGTCTGGTACCTTATGACGCGTTCCCACTAACTAAGATAATGGCACTTCCTAGTTGTCGCCGCAGATCCTCACTTTGAACGTCGTGTGTGTCTTCTACTTCACCCCACTGCACCGTCTGCCACTTGACCTCCAAACTGCTTGCCTCGGCCGCTTCGTTGATGCCAAATCGACTAGCCTCAGCGGCTGGCCGTGATTGCGCAAATGCCTCGCTCCATTCATGCACCAGCCGTGCGCTGACGAGCAGGCTCTTGGATGCCAGCACTGCCCGCTCCAGCCCCGCAAGCTCATAGGCGGGGAGACCTGCACACCACCCGCGAATTACTTCCTGCGTCATCTTGGGCTGCTCCACGGGAATGATGGAGTTGGGGTCAAGCGTGGGCTTGATCTCGACACCAGGGAACACGTGGGTCTGGAGATGTGCAATGATGCCCGTAGCCACCTCTTCCTGGATCTGGCGCAGTGTCTTTCCGTCCTGCAGCGTGTCGTTGATAACCTTTTCGGGTGCCCAGCAGAGCAGTGTATCGGTAGCGAGCACACGCATGAAGTAGGCGAGGATGTCGTTCCGGATGTTGGACTGCCCCGCCTTGTCTGCCGCCTCGATATCAATGGCACGCGCAGCCAGCGAGGTCATGGGGATGTAGTCGTTCTTGAGCGCCTGCTGTGCGCTCATGAGAAGGTCCCATTCGAGGGCAATGGCAGCGGCGAGCTGGGGCTTGGAGGCGGGGACGGTGAGGATCTGCTTGTTGGGCATTCGGACGGGGCGGTGATCGAGGAAGACCTGCAGGCCACCATCCGTCTCCTTGACCGAGACGTCTTTCCAGAAGCGCTTGGCCAGCATGCTCTTTGGCTTGTTGGAGGGGGTGTAGGACTCGCGCATCTCGCGCGCCTGCTTCATCATGTCGGCCTGCCGCCTCTTTCTCGCAACCCGTTGCGCTGCATCTGAAGGTTGGGCCTGGGGTGTTTCAGGTGGTGGACCGGGCACTGTGTGGCGTCAATGGGTGAATAGGCACATGTGGTGCAAAGCCGTGCGTACCTGACGGGTGAGGCAGAGGCGTAGCGCCCCGCGCCGGCGATGTGTGCAGACATTGGCACAGCAGCGGCCGGCTGTAGGCTCGCTGTGGTGCAGGCAGGCGGATCTTTGCCAGTGCTGGGCGGATCGACTCCATGGTGGCGGGGAATGGGATGGATTTCAGCGTATGCGTTATATCCGACGATGATGGGACGTCGAATAAGGCCGGCGCGGCAACTTTTTTCCTTAGCGGGCGGTGGACATAGCGCCCCATGAAATCTGGGGTTCTCCGCTTCACACGCACACACGCACACGCACACGCACACGGCGCACACGCAAGCCGCACCACCGCTCACCTCACCACCCCCGTCCACCCCTTCTCGGTTCTCGGATGCTCTCTACTTAGTGCACATACCTGCACCTCCCAGCAGTCGTCGCAGCCTCAGTCGATGGACCCGCCCCGGCGTCTCTGAACATGCGCTTGCTTCCCCACAGCTTCTCGTCCCTCTGCATGTTCTCCACCCTCTGGTCTGGCTCGTCTCCGATCGGCCATTGACGCGCTTCTGGCTGTCGCTACCCCACCCACCACCTGCTCCCCTGCATCGCCGCATTCCCGCATTCCGCCTTTGATGCGGCCCCTTCCGCCCATCTCTGGCCTCAAACTCTGCTTTTCATGAATCAAGCGGCCTCTCCGCCGGCCTCTGCGAATGCTGCCGTGCCCCAGCCCAAGCCCATCCGCTTCGTCACCAACCATGACGGGCCCTATGCCAAGCGCCGTCGCATCAACTCGGCCTGCTTGACATGTCGGAAGAAGAAGACGCGCTGTTCCGGTGAGGCCTAACATACCCAAAATACAACCATTGGTGCTGATGGTACAACAGGCGAGCGCCCGGTTTGTGGGACTTGTACCCAAAACAAGCACGAGTGCGCGGGCTACGGCGACGACAATGGCCCGGGCGATGCACAGAAGAATAGCAAAAAGGCTTCCTCCCGACGAGCGAGCACAGTATCCAACAGCAGCACTCTGGCTCTGAAAAATGAGGCTCCTATCGATCCCCAGCTTACGCGACCGTCTATTCCACACACAACCTCCCAGGCCTCTGACTCCAGCACCGTTAATCCGTCGCCCAAGCAGGATATCGCCACTGGAAGTTCCGGCCTAACTTTGAGCACGCGCAATAGGATGCCGTATTTTCGGTACTTTGGTCCCACCGCCATTGTGCCTGGCCTGAGGCAGATGGTCGTCAAGGTGCGCGGGAAACAACATGGAAGTGCGCAGACTACATCCGATCGTACGTATCACCCCGAGTTAGGCGTTAAATATTGTCGTGTGCAAAACCGATCACCTGAACAATTGAACCGGAACTGCTGCTGACTTTACCAGCGCACATTGTCGAATCCTCACCTGCTCAGCCTTCTGTGGGGTCGCCACCTGCACAAGAAGCTCGTACCCCAATAGAGATACCCGTATACGACGCTTCGTCTATGTCTCCGAGTCCGCTCATCACCCATCTCTGCAAGGTCTTCTTCGCCCACCTCGGCTGCTCATTCCCGTTTCTGCAAAGAGAAAGGTTCATGCGCGACTTGGAGGAGAAGCAAGTGGATGCCATACTTGTAGATGCTGTCTGTGCCTTGGCGGCCCGTTTCTCGACACATCCCATGTTGACGGGCAACAACAACAACGATCACAAAGACAGCGAGAATGAAAGCTCTAAGCTTCAACCCTCGGAATATGGTCAGGCATTTGCGCAAAGAGCAAAGTCCGCAATTCCAGATGCCTTTCCATGTCCCAGTGTGGCAGTGGTGCAAGCTGCTCTTCTCCTCGCCTACGATGAATTCGGTGCAAGCCGCGATAGTGGCTTGTGGATGTATCTTGGAATAGCTATTCGCATGGCTCAAGATTTGGGAATGCAGTCTGTAGAAGGTCTCAAGTATGAAGGACGCCACGGACCAACGCCGAATTCGGTCAAGAGTAACCTAGAAGAGCCGCGGCCATCGGAGCAGTCTGCGTCACAAGACAACCGTGAAAGAAGTGCCGAAGAACAAGAGCAGCGGGCGGCCGAGCGTGAGAGATTGGACACTTTTTGGTCAATCTTCTTCCTAGATCGAGTCATCTCGTCTGGCACCGGGCGTCCAGTCACCCTGCGGGACCGCGACATTGAAATTTCTTTCCCTTCTCTGGACGAGGTCGATTCTTCTGGATGGCCACTGCCCTACCCTGCCTTGATCCGTGTCATTCATCTCTATGGACGCGTGACTGATTTGCTGAACCGCATCAGAAGCGCTGCCGATGTCACGCCAGAACTTCACAAGCAGTTAGGAGTTTGGGAGGACCGACTGACAAACATTTATCAGAATCTCTCGCCTAAGCTACACTTCAATGCTGTAAACTTCCAACAGTACGTCAAGCTAAACCAAGGAACAAACTTCTTGTTGCTCCACTGCTGGTTCCACACGCTCATCGTTCTACTGCACCAACCGACACTCTTGAGAACTTTCGAGGGTACGCCTCAGCCGCAATCCAATCATAGCCGAGAATTGTCCATGTCTTCTGCAAAGACTGTTGCCGATATACTAGCTTTCACGGAGCTTATAGATGTGAAGACTGGCATGGGTAATCCGTTTACTAGGTTTGTGCTTCCATACCCTACCTGTCTCAATGGTTAAACTAACACCGTTTTAGTCAGCCCATATACATCGCTGCATGTGCCTTTCTCAAGGAGACAGCTATCCACTCTGCATCGTCTCAACCCCATTCCCGTCCTACAAGCCCTAATCGAAATGAAGACAATGACCAGAAAGCACCCATTGGCAACTCGCTTGACCGTCTCGACACTACCAGTTCTTCCGTCAACGATCGTGAACAGAAGCAGACTGCCGCCAAGCACACACTGCTTGCGTCTGCTGCCAACCAAAATTACCAACGTTGCTACCGCGCTCTAAAGGCGCTCGAAACCTATTGGGCAGGAGTCAAGTACATCATGACCGTGCTCGATCAAAAGGCGAAGGGCGTTTGCGATCCCCTGCTTTACACTGCGGAAGAGATGGAAAGCGCTTTGGAGGCACCCAGACCGGAACCATCATTCACTAGTCCGGGCTGGAGAAGGAAGCTTAGTTGGGGCACATACTTGACAGCTCAGAACTCGGACGCAGATGTTGCCAAGATGGCAGCTGCCATTAGGAAAGGCGCGCGATCTCCAAAGTTGCCTGGCTCACCAATGGTGCACCCTAGTCAAGGTATGTACCTCATCCCGACATTTTGAACATCTCATTAACTCGTGCGTAGCGATAGGATGGTCACTTACGGGAACCATGAACTCGCCTTCGACAAACGTGGCCGTCATGTACACTTCCGAGAACGGCGAAGGTCGAACCACAAGGCAACCGCCTGTCCATCAAACACCAGCCAGCGCACAACCTTCCATAGCGTCCTTGATATCAGATCCACCTATCAAATTCGAGGCACACCAATCCTTAACATCAACATCAAGCATCGGACGATTTAGCTCATCATCAATGCCCCCACCTCCAACCAACCAAGCCTACAGCAACATGCCCAACCCCGACCCCGTCATGGTTTCAGACGCCGACCTCCTCCTAAACCTACACTCTCCCTTCTCCGGCAATTCCCCCGCCGCAGTCCGCACCCCAATTGCCACCCAACAACCTTTCACGCGTGGCCCTACGCAAATGCAACCTCCACCCCCGCAAAACGATTTCTCGCCCACTTTTACCACGTTTCACGCCCCATCGGATCATGCCTTTGGGGACATGGTAATTGATACCCAAGACGTCGATATGTCGCTCCTTGGCGCGGATATGATGCCTTGGGATCTAGAGTATTTGCCACATGATATGCTATCATTTGGCGATGGGTCGTTTGGGGGTGCGGGGTTTGGAGGGGGTGATGGGACGGGCGGGAATGCGGCTGATTGAGTGAGGTGGAATGGATCCATGCTTGTTTGCGACCTTTTATGATTACTGGAATTTTCGAATATGTATGATAAGAGAGTTTATGTGTCGATGGAAGTAAGTAATATTGAAGGGATTCAGAGCAAAAGAATCATGGACGGAGAAGGCAAATTTTGGACATGTTTAGGTTTATGATACCATTTTCAATTCTTCATTCGTTTCTTCCCCCCCCCCCCCCCTTTTTTTTTTGCCATCCATGGTTTTCAAAGGTACTTGAACATGCACACACCAAAAATCTAGTCAAACAATGTATAACTTCCCATTCCCCTTTTTTCCCTTGCATATAACGCTTCAAATATACCACTACTGTAACATGCCCTCCAAACTCTCCCCAAGAATCTCCTCCATCCCATTCTTCCACCGCTGACACTCGCGTTCAACAATCTCATCATCATCTTCCATGAGCTCACTAATAAACGGTAGCATCTCCGGCAACAAGCCCAGCCACTCCTCGCCCAACCTGCGCGTGAGACTCTGCTCGCAAAGCACAGTTGCCAAGCGCGTGTTTCGATCTTCGCTGCGCATGTTCTTGAGCAAGATGCTGTTCATCTCACGGTGATTCTCCATGCTGGATGTGGATGCGGCGGCGAGGTCGGTGATGGTAGGGATGACATTGTTTGTGTTGTTTTCCGGGGTAGACGATGAGGCGGAGGGGAGGGACAGGAGGGACAGGAGAGGAGGCATGATAGTGCCAAAGTGGGAGGGGGCCTGCCAGAAGCCGTCTTGGTCGTGCTGGAAGGACTTTTGGAGCGCGGAGAGGACGGCGGTGCGAGTGGGTTCCTCTGTGTCGTTTTTGGCGAGTTGGGTAAGGACTTTGGCGGCGGGCTCGATTATGTAGCTTGAGTAGCTTGTTACAAGGGACTGCGTAAGAATTAGTGGCTGGAAGAGATTAGGGCTTGGGTAGGTGCATACCTTGAATTTTTCGAAGAAAGCTGCAAGGAACTTGTAGAAGGTGATGGCACGTTGAGGCTTGGCTGGCAATAGACCTTCTTGATCTATAAGCTGCACGAAGAAAGGTCGGAATGTGGCATCACTGAGCTTGAGAACCATCGCGATGACTGATTCAATCAGTGTGGCCTCGAGTTGCTCAATCTCCTCCTCGTCAACCTCTTCTTCAGTCTCCGATTGGAGAGTGTCCCGCATACGGAATGTTTGCAGGAACAAGCTGAATAGCGGCGAGCTCGCCTTGACAAGTTTGGCCTTGGTCTGAGCATTGATTGTGGACTGCAGAAGTTGGAGCTGTTCGAACAAGGCGTCGAACCCTTGAGAGGCGGCATTTGCCCATGTCGCCTTGATAGAAGAAAAGACTTCTTGTCCACTGAGATGTTGCGATACACTCTGGTAGAAGCTAGCGCGGGTTTCATCGCAAGCATCCTCTAGGTCAGCAGCAGCAGAGCGTTGAGACAGCCGCAAAGCCGTGTCCAAGTACTCCCGCGAGAACATGTATCCCAGACGGTCGACAATGTTCGCAAGTAGGGTGAACACAGCATTGTGAAGGCCAGCCTTATCTTCATCAATCGCATTTGACAGGTACTCAAACGCAATGGGAACGATTGTAGGCAGTAGCGAGATGGCCTCATCCTCAAGGACGTCGATGACAGAAGTCAGACAGATCAAAGACAAGATGCGGATTCTGTCATCGCTGCTTGATAACGATTCAGGGCCGGCGATAGTTTGAGCCACTGAGGACACAGCGGATACATCCTTCTTGCCGAAGCGCTCGATGATGCGGTCGATGCAGCTGACCGAGACCATCTTCGCATCCATCTCAGATGTCTGTTGCAGAAGCATCTGAACGCTAGGCAAGAAGGAGATGAGTGCTTCCACAGACTTGCGGTCATTCTGCTTGGCAGTGCCTGCTCGAAGCTCAACTGACTTGACTGCAGCAACCTGCACATGAGAGTCTGCACTGGAGAGGAGCAACTCAGCAGACTTGATGAGATCGGTCGTTGGCAAAAGATCCAAGCAACTGGCGAGAACACGACTGCATGCTGCGTACGACTTCGAGTTTGACGTCAGTTTCTTGGAAAGCTGGATAGTGGTTTCGATAATGTCTGCAAAGATCCTTCGTGGCCTTTCTGGGTCATCCTTCTTTCGATATGCTCTGGTGACGTGTGCTTTAACCTTGTCGTCCAGTGCCAGATCGGTCAAGCATGTAAGCAAGCTTTGGATTCCCGAATCAAACTTGTTATCCTTTGTCTTTTCCTTCAATCCAAAGAGAATCTCTGCGACCTGTGGTTTCGGCCCGGTGGCATCGGTGAGAAGATCAAGGTAACCCTTAAAGGTGACTAGAGTATTGATGGGATCGAAGTAAAGCAACAAGTCTGCGCAGAACCTTCGTTGCTCCTTGCTGTGGTACCGGTCGGCAAGTAGAGCAACAATGGCTGGAAGAGAGTCTTCAGGGCCCAATGTGCGAGCCAACTGTGCGAACAGCTTCATCCTTCTGTGCAAGGGAATGTGTTCGAACGCCGCAGTAAAACTAAGCAGTAAGTCTGAGACCCCAGCAATGAAGTCCCTGTGCTTTGAGCGAAGCGAAGCAGCCAGTTGTGGAACAACACGGGAGATTGTCTTATCAACGACCTGAGCTGAGTAGTCATCGTGCTGTCGGAGCAAAGTAGATCCGATGAAAGTGAATATAGGCATAAGGTTGTGCAGAATGAGATCGGGGACCCATGAAGCAAGGTTCGAAATCAAAAGCAGGGCGCTGTTCTGGACTTGTGGGCTGGAGGAGTGTCGGATACAGTCGATCAAAAGGTCTGCGCGCACTGCTGACTGGTAGTCGGCAGTGTCTGGCATATCCATGAGTGTCCTAACAATTGGGCTTAATGACCCGAGGATGATACTCTGCAGGTACACCAATTCAGATTCCGACTGTTGCTTAAGCGGTTGCATTTCAGCAAAGATACCGAAGAGGCTCTTGAAAAGCTCTGGATGTTGACCAGGGTTAGATCCTTCGACCAATTCGAGTACCAATGTGAGTCTTCGAAGAAGCCTTTGAACGTCATCCTGGGAAGAGAGTTCGACTCGGGCCATTTCACTTCGGCTAGTCCGTCTCCGCTTCGCTGCCGGCTGCCCTCCAGGCATCGCGGTGGGCGAGGGAACGCTGTCCAAGAAAGTAACAAGAATTTCAGAGTCGAGATTGACGTTGCGTAGGATTTCGATAGATTGTTCTCTGCAGAGTTTGTCGAAAGAGCTGTCGCCCTCACTCAAAGCCAAGCCTAGCATGCATTGGGCAAGAGAGTGTCGAGATTCAGATCGGAAAGCAGACCATGAAGCCTGAATTCGACCAAAAGCAGCTACTAGCAGCACTTCTCGCTCTTTGTTGAGTGTTCCAGAGATGATATCCTGCAACAATTGGGCACTCTTTGCCTCCCTCGGTGTTATTGCAGCCAGGTGCGAGCGCTCAGCATCATCAAGAGAAATGGCTTCGCCGCTGCACTGTTTTGTGACAGCATCAATTGGAAGACCAGACCATTCGTTCAACAATGGAAGCACGGAGTTGGTGCGGACTGTGTCTGAGACCTTTCCACGAATGTTGAACATTGGCAGCAAACACAGCCGGACTCTCAGCAAGGGTGTACAGCCGGCGTGACTTGCAAAGAAACTGAGTATGGCCGTTCGCGTTTGCATTTTGAAAGTTTGCTTAGGTTGGTTCTGCGACTGCGTTCCCTCGAGAATACTTCGGAGCGCAGGAATGATGAATTGTGCATCCATGACGCACTCCTCAAGCATTGGCTGGAGCATCGAGACAATAAAGATGTAAACATCTTCAGGCTTCAGCTCCGAGACGTTCTTAGAAGCTTTGCCGTAAACGTCCGACTTGCCCCACGACTGAGCCTTTGATCTCGCAGAGGCCTTTCGCGTCAAAAGACTGATGCAGGCGGCAGCGGACCGTCGAATGAGGGGGGAGGGGTCAGCGAGAGCATGGACAAAGTATGGTAAAAGGTTCTGCAGGGTATGAGCAACCTCCGACTTCTCGAATGACAAGGCTGTAGCACGTAGAGCGGCGATACGAACGGCAACCGGGCGGGTACTGGTCCAGACACGGGCAAGGAAGGATAGGTAGCGCGTTTGCTGGAGTGCAGTTCCCTGGTGCAGTGCATCAGAAGCAAGAAATGACTTAGCCTGTTTGGTCAATACTGCCTGCTCAAAAGCATGAGCAACCTCAGCGAACTCATTTTCTGACCCTGCCTCGAGGAAGCTGGTAACTGTAATCTCCGGCACCTCTAGAGCAGGTTTCTCAGTGGTCTCATCAACGTCAACCATCTCTTCATCAGAGTCCATCTCTTGAATATCCTCAATGTCAAAAGTTTGCGCAATGGTTAGTCCAAGGGATTCCAAATCGACATTGTTCTGCTTTGCCGCATCCTGCAGCATGGATGACAGGTCCTTCGATTCGACTAGTTTGGTAGTAACCTGGAGTAATTCTCCATGCGTTTCAGAGCCTGGCACACTGTCGCGCAGAAGCTGGGCTACGGCTGACAGTACGATTTGAATGCGGGATTTGCTGATAAGACCAGATGCGATTAGCTCATGGAAAATGGCATGGTTATCCTCTGAGCTGACGTTAAGTGCACCGAGCGCGCAGCCCAGTACAAGCCGCTCGGCCTGACACTGCTCGGATACACTCTTGAGCCTTTGCACAAGTTGTGGCACCTTGAGGACCTTCTTCGCAACCTTGGTCGGAAGCTGTGCTTTTGAGCGCTCATTTGCGATGATCGCCAAGCAGCCTAGGCAAGATTGAAGTGATGTTTCGTCATGAGCTGCAATCACAGCCTCCATCAAGCCATCTAAAATCTTGTCTCCAACCTTTGCCTGGTTCACCAACATAATGACAATGGCGTAACAGGCTAGTACAGTGTCGGCTCCATGCTTGGCATGCATGCAGCTGTTGAGAACTGGAAGTAGATCTAGGACCAGCTTCTCAGTACTCTGGTCTTGGAGATGCTTTTTGCCAGAGTTTGAGTTGCTCAGTATGCCATAGATTGCCTCGACAGTAATTCCAGACCAAAAGGACAGCATGTGAGCAGCCTGGTGGCCTGCCTCCACTACTTTAGCAACATATGAATGGTAGGCCTTGAAGAATTGGGGCGTATTGATGGCTGTGTAGGCAATGGTCCGCTGGGGTACATTGGTGGGGGCCTGGATGTAAGGGAAGAGGAAGCGGATGGCGTGCGATGGCTGCGGGGGCAGGATGGACAACAGGGCGAGGAATTGGGGCGTGTTGTGGTAAGGCAGGTAGGTGAAGACGAGGCATTCTGTATTGTATTCATGGATGCTGTTTGCAGTTAGCCATGCCAACAGCGCAAGCTTGTGCGGGCGAGATGGTGATATTCAACGTACCGGAATCGCCTCACAAGCCACTCCAGCGCCTTCTCTGCTGGCTTAAGCAGCAATCGGGGGCCAACCAGCGTAATGAAGGCCTCAAGCACGGTATCGAGCTTGGCATTTTCATCCTTGGTCATCTGGGTGCGGTCTTCGGCTTTGCTCTGCTCGCTGAACAAACTCTTGGAGAAGCGCAAAAACCTTGAATCTAGTGCGCATAGCTCCCGGTAGCCCTCATAGCATATTAAATAGACATTTTCAAATGACTGCGATGCGGCGATCTTAGGATCAAATAGCAAAGATTTGCCATGTGCCGCCTTCTGGGCGCGCAGGTCAAGCTGGTGGGTGCTCGAGGCCGCGATGGTCGCGAGCTGTTTCTGAAGCGCTGTCGCCATTTCCGGGAATTATTCGTGTCGCACAAGATATCAAAGTTTGTTTTTGGAAATCCCGGAAGCCATAAGACGCTGCGAAACAGCGTGGAAGTTGTCGTGGCAGGTTGGGGGGGAAAGCTTGAGGATGGTGATGCGCATTCAAAATTTCGAGGAAGGACCATTTGCAAGATTTCACGCTAGTGGGTTTTTACGGCGGGCCGCTTCAGCCACATGCGCCATCGGACTCCCGAGACACGTGCTACCTCCCCTTCATTGCACACGGCCCTCCGTCCTAGGTATCAAGTGTTCACAGCATCCACACCTTCTTCCAGGAAAACGAAATGATTTTGACATTGAACTGGTAGCATCTCATTGGATTTGCACCGTCACTCGGCTCATGCTGCGTCTCTCGCACCCTTCATCGTGGCTACAAACAAGAGTAATATGACATTAGCTTGTATTATCACTTAGTATCGAAGGATTTTGTCGAATGCTCGTTCCTTATAATGAGCGCGAACACCTCCAGTTTCGCGAGCTTCCGGCCAAAGCCCAAGCCTGCTCAGGAACCATCCAAAAACCCCCAACAACATGGCAAATCTGATGAGACATCAAAAGAAAAACACCAACGCAGAAGAATGTCGAAATCACCAAGCCGACAGATCCGGGAAAAAGACGCGTCTGCAAATAAGTCCTATTTCAGTGATCGACGAGGAGACGCGGACGTGCTACGATATGGTACCTTGAACCGTTATGAGATCCCACCTTACCGTCGCTACGGCCATGGATTCGTCTTGGGTCTTTCATTGCGACAGAAAATTGACCGAGAATTATCTACGGATAAGAAAATATATGTGTCGCCTGCCACAGGCCGACGTCAACAGCGTCTGCTCACAGACAAATCTACAAAGCGATCAGGTGAACGTGCGCTGCGTCTAGTAAAGGCCGGCGGCGATGCATCAGATCTCAACCAAGACTTTGTGCTCTTGTCCACAACTGGCAAAAGGAAGCGCCATGACAGTGATGATGACGATGAAGACGACGACGAAGGAACACCGGAATTTGACTATCGAGGAATAGAAGAGGCAAAGTCTGCAGAGCCAGCTGACCCCGATACGCAGTATGAGTCTGATGTTGATGTTACATTTGATGCCGAAATTACTCGCACCAACTCGAGACTGGCATGGCACACCAAAGAGCATCCTGAAGATGTCTCAGGGTGGCTGGCGCTGATCGCTCACCAGGAGGCCATGCTGAAGCTTGAGCGGCCGTCTGCGGAGTTGACAGTTTCTGACAAAGCCCATCTTGCCGACATACGCATCGACATATACACGGAAGCCCTTAAGAAGATCAGTAAAGACCCTGAGAGCCAGCTGAAACTGTACAAAGGGCTCTTGAAAGAGGCCGAAAGAGCATGGGATGGGGCCAAGCTGGCCAGTAAATGGAAGGACGTTCTCACAAAACATCCAGAGAGCGTTGAACTGTGGATGATGTATCTTGACTTTGTGCAGTCGCGATTTACAACTTTCAAGTACGAGGATTGCCGAGCGATCTTCTTCAAGTGCATCGAAACTCTCACGGCAAGCACACAGCATATTTCACATGCGAGCATGCTGCACATACTGCTGCGCCTTACATCCATGACGTATGAAACCGGATATCAAGAGCTCTCGGTAGCAATTTGGCAAGCCTTGCTTGAGTTCCGTATTCTACGGCCCGCAGGGGATGCGACCATTGAATCATTTGAGATGTTCTGGGATAGCGAGGTAGCACGCATTGGCGAGCCGCAAGCAAAAGGGTGGAAGCATTACAGTCCAGAAGACGAACCTGCATCGCTCGAGTTCGCCCCCTTGTTGGAAAAAGACTCCTCAGACTCGTTCTTTGAAGATTTCGAAAAACGCGAAACGGAAGCTACAAGGCGGCTTGTGATGCCAGGTCGCACATCTGATGAAATAGCGGAGGACGATGCCTTCCATACCATTCTCTTTGACGATATAGCACCATATCTGAAGCTAGTCCCTGAAGATTTGCCGGCAGAACTGCTTGTGGATGCCTTTCTATGCTTTTGCGGACTACCTCCTATGCCAAAGTCGGGCGCGCATCAGCAAAGCTGGTGGTCCGATCCTTTTCTGCAACGCTACTGGTCATCGTCTCCCGTTAACGGAGATGAATCTTCCAACTTTACACAAACGCTCAAGCACTTCTCGAATTGCCCGTCGAGAAGTTTTCAGATGACAACTGAGCTATTGTTTGACCAATGTTTCTCTACCAGTAGCATTGGTCTAGACACCGATTTTATCAGACGACTGCTCAAACTCGTGGCCTCAGATACATCGAGCGACGATGTTCTTGGAGAGTATCTTCTTGCATTTGAACATCGGCACTACCCTAACGAGGCCTTCAAAACAGCAAAGCGACTACTAAAGGCACGGCCATCGAGCTTGTGTCTATACAATGCTTATGGATTAGTCGAATCTCGGCTTGGAAATTCAGACAAGGCAGATCAGGTATTTCGTATGGTGCTTGCTATGCAAGCCGGTAACTCGAAGGAATTGACTCCTCAAGTATTGGAACTCCTAGACACCTGGGTCTGGGACGCTCTTCGTAGAGGAGAGAGAAACGTAGCTCTCTGGCGACTCGTCTCACCACACGGCAGCCTTCCTGCCGAAACTTCAAAATCGCAACCCGACTCAACTCTCATAGACAGTACTCGTACAAAGCTCGCCGAAATCAGCGAACAAGCCCTACTCGCCCAAGACCACACAACCGCAATCCTCAGCACCTCCCTCTCCGCTCTCCTCCTCTACCTAACAAGCTCCTACTCCCCCTCTCTCGCCCTAAATCTCCACTCCCACCTCTCCCTCTGGTTTACCTCCCACGCTGCGACTTCCTCCCCCTCCGCCGAACTCCATGCCCAATCCATATCCCGCCTCCTCACTTACCACACCACCCACGCCCCCATCGTCAAACCCGCCCTCACCCGCTCAACCCTCGAGCCCCTCCTCGCCCACTTCCCAGACAACACCATCTTGCTCTCCCTCTACGCCGCAAACGAATCTCGCTTCTCAATCGACGACCGCGTCCGCGGCGTAATGCATACCGCACTCCAGCGCACCGACGACCGCAGCATAGCCGGCTGGGCATTCGCGATCCACTACGAGACGCTCCGGGGAGAAGTCGCAGGCTCGACGCAACATTCCATCCGCGCACTGTATAAACGCGCGGTCGAAGGGAGCGCGAAGAATTGTCCTGCGCTGTGGAAATCTTACATCAATTTTGAACTTGCGCAGCTGCGGCGTCTGCGTGATTCCCGACAGCTGCAGAACAAGAAGCCAAGGAGAGATGGGAAGAAGAGTAAAGTTGAAGTTAGGTTGGAGGAAGCGAGGCAGAGGGTTAAAGATACGTTTTATGCGGGTTTGAGGAATTTGCCGTGGTGTAAGGAGGTTGCTATGCTTGCTTTTGGGGAGGCGGGGGGTTTGTTTGGGGATGAGGAGAAGTGGAGGGTTGTTAGGGTGCTGGTGGAGAAGGAAATGAGGGTTTTTGTTGAGGTGGATGATGATGAGGCTTGGGGCGTTGCGAGGGAGACGGGGTGGACGGTTTGAGGGTGATGCATGGATGTCATTCGGTTGCTTTTGTCATGTTTTGTAAAAGTTTTATTTCGCATCATATCGTTGGATTAAGACAGGTGCAATGCGACCAATATCCGAAAAGGTGGTTATACGCGAAGTGATAAGGGGGGAATGTCGGGACCAAGGTTTGTTGGACTATGTTTCCCTTTCTGGGAGCCATGATGCGCACATGGTGCTGATCTCCGAATCATGCATTCGACTCTGGTATAGCTATAGATTTTAAGTTCAAGTGCAAATTTAGTAACGACGGCATTGAACTGAGGTATATCGAGGAGTGTATCAAATGCCCATAGTCTCAGGGAAATGACAAGGAGAAAAGAGGCGCGACTCGAGATAAAGCACATGATTATGAGGATCATTCAGGACAACGTGGCTGAGCGTGCAAAAGAAAACAATGGTATGGAAATTAAATCTTCATCTATCTAGTGCATCAGCGTCATGCCGTTCTAGATCAAACTCGAGAAATCGCATTATCGAGACCGTCTTCTCTTGACAGCCGGCTATGTACACCACCTAAACAACCTTATTCCTTCATGTCACCACCATTAAAACCCCTTCCAGCCACACTCGAAGATCCGCTTCCAGCCGTTTGCCATTGGCTCCCAGTCTGCCTCGTTCAAGTCCTGGCACCATAGATCCGAAGTCTTGAGAAGCGACTTCTTCTCCTTGAACAAACACTCGTAATCACACACAGTAACAAAGAAAGGAGTGATCTCAGTGAAAGTCTCAGTGGTCATCTGGGGCTTGCATCCTTGGCCTTGATGGAAGTCGCAGCCTGGCATGTCCTTTTTGATAGAGAAGTGCACAACACACTTATTGACATCATGGGGGTTTAAGACAGTCATGTCAACACCGAAAGGCATCATGTGCTCCAAGGGACGATTGACTGACTGAATGTAGTCTTTCATCTCCTTCATTCCGTTGCCGTGGACGTTGTGCTCACCAGCATGGTTGCCGTTGGGGTCGTACAGCTTCCAGTTGACTTCGGAGTAGTCGTTGAACATGTATTGGTTGATTTTCACCTTCCAGTGTCCAAACTTGTCCATAGGGCCATGGCTAGGGTAAGGCAGCGCGAATGAGGTCTTCGTTATTTTAGGTAATGTAAACGAAGTCTTGGACGGGACCATGCTAGTCGTGTTGCTAGCAAAGGTTTTGGACGTGTGGAATGGGTCGTTCGGGCTATTGTCACCTTCGTCATCGTCCAGCGAGAGTGGAGCCCGGGTACAAGCAGGACCATTTGAGTTGACTGTTTTAGTACCTGTCTGCGTAGTCGTCGTGTCAAATCCAGGCATTGCACCACCGCACATGGTCACTGTGGCGTCGATCATTGGCAAGCAAAGCGAAGAAACCATGGTCGAAGAAGTTCCTCGAAGGCTCGATGGAAGGGCAGAGACATTGAACCCCTCAGTACACCATACAAAACGTTCAGTGATTACCGTCCTCTTGCTGTCGTCGCAGTCTTCCGGGTCAGGTCGATTCGGCGGCTTTGTCGGTGCTGGCCCAGGCTTAGGCCCACAACCACCAGAGATTGTACAGCCAGGGCGACTGCAGAGTTCTGGAGGACAAGGCTCGCACCCTCCTCCTGGACAGTACCCATCGTAACCGACGATACCTGATGGTTGTGTGCCAGGGCATCCGAAGAAAACACAAGGGTTACAACCGAAAAGACCACAGGGAGATGTGATTTCAATCTCTAGTCCAGGGCATCCGGGTCCAAAAGAAAGACCCATCCAACCGCAACCACAACCGAAGAGCTTGCACTTTGGGTCCTTCTCCTTTGGACGAGACGTTGGCTTGGGCTTGACCTTGGGGTCGTCGCGGTCGCTGTCGCTAGGACTATCGCTCTCACCATCCCTGTCGCACTTCTTGGGAACGCATGGGCAGACGGGCCGCTTGAACATGAAGAATGTGACAGTACGCCACACCGCACACTCGGCAACGCAGTCGTTTGGCTTGCAATCTGGATCGCTGTCTGAGTGCGAATCTGGATCTCCGTCATGGTGATCGATGCTTTCAGGGAAACCCCACCACCAAGCCCGACACCAGTTGATGTTCTCAGGGAGTAGACATTCATGAGGCGGCTGCACATTGATGGGCCTCGGAAAAACCCAACCTACGCAGAAGATTCTGCACCAGTCCAAGTTCCGGCACTCATTAGGACATCCTGTGATAGTGGGCGACGGCTTAGCGGAGCTGGAAGTGGAGCTGACGATAACAACCGGCGGAGCAGTAGTGGCTTTAGATGGGACAACGATTCCAGTCGGGGTATTGCTACCCTGAACGGAATTCGGAGGACGAATGGCTGTCTCACCACCTGAGGACTGCATTAGTGAGCTTCTTAGAGGCGAAGAGGAGATAACCAGGCTCGAGCCGCTGTGAGGAGGCGACTGTTCTGCCGAACTGCCAGAGGGAAGCGGGACCGAGGATGGGACCTGACCCGAACCACTTGGGAGACCTGCCCACGAACTACCCACAGCTGGAGACGACCCAACTTGAGTGGTGGGCGTTGCTAAAGACGTAGCTCCACTTGGAAGGATGGGAACGACAGGAACGATTGCCGTGGCAGAAGGCCCTGTAGAGCTACCTGGCCAAACAGCGGAGGACACAGGAGCAGAGGAAACTGGAGGGACAATGTTCGTGACAGAGGGAACGATAGGGATGATGGCCGTGACGGAAGACTCTGTAGCAGATGAGCCAGAACGCGAGGAGCTTGAGGCCGATACACTAGCCACTGAAGTGACACCACTCCAAGGTCCAGAAGTAGATACACTAGAGCTTCCCAGTATGGTAGATCCAGTCCCTGTCCATGGAGTAGAATGTGATACAGGCTGGGATGGAGGCTGACTCTGAGGTTGCGATGCCGATAGAGATGGCAATGGCAACGGTAATGGAGACAACGACGGAGTAGGAGCTGAAGATGGAGCTGGAGATGCAGATCGAGATGGCGATGGCGATATTGGTCCTGGTATCTGCACTGATGAAAAGACATCAGAATGGCTCAGCGTGGATCCGGAGATTGGCTGGCTGCTCGAAACAGCGGAAGATGGAGTAGGAGATCCTTGCGATGAAGGGTGTTCAGACACTGAGGGCACAACGGAAGGATGATTCGGTCCAATCGAGCTCTTGGGTGGCTGGGGAACAATCGGACCCTGCGTGGAGGCAATCGATGATGGTAGAGAGGATGGGGCAGGATTCACCGACACTGTTGGAGTAGACGAAGGAAGGCTAGGTGAAGCGGATGAACCTGGTGAAGCAGAAGATGGGATGCCAGGCTGGGCGGGGGACGGAATACGAGACGCAGAAGAAGACGGAAGGCTGGGCTGAACAGAAGACGGGAGGCCTGGTCGAGCGGATGATCCTGGTGAACTAGAAGACGGGAGGCCAGGCTGAACAGAGGAAGGTAGGGCGGGCTGAATGAACGATGAAGCAGAGGGCGCCAGAACAGGGTCAGAGCATGGAAATGGTGGAGCAGACGACGGGAGGCTGGGCTGAACAGGAGACGGAGCAGAAGACGGCATCCCAGACTGAATAGATGACTGAATGCTAGGCGGAGCAGGCCGAGAGGATGAACCTGGTGGAGCAGACGACAAGATACCAGGCTGAACGGGAGACGGAGCACCAGATGGAGCAGGATGTGGTACACTAGGTTGAGCAGATGAACCTGGTGCAGCAGAGGGCGAGAAGCTAGGCGGAGCAGAAGATGGCCGGCCAGGCTGGACAGAAGATGGAGCAGACGGTGGAGCAGCAGACGGGGCAGATGGCAGCAGACTAGGTTGGGTTGGAGGGGGCGCGTGTGGCCCGCCGGATCCCCCGTCGCAGTATTCATGCTCGATGGCCCAAAGCGAAGTGCCTCCGAGGCAGCGCTTGTTTGCTAGTGCCAGCTTCATCGCGAGCGTAGCATTGTCGTCGTATCCAATCCACTGATCAGCCCAGGAGATCTCCTTGACACCAGCACCACCGTAGATGACCTGAGGGGTCAGGTTCTTCTCGCGAATAATCCTTGAGATCTCACAGGCGCTGAGAAGACCGTCTTCCCTTGTACAGCTACCAGCTTTGCTTGGGCCGGTGAACTCACAGCCGTAGTACTTGCAAGTCTGGTTGGCGACAGTGAAACCACGTCCATAATTCGCAATACCCATGTTGACTTTTGCAGGATCGAGGCTAGCGGATGTGAGCAGGTCCAGAGCGGTGTTGATTTCGGCAAGATCAGTGTGTGGCTTGATCTTGGGACCTAAACTGTTGATAAAGGCGTCCCAAGGGCCATGGAGGTCGTAGGTGAGAACCGTGAACCAATCGACGAAGTTTTGCATCTTCAACGGGGCCATGTTCTTCAGATACTCCTTTTGGGCTGGAAGAACAACAGAGATCGTGAAATCTTTTCCGAGGCACTCGCGCAGCTCGTGAACCAGATCAACTTGATTTTGAGTATCTGCTGGATTACCGCCACGATTCGACGCACCAGGCCACTCCCAGTGGATCTCAATGCCAGTGAAATTCCAAGTATCGAGAAATTGTTTGAGCGAGTCGACGAATGCCTTGCGGTTGGACTTGGTACTTGACATGTCAGACCAGGCAGTGCGTGTTGGCCCCTCGTTGGATACTTCCCAGCCGCCGATAGCCTGTAATTAAGTCAATATTCGCACCATGAGAGAGTTTTGAGTAAACACTTACCAATCCTTTTCGAACATTGTCGGGTAGATGGAGAAACTGTTTGTAAATTTCTCCATCATCGGGGTGCTCCATGCTAACCGTAAAATTCTTCGGGTCAAAGACAGCGAAACCGAGGACAATGTGAGTGAACCCTGTTGTGTTCAAGCGGAAAGGCCAGATCTGCTCGCAAGAGCGTCGGCGAATGTTTGATGCTGCATAGTATGTGATACGACGCTTTGCAGTATGAGGATCACAATAACCTAAGCATCGTCAATACTCTTTAATGCACAAAGTCTTGGCAGGAGATACATACCATCGCCATCGCAGCAGACACCGTCGATACAGGGCTTTGATGCACTGCACTTGGGAGGGTCATGGCCGATAATGGAGTGACCTTGGGAGTAATCTTCGATGATATCGAGGGTGGGTGGGACGTCGATGGAGTGAGAGTTGCTAGCGAAGCAACTCACCAACAGCGCAAACAGTGCAACGATGAGTAGACGCATTGTTATAACCGCTGCGTCAGTCGGAGTCGAAGTCAAAAGCAGAAGAAGGGTCAATCAGTGTCAAGAGAAGGAGTTAACCATTGTATTGGAAGAAGTTGTGGGAGAAAGCTGGAGAGGTGCGGGAGGGGTATATATTACTAGGAAAGTGGGCGAAAAGCCGCTAGCGAGTGAAAGTGAAAGGTGGGTGTCAGGAAGGCGCGACCAGGTGAGAGTGAGTGTACTCGTGCGGACAGTCATATCACGCGGCCTACCCTCCTTGTCTAAGCAGCACAGCTTCTAGGAGACTTATCTCAGACTGGGCAAGGCAAATTTGCCCTCTTTCACTCTGAGAGATTTCACCTGTGAAATTGACCACAAGCAGCTACTAATCCTCGGTGTCTTCGAATGGACTAGACTAAAAATAGATCCCACGATAACAGCTCAATACCAACAAGAGACAGCTCTACAGCAGCAACAAAGCACCACACATCTTGCCATGATATAAGTTACTACACGAAGAAGTCATCAAGTATACAAAAAAGTAAAAAAAATATAATAAAAAACATACGACAGCGGGGATTCGCCAGTGGTCACCCACCTGACTACTAATCCGCCGATTTCGAGCTTGAGTACCGCTGAGCGAACGGGAAGCGCTAATATCTCGAATCTATGGCCGTATGTGAAAGAACTTAAAATTTAGGGAATTATATTAGCGGTGTTATTGGAAAAACGGTCTGGCAAAACGGCGCAGCGATGTGCTTAGCTAGCGCTTCATCCCCCCATCAACCTAATCCTCGACCATGCTATATGAGTTTATACAGTATTCTGACAACCCTGGAAGTGGATGGAGAAACTGCTGGATGGAAAGGCTATCGCCTTCGAACAATAATAGCAAAAAAAAGCATGAAACAAGATCAGAGATGCGCGGCATATCCATCTGCAGTTATGTCGATATATAAGACAGTGATATATTGACTATTTGAGGGATTTGAAAGTTCGAGTTTGGTCTGATTGCCCGCTTCTTATGCTGTTATGAAACAGTAGTAGGTGTAATATTATGTTTGTTAGTATAAAAAATGATTCTTCCTCAGCGACAAACTTTACCCACTTAGGAGCAATCATGCCATAGACAAACACGTTGCTTGTTTGAAGATTGCACGCTGACTCCGCATTATCAAGTTTCCACCAACTGAGTGCTAATGCAAGCTACCGAGCCGAAATTATGGTCTTCATGTCGGATCCCAACTTAGATGCTCGAGCCTGGACAGAAGGACGATGTCAAAGTCAAAACCACAGGATGATGTCGGGCTGGCACTGCGGCCCCGCTACTGGTGACGCGCTACAAACGCGCTAAATTCTGAAAGTCCTTCACGTGATTGATTGGTCAACGGCGGGGCAATCGTCCTCAATTCGCTACATCTGACATCAAAAAGATTGTACGAGCGACATCTAATACCTGTGGCGTAAATCAGCTCTTGGTAATGTTTGCAATGAGATACAGTGAATCGTTCTTGTAAGATGCAAATTCTCAATCAGAGCCGCTATAAGAGCCGATCAACAAGGCGCCGTCTGGTATTTCAGCTGTGGGCGAGCTAGATTTGTAATAGCCAGCCTCATTTTATTGCCGTGCTGAAGTTCTTCCGCGCCATCATCTTCAGAACCCAGAACTAGGGCGTACAGCGCACACACATCACTATCAGTCTATGTCTTGGCATGTTCCTGCATGGCGGGGTCGCGCTAACGTCATTTACTAGTCTTTCGATCTCGACTCTGTCTACTGTACGCCACCATCGTATCTCATGAGTTTATATTCTTGAGCACCACCAACATGGCGCACTCGCCTCCTGCTGGCGGTATACCGGGCGTCATGATGCCACCGCGTCTCTCCATAGAGCTCGACCGTACCGATCCCGGCGTCCCTTTCCGTGCATCCCACTCCCACATCCACCACACATGGGCCCGAACCTTCCACTCGCGACCGGAGCTCTACATCCGTCCCCAGAGTCTCGAGGAGGTTCAAAAAGTCGTCAATCTCGCACGTCGCATGCGGAGACGGGTTGTTACTGTAGGATGTGGACATTCACCTTCGGACCTAACATGTACTTCATCATGGATGATCAACCTTGATGACTTCAACCAGATCTTGAAGGTCGACAAGGAGCGTAGAACAATGACAATTCAGGCTGGAATACGCATGCACAATTTGAATCTCCAGGCAAAATCTTACGGTTTGACCATGCCAAACTTGGGCTCTATCGACGTTCAGTCTCTGGCCGGAGCCATTGGCACAGCGACACATGGTAGCTCATATAGCCATGGATTACTCTCGGACCGCGTTCAGAGTTTGCGCATAGTACTGGCCAATGGGCAAGCTGTTCGTTGTTCTCCGCAACAATCCCCCGACCTCTTCCGAGCTGCATTGGTATCTTTGGGTGCGTTGGGTATAATTGTCGAGATCGAATTCCAAATGGTTGAGGCGAACAATATTGAATGGGTACAGACCATTCGACCTATTGAAGATGTCCTGGCAGATTGGAACAACGGACTGTGGACTTCCAATGAATTCGTCAGAGTATGGTGGCTACCGTATATGAAGCGCGCGGTTGTATGGCGTGCAGACAAGACGGAAAAAGCACACCGGGCACCCGAATACAACTGGTACGGTGGTAGTGTTGGCTATCATACCTATCATATCTTACTCTGGATATCGCAATACGTCCCACGTTTCCTGCCCTGGGTAGAATGGTTCGTCTTCGGCATGCAATACGGTTTCAAAGATGGGGCCGTCATCTCTGCCGTCGGTGAACAACGTACTGAACTTCTCATGAACTGTCTCTACTCTCAGTTCGTCAACGAATGGAGCATTCCTCTCGAAAAAGGCCCCGAGGCCTTAACTCGCATCACAAACTGGCTCCACGGCGATGAGAAATCCTCCGGTCTCCCATTCAGCACTAAAGGTCTATACGTCCACTCTCCCATTGAAGTCCGTCTCGCAAACACTGTTGATCGCGAGCCGCGTCCATACCTTGACACCTCTTACGCGCATACACCTTCCCTGTATCTCAATGCCACACTGTATCGTCCCTATGGCCAGGATCCCCCTTGCAGAGAACGCTATTACGAAGCTTTTGAGCACTTGATGAAAGAGTACAATGGCCGACCTCATTGGGCAAAGAACTTTCAATCCGTCGATTACAACTATCTCTCGTCAGTGTATGGTGACGACCTTGATGAATACAATCGTGTCCGCAACGAAGTTGATCCTGAAGGCATGTTCCTTGGTGCTTGGCACCGCCGCACCATTCTGCCACCCAAGGCTGATCTACCCTTGCTGCCTCTTGAAGAGAAGGAAGTCTTACGCCGAAGTCGCCGTACAGGTGGTGTTGACTGGATCGGTGAGCAGGCACGTTGGTTCGATGGCGGTCTTGACGTTTTTGAAAAGGCCGGCAGTGAATCTGGAGAAAGCTTCGACCTCATGGCCGAGGCTGAGGCGCAAAATAGCGTACTGTTGGAAGGATTGGCTGACGAGTTGATTGTCACCGAGGACAGTTATGATATGGAGACTGAAGGCAGGATGAGAGAGGGCACGGAGCAATATATGACCGGAACGAATGTCTTCAATAAAATGTGAAGTTGTCAAGCAAGAGCAGTACACGGTTGCTTGTTGATAGATGAGAAGAGAAAACCTCTCGGTCAGTCAACATACATGTGTTAGCTACGTGGAACACACACAAGCACTCGATGGCTACGAGACTAAGACGACCTGTAATATAAGCCTCCATGAGTCAGTTATACAACAAACGATCGTCCGGCGCCCCGGTGAAATCAACACATTAGCGCACCCGATCGGGCAAAGTGCTATCGCGCCTTCATCATGCCAGCTACTTCATGATTTTCGTTTTGTACCTCACTTAAATTCTAGCTGATTTCGCTGAACCACGACAAAATGCTCAGCTACTGTGCAGAGAACAAATTTGAGAACGAAAGGTTTTATAGCGAATGACTTGACATGTTTCTAGGTACAGGAAATTCAACACGTCTCTCCTTCTCCAATCTGCCCACAGCTATCTGAGGCACGATTCTTGTCTACTCTCGTCCGCTAGTTTCTCGTTTCACAGACAACAACTCATCTACTGAGTCTGCACATAGATGTCAGAGCTTCCAGAAGACTGGTAACCTTCAGTAGCGACAATCTGGTAGTAGTGTTGGCCAAGGTTCAAGCCATAGCGAGACCAAGCGTTGAAGTGGTTCTGCATGTTCACGCTTCCACCGACACGCTTCTGGGTGCGGACAGACCTATCATAATAGTCAACATCTACACTTTTGTGGAATCAGACAGCAAAAATGACTTACCAGTACTGCTGAAAGGTCCTTGTTCCGTCAATGGAGGGCTGGTTGACACGGGTGGAGACGGCAACGTTGTAAGTACCACCATCAGTCTGGAAGCTACCCTTGATCTGGGCTCCACTGCTAGGGTTGTAGGTTCCGTAGGATTCAATTACGTAGTACTCGACAAGCGGGTTGCGGGTCCATCCGTACACAGCGAGGTACCCGTTGCCCTGGGGGTTGAAGGCTCCACCGTAGTTGATGACACTACGAAGTCACATCAGTAAAAGTCCTCATCAATAAACAGTCTTTGCAACCTACCGGCCGTTTCCAGGGTTCCATCCCTTGCCACCAACAAAGTTGCCAGTGTTCCTCCAGGTCACGGAGTACCTGCTTCCCTCACCCATGGTGTACTGGGCAGAGCCACCGCCATCAGTCCACCACGAGTAGAAGTATCCATTGTGGTATCCCTCGGAGCTGGGAGTAGACTGACGCTTCTCAAGGAGAGCAGTCGCGTTGGCATCGTCACGCTCACGAAGGAAGTCGAAGGGAGCAGCGAGAACGCTGGTGGTAGCCACAGCGGCGAGAAGCAGAGACTTGAAAGAAACCATCTTGTGTTGAGTATTGCTGATCTGTGCTGGATGCAGTGATGCTACTGACTGGGAGCAGCTATCAACTTATATCTCTACGCCGAGTAATAGTTGAGCCTGAATCGCAGGATGAAATGGCACTTGGGGTCATGAGGTCTCATCTCGCGCACTGTCTCTATTCGTGATGGTGTACACATTGGTGGTGGGTTGGAACCTCTCACTTTGACAAGCTCGCCCTAAGCGGCGGCCACAATGACCAAGTCGAGACACATAGGGAACATGCACGGATCGACATCCAGTTTCGGCAGCAACAGCCACCACGGGGTGATCAAAAAGATCCGTAGCCCTTGCGTAAATCTGCATAACATAATTAAAATAACATCGCTGTACCCGGGTTTTACGCGCTGTTTGAACCGGGTTTCGAGGACGTTAATATAAAGGAACGCCACAGAAATAAGGGCAGACACCCTACCCCACACTCCCCATATCCTTTCACAGCTCAAGAAGAACTTCAATCGGGCTAAACATGCATACACGATGTATCTATCAGGGGTAGTATCGCACGTGACGGGACACAGAAGGCTCCAGGCGGGAAATCTCGGCAATCTTTCAGTTTACCACCGGTTGAACACGTCCTGCCAAGATATATAGGAGCCGGCACTTCTACCGCTTCCACTACGACACGCCAAGCGCGGTGGATATCTTGGGCGGAGAAGAGACGTGGAGTGCAGAAGTGGGTCGACATGTGGGCGAGTTAACGGAGAAAAGGTTTTGGAACGAATCACAAGAATTGGCGGAGAAAAGGATATGCCCAAATTGGGCAGATAAGACAACAAATCCCATAGTCATCGGTAATTGTGCAGAATCGCACATGGCGTGCTTGGAGACTGCCTTCAATCCTCCACAGCGTTATCCGGATATCCAACTCGTTTGGGAAGGTTCAGAAGCACTATCGACACTAGGTCACTATACGTAGGTTAACTATAGGAGGACGTCATCCAGACTACTGCACCCCGGTTCCCCGCCAAGATCGGGCGGCTCCACACCCATCGACATGGCGGGTGTGGGCGGACTTGGAAATTAGCCTGTGCTAGTATTCGACTACAATAGGTCACCTTACGGACTATTGAAACCACCGGACGATTCTTTTGTTTCATGAATTCGATCTGAAGACATTTGAAATCACGTTGCTTCAGATCTACTAAGACGCGTTGTCTCTGAAATTGGACGAAAGAAAAGCTATTTTGGGAAATTATAGCATTACTAAGAGAGCGGGTCTTGTGTGACCGTTTTCGTCCGGAAACTCGGCAACGACAAAAGATTTAAAGTTTCACAAGAAAAAGGAAAAAGAAAACACGCACGGAGCAAACTGGGGGCTGTGGAGACATATTAACATAATGCATTTCCACATAGGCACAGAGGTAAAGGAAAAGAAATCAAAATCACAAAATTCAGAATGACAAGAAAGGCAATCGCTACGTGCAGGAAACAGGGACCAGGTTAGAAAACATATTGCTGAACAAGGTGATCCAAGATTGGTCTGTCTCTCCCTCTCAATCTCTCTTCCGGATACGAACTCCGTTCACTGATCAAACATCTCGCGCCACTTTCCACGTTTTGCAGCAAGAAAAACACATCCTAGTCCCACGTTTTCCGTGTGCTGTGTAACCTCATGACTACCAGGCGGCAAAATAGGGCATACAGGACCTCATTTCCCGTCTCGGGGCTTGATTCTGATGACTTCAATATAGTCTGCCTAACATGTCGCCCCTGCTACCCGACTTGAACTCTTATTTCTGTATTTCTGTTTAGCCGGCTTGAGGGCAATAGTGGCGTGTCACTTTTGCCAGATGAGGCAGTGCAGTCGTGGCTTGGTTTTGATTCGATGAGAGGCGATATGGTATGCTCGCCTGCGGTATCTGAGACTCAAGTATGGGTCTGGAAAGTAGAGCATTTTCTAGAGATTCTCATCGTTTCGTCGCGATCTCGCAAGAAGGTATTTAGTTGACGCCATCGAGACTGAGCACCTTGCGCAAGTTTCCCCTCAAAGCTCCTTTTCTCGCCATCTTACACCGCAGGTGTCAGCTGCCTGCGTGATTATTCTGTCAGGCTTGTTGCTTTTTCTTGTTGGGCGCGCTTTATTAAAATTCGGTCCTGATTGAGTGGCAACAGTCATAGAACGACACAGGATATCTCGTCATTCTCGACGGATATACAGTGGGGATAATTGAAAAACACTCGCCATCAGACTTCTACCGTCTTGTCATCATACCATAAGGGAAACTGTAATTAGACTTGTAGCCTTGTGACTAAATCGACTGAGACACTATCAGATGAGTTCTCCGTACCCCTGGTGGGTTTGCCCTCAATTGTGGGCAAATCTTAGAGATCACACATGTCACCAAGGTCATCGGATATCAGGCTATGAAGCTGATATCAGATCATGTTGTGAAGTAATCTACAATATCTGTGTCGCTCGATCTACTCCACAAGGCAGGTACGATCGACATACTTTCTAACAACCAGAACGCAGGTTTGAAGTTAAGTCGGACCGTTTCAAAGCGTACTCCACAATGAACACTGAACACTGAACTCTGTTGAGAGAGAATACCACAGAGACCATGCGAATGCGACAAGCGGCGTTGATTCCAACATTACCGCAATCATCATGATTTCAAGTTTCATACAAGACAACAGCCACAGAACTCAACGCTTCATATCACAAACCCCTCTCATCGCATGTCGTTCTCAAAACTCAGCACCACCCACCATCACCTCCACGTGACATACACTACGCACGGTTCAACGGGCCACCACCCTCCCACCTACATTACCCCAATCTAACTTTCATATAAAACCAGAACAAAATACTCCCAACATACCCTTATCTACACCAAATCTCGCTTATCGTCGTAAGTGGTACACTTATTGTTTCATCCCTTCCCTGGGATTGATAGCTTCCTCGGAGTTTGCTGTTGTTGTTGTTGTTGTTCTTGATGACAAAACGGGGTCCTCGGAGTCTTTTTGCAGGGTATCGGTGTCCGAATGACGAGGATGAGTGGGTGGGTGGCGACATTTCGGATTTAGCCTTGATGGGGCAAAGATGGATTGGTCACGCCACTGTTAAATGGTTGCTAAACGGATGCCTGGATTACAGTTTGGGGGGGAGGGAACACAGCAAACGGTCTTGCTTCTGGACTCAGGTACGCGGAGTACGGCGTTTGTAGTGTGATTTAAGGTATGCTGCGCCGACTCAGCCTGTTGGTTGGGAGAATTGATGGTACGTACTTTGTTTCCTTACTCTCTGTCTCTCTATCTCTTTTGCGGTATTCTAATGACACGATACTCTTATCAGATACCAACACCACATTCATCGCATCAACACCGAAGATGCGCATCTACAGTCTCAGCGTCGATGCTGCGCTTCTAATCACTCCGTCGATATCCGCACTCTCTTTGTCGATGCTGCACCTCTCACACACCGCCGATGCCAGTGCAGTGATCTTCGGCGCACTTACTCCTTACCCCGCGTTTTGATCCATCCCACCGGTGCCAAACTCTCCATCTTCCCCAAAGATAAGCGACCCTGATCTACGCGTTCACAGCGCTGTCTGCCCTATCAAACGCAACCCGTCCCGTTCTTTCCCGATAAACCAACATGCTCTGCTGAGCGAGCGCTTGACACACCCATTGAGACGAAAGCCATTATTTCCACTTCGAGGATACTTTGCGAAATCCTACCAGAGGCTCGGGATTTTGCAGCTTTGGGATGACTGTTTTTCTGCTTCAGGGCTTCGTTGCGAAATTTCGGACAAAAAAAGATGTTGTGTGCTGTATATGGTCCGCCTTTCGGAGTTTGACCTTGCTCGTCCAATCCCAAATCCCCCGGGCACATACTTTGCTTGCTGGGATCGGGGATAATGGGAAATGGGTTCGACGCCTCCTCCTTCCCCGTGCGGATGCGCACGACTGGCGCTGTACGAGAAATGCGGAGACGATCGCGGAGAGCCGAAAAGTGAGGGAAAAAGATCAAAACGATGGTTCGGTCAGCTCACTTTCCCCGGAATTTTTTTACTTCTCTTCTTTTCTTCTCCCCTTTGCCTTAAATACCCGCCGTCGCGCAACGGATTCGATTCTGTTGACAAGAAGATTGCAAGGTACCCCGTTGTCAAAAGCCATACCAGTCACGTGATCAACCACTTTCACATCCCCATCTACACTCCACATCTACACTGAGATCTCGTGTCCCAAGCTCTCCCTACCTCTTCTTCCCATCAATAAATCTTCGAGCCATTGATATTTGAATAATTGTGCAATCCCAATACCTCAATTACAAACCTTAGCCATGCCCGCCGCAACTCGCACCCTAGAACACGCAGTCCTCCAAGCCCATCGTGCAAAGGGTGTACGCTACCCGACTGCCCACCAGAAAGACTGCTTCAAAACTTGGTACTCGTATGCGCTGCGTCAGGGCGAGGCGCAGAAGACGAGTCGCAAGGCGATTGAGGAGCATGGGAGATTGCTGAAGGAGATTAGGGAGCAGGCGCCGGGGGGTAGGACGTATCTTTGATAAGGTAAGATGGCATGTTACTAGAGGAATGAGTATCTAGCTGACGTTGATAGCGAAGATGGCGGCGGAGTTTTGGTGTTGACATGGAAGATACCGTGCATAGTTTGTGGTGGGTTGAGAGGATGGACATTGTATCGTATGTAGTCTACCCAATTTGTCTGGAAATATTTTTAATCGATATGTTACTTGCGATTACTTTAGCAAGACGGCTGTTTTTTTTGGATGAATATTTGTTCCAATTCATGCGACTTGTATGGCTACACTACGCACATTAACAAACCGTCACTATAAGAAAAAAATGAACGGTTTATCACAGTCTGGCATCGCACTCATCTCATGAAGATAGATTTTTTCTTCTTGGAATATCAGATCGAGTGTACGAATCACACAAACAAGATTTATACTGGGGATCCCAATATTGCAAAGAGCGACACGGGATGAGCAAATCCCATTGGGCCGGAGGCTCATCATCGCGTCATGCAAGCACCCCACTGCGGGATGCCTTTTGTTAATCATTCCGCCGGCATATGCCGATATCTATATGCCTCGGCAACAACCACTTAATTGACTATAGAACGCCTCTTATACAACTAGAACACTTTAACCCAAGGATAGCCTGTCTATATCCTGACTCTGTATAGTACCTTTCGAGTTCACTACCATCACCATTTACAACACCAGACGAACAAACAAGACGCACAGTCAACATGGCACCAAGCTTCCGTGAAATTGTCGGAATTCCACCGTCCACCGCATCCACCAGCGACTCCGCGCTCCTCATCATCGACGCGCAAAATGAATATGTACATCCCCTACCCCGCAGTGAAGCAGAACCGCAAACTTAACAACCAAAAAGGCCTCCGGCAAACTCAAAGTGACCAACGCCGCGGAAAGCGGAAAAGCCATCGCAGACCTCCTCGCCAAATACCGCAAAGCCGGCGGAAAAATAATCCACATCCTGCACAAGGAAGACGACGGCGCCCCCGTATTCACACCTGGTACCCATCTCGCCGATGAATTCCAGGAACTCACCGCACAAGTAATTTATCCCCCCCTTCCCACCTTCCTTCCCCCCACCAACCCCCACTCCATCTTGCATACCATCACCACGGAAGAGCTAACTCGCTGCGAAGGAAACTGAACCAACAATCTGGAAACAATACCCCGGCGCCTTCGAGCAGACCACTCTACACGAAACGCTGCAGAGCATGGGTGTCAAGAAGCTTGTTTTGACAGGCTACATGGCGCACGTGTGCGTGTCGACGACCGCACGGGAGGCGTTTCAGAAGGGGTATGAAGTGCTGCTTGCAGAGGAGGCGATTGGGGATCGGGATATTCCCGGGGTGAGCGGGGAGGAGGTGAAGAGGGTGGCGTTGGCGGAGTTGGCGGATGTGTTTGCGACGGTTGTACGGGTGGAGGATGTGGCGTAGGGGGAGGGTATTGCTAAATAAAGGCTGTTGTTGGTATAGTTGATTCGATTAGGCTACTGTTTACTAAATGCTCGTAGTGATTCTTGGGAGGGGTGACGGGCTACTCATGAGCGTGAATGTGGATTACTCAGGATAGAATTCGATGAACCTGATGTTGGATAAGACTACACTTCGTTTACCGCTTCAATGGTAGGGACATCCCTAGTTCATGCTGAGATTTATGTCAGTTAAACAAGACACTGTACATACGTTCACAGGCTTCTACCTATGTCAACATGCAAGTTCATCGATAAGGTTACTTAGAATAGTTAAACACACTGCAGGAATATGTGCGCAAGACCGTCCCCTGGTCATAGAGCGACGTTATCCCCTTTTTGATATAGCTGATCACCGCCGCGGATCCTATTAGCCGCATAATCTCCGAAGAATAGCGTACATATCCATCGCTTAGTGCACTACACATAATACCTAAATCCCACGATATTGCAACATCACAGGACTCTACCTAGTCCTCCTTTATCATACCGAGCAACTCTGTACCCCCTTTCCTCCTTCCAACCCACACCCCGATCCCCAATTCCCCACTCACGATCTCACCGGCCTCTCCTTACCCCACGCAGCAATCGCCCAAACCCCCCTCACAACCCCCTCCTCTTCATAACTCCCCCTCAAACTCATCCGCCCCATTTCCCCCTGCCACTTCCTCAACTCCTCATAAACCCCCACCAGCACATCCTTAAACTCGGCACTCGGCCGCCCCCTCCACGCACACCCCCCACTCCCAATCTTACTACAGCACCGCTCAACAACTAAATTCACAACCTCGTGTCTGCGGGTGGGGAAAGGATGCGGGGCAGGAAAATGCGCGATGCCCTGGCTGATCAGCACGGTGTAGAGGTGCAGCAGGTCGAAGTAGCGGATGGAAGCCGGTGCGGCGGCTTGCATGATAAAGTCCCAAGATATATGGTCGGCGGCTAAGGGGAGACAGGCGTTTGCGCGCCAGATCAACCTGTTTGTGCGGGAGCTGGTGGTTAGGTATTTGGGGAGGACGGCGCCTGCGTTTGCGGTGAGACGGGCGAGGCGGACTAAGGGGATGGCGAGGCCGGTGGCGATGTCGGGTCGGCCTAGGGAGTCCCAGGATGCGGAGATGAGGTTGTAGCAGTCTAGCACTGGGTCGGGGGAAGGGCCGGGGGAAGGGCGCGTGGTGCGGATTGTGTGTGTGAGGGCGGGGAAGAGGGCGCGGTTGAGCATGGAGGTTATGGAGAAGGAGCCGTTGGGGTGGATTTTCCAGAGGGTTTGGAGGCTTGGCCAGAGCTTTTGCATGAAGACTTGGAGGCGCTCGTTGGGTTGGTGGCAGAGTTCCTCCCAGATTGACTGTACGTTGAACGAACCGCGGGGGTTGGACTTGGGGACTAAGATATGGCGACATGTTGGGCAGGCATTTGTGTTGCCTCGACCGCCGGTGAGCCATTTCTTAATGCAGTTGTGACCGAATATATGCTGGCATGGGAGCGCTACAGGTTGGTGAGTCGTGCTGAAGGGTTCAGTACAGATGCTGCAGGCATCGACTGGGTGAAGTTGAGTGTTGATAAATCTCTCCATTACGAGTATATGGACAGTTCACGGTTGAACAAGAAACAGGAAATAGATAGATAATACAAATTACATTAGGGCAGATCGATATGTCCGTGAATCTGGATCAGGCATGAAGGGTGGTTGTAAACGGAATGTTCGTGAATGGTGAGCGGCGTGAAGTTTTGCGGCATCACTGATGTTGTCTTGTTTGTGAACATGGAGTATGAACGAAGTTCCAAACCTTCCAGAAAGACTTTGGTGATTTATATCTTCGCATCGTGAGTTGCCTTGTCAAGTTCTCGTCCTAAGTAGATGCCTTGTCGCACAAACAGTCTGTCAGTTATGTGAGCACCACGCTCTGACTTTTACAGAGCAAAGACAAACTGCAAATATCGCAAACCTAAATATCTGCCAGAGCGTTCAACAACTCCGGGTCGTGTTGGGCAATTTGTTTTCGCAGACACGTGTTCGCGTCGTCCTCCGGTCGTCGCCATGTATTCACACCCTGCATATTTCTGGCCAAGGCCGCAGCTGAACAATGACTCCAACATTTCATTGGCCATCAACGCATTGTCTAACATAACGTCCTCCATTTGTCCCAATCACAACGCAGAATGATGCGCAATCACCCACACAAAGTCCTTGTCTCGCAACGACGAAAGAAACCTTCGCTCCTCTTATTTACAACACACAATCACTTGGATATTCCCGCTAGCACTCCGCAAAAATCTCCATCTACCTTACACAGACAGTTTCTCGCCAGATACCCAGTGCAAATGTATTACGAACCGAGCATAGATCCCCTAGAGGAGTACGAATGGACCAAGCTCCCCTACAAACTCACAGTTCTAGTCCCGCCACGCCCACCGCGCCGATGGATGTCGCTGAAACCAGGAAATACACCCGGTCGCAACAATACCCACGATATCCCAGAACTGCCGCGTCCAAACTCACATGCTGACTTTAGCCGTGTGTCGCTTGAAGACTTGCTGGGATTGCCGACGAAAACCGTAATCGTAAAGAGCGATGGGTTTCCGCGCGACATGCGGTGTAAACACGCACAAGGTGCGAATGGAGCGGAAGTGGGGGCAAGAGGGTGTAAAGAAGGATGTTATGTGCTGGAGAAAGGAGGTGAAATAAGCAGTTGGAGGTGCGCGAGTAACGAGTGTGAAGGGCATGTGTACTGTGGAAAAGTGATGAAGGATAAACATGGAAATTGCTGTTTTGGGAAAAAAGGGGAGCGAATGGTTTGTCTTCAGACATAAGATGAATATGAAAATATGGGAAAAGTCTTCTTAGTTGAAAGCATTTTTTGATGACAGTAGTTTCAGAACAGCGTGAGAATCTTATATCATTAAAAAAAGAGTAAATAACTGGGTATGATAGATTTTGGGCGTTTCGTGTTGATGATGGCTTCGTGACGCGGAAAACTACTCGAGATTTTTGAAGCAAGATGTTACATCTTTTCCAAAAACATTTACAAGAAGAAAGCGGCAGCGGCACCAAGACCAGCCAAAGCAGGGACCACGTTCATCAACGGCGCAGCGTTGGTAGCTTCTGGGGCTGCTGATGAAGTTTGTGAAGTGCGGGAAGCCCCAGAGCTAGCAGGCGCCTCTGAGCCGGAAGAAGTGGGCTTGGCGGAGTTGGTAGCGGAAGACTTGGAAGAGGTAAGGGAGGCACTGCCGGCCGAAGGTGTAGCAGCTGCAGAAGCGCTGGGGAGTAGGTCCTCGCCAGCTGTAACGACAACCTGAACCATGTTAAAATAACCATCTGGCAGTGTTGTAGTCGCGCTGGTGTCAAGAGGTCCCGCACTGCACAACTCGTCCTCAGAATCGGCGCTTGCGCACGCTGAGCTGACGGCGGCCTCGAGACCCTTGGTCGACATAGTGCAAGTGGCTTCCTGATCATCGGTGTTCTGGCGTGTGCATTCGCCTGTGATAGTGACAGTGACACCATCGTTCTCGGCCACAGCATTGACTCCGTAGTAGGTGTTGCCTTGAAGAGTGACCATCTGGCCGATCTCGGCCGCCGCACCTAGGTCTTCCTGAATTCGATATAAGTATGCATTACTAGAGTCGAGTTTTGTTTCTGTTTACGGTCATGCCCTGAACGTCAATAGACATTGTAGTACGGCCATTTTGAACAGTGATCACGGAGGCAACATATGAAAGGCTGTTGCTTCCGGTACCCGCCATCCATGCTGAAGTGGTCAATTGCGCAGTCGCGCATGAGACAAGAAGAGCGGTGGAGAAAATCTTAGACATTATGCTGATGTGAGTGTTTTGAACGGGGAATGGTATGTTGTTGGAAAAGAATGTGCTATGATTAGGCTAGGAACAACAAGCAGTAACGAGCGAAGCTTAGCTGTGAAGGCGTAGATTGGGATACCGCAGTCTATTTAACCAGGAGTCCTTTGGCTGTCTGCTTGCATGACAGCGGGAACAACGCACGATGCAGGCGGCCTAAGGCGCACAGCCCCTGATATTGATCCGCCTAGTACCTTTTCAGGCTGATTGGCCACTAACCTGGGCTAGCTGAAACCCATTCCAGATCGTTGCCTAGAAGAAATTATGGAAAATTCTCCACAATAGTATCTATGCGGCGGAGGCGTTGATCAGAGCGGGCATTGCATGAGGTATGTAGCTGCAAATAGCTATGGTGGTGACTTGCTGATAGCGATCTGGCCAGCGACTTCGAGATCCAAAGGTCTTCGCTCTTTTGTTTGGGATACTCAGCCTCTGCTACACCGGTAATTCACCTGTATATTGATTCTACCGCTAGGTCCGACGATTTCAACGGTTTGACTGGAGAGTGCTTTGGTTGAGGCGTGTTTCGGGCGTCGCCTTGTGAGCCAATGCCGGGGTGATGGCAATCTCGTTAAGCCAGCCCGGAGTTAGCGCGCCCTAGCACAATATGGAGCAAAGGGGCATTGCCGCTATCGGTTCTATGAGAGCACAATGGAGGCTGGGTCATGTCGTAAATGTCAAGTTTGAGGTGGATTGGTTGACGTCCAAAATAGCAAGGAACGTGGATCTTGAGGACGACATGCGCCAAGACTTTATGACATAACATCACACCAGACGTCAATGAACGCATCGGTCTCGACGGTTGCAGTCCGCGGATCTCGTCAAATCGAACAAGGATTGATTGCGCAAAATTACAACAATGAAATGAGCCGGGTATCCGATAACAAGTAGCACGAAAACGTAACTTTGACACCGCTCTGTACGCAACTAATATCGCCACAGGCATTCAAGTAGCACAAAATACAGTGCCACAATACAGCCAAAACAGCTTGCATCTCTCCGGCCAATGCAAGCCAATCACCAAGTTATTCTTCCACCATTTCATCCCCTACCGACTTCCTTTTTTGGCACTTGGTGAAGCAGTGTCCTAGGCCTCGTCGTTGTAGTATTGCGCGCCACGACGCATACCACTCGAAAAGTTGTAATCGTCGTCGTCGTTGTCTCGTGCTCGAAGAAGCTCCTTGCTCCACCCCTGGAATGGTTTCTTGAGCGCAGAGCGCAGTGAAGAGGCTGATAGCGTGTGGTGCTGAATTGACGAGTTGGGTGTGCCAGGGGTTGGAGTCACAGAAGAGCTGCGGCTCGAGGTTTTGGAGTTGGATTCAGCCATGATGATTATGAAAAGATAGGAGCGAATGAATTGTGCTATCTCAAAGAGTCGTGGATAATGAATGACTTTGCGTAAGTTGGGAAAATGATGTTTGAGCGACTGGTTCATCACTTGAAGGTTCTGCATCGTGGCGATATATATGCGTTTGCAGGCCGATATTTTCTACCAAAGCAAAACCGAGCCATCGCCGAATGGCTTCACATGAATAGTTGTTACTATCTTGGCCCACATTAAGAGCCTCACCCACATGGTCGCTGATCAGCCGGGCTCCGTTACTCCAGCCCTTGATTGGCGCGTGGCGTCGATTAAAACTCGGGGATTCGGGATTGCTCGGCGAAATTGAGAATTCGGGAGTACCCGGACACAAGACTTGACAGCTCAGCTGTCATTGGATGATAAGAGGTTTTTGCAGCTGTCTAAAAGGTTGTTCTTTTGAATCTAGAAAAACAGCACAAAAACTCAACGCCTCCCGTGAATGTGCCATGACTCGAAAGCCGAGCGCAAGCCACGTGATATACCCTCGCTCAAGACCATACTTAAAGGGGGATTCGCTGTTGGTGAGCCAATAAATTACTCACTCGTCGATAAGCTATCCATCAATACTTGGATACAACGCCTTTCTAGTATTACTCAGATCATAACCATTATGAGCTACGAACCCCTACTCTGGTTGAAATTCGAGGGTAAGTTCCAAAAGCGTGCGCCCCACAAACCTCTTGTGCGCAAAACAACTGCGTAGCAACACCATGTAGCACTATCACGGTGCTTGCTATTCATAAATCCAACGCCAAAGTATCCAGATCCACTGCAGCCTTCATAGGCTCAGCTGCTTCTTGTCGGGTTGATTGTTGTGTGCAGTCTTGTCACAGTGTGTGCCGCGTCTATTAGTGTGTAACCTCTTCGCAGGCGTCGCGCCGTCCTTATAACTACCACCCCCTATTTTGGCCACCTTAGCAGCGACTCGGTTGGACTTAGTATCCATGACAATCATCAGTATTTTGATCAGCTATTGTACAAAGCCAAACGCGCATGATCTTATTCCATGCCCGCAGAGTCTACTGTACACCTGATGTAAAACACAAAAGAAAAAGTAAGTACATAGATACGAGCGAGCAGTCAGATCGTGCATCGTAATCATGGAGTTATTTTGCAATTTGTCCAATCAAATCAAGTTGGCAGAAAATGCCCTGACGTCGTATTGCTTACTATCTCCACACCGCCAGTAGCTATAATTAGCTACTAAGCAATGTGAGTGCGGAACATCTACACTTGTACCTTTCATCCAACCAGAACACTCTGCAATCTCTCCGAAAAACTTCAAGACTTCGAAGTCGGGAGGATAAATTGTCGCCCACGTTACACCACTGGTGATACGATGCTTAGCATTGTATGACTTAAGCATAGCATACGTCAATCTCGGAGCCACCCGTCCGTCTTACACATCATATCTGACATTCGTGCAACTGTGGCAGTTAGTAAAAACAAAAACTTTAGAGTTAAAGATTGGATGCGATGATCTTTATACACCTATAAAAGTAAATACCTCTCTAAGGAGCTGGCAAAACGTGCAAGTTGAATAGGAAATTATTGTGCGGTTTTCATCACTTTACTCCGCACAGATGATATGAGCCGCACGAGAAGATACTATTAGCCTACCCAAGTAATATGTGAGCTATAAAAAGGTCGCTCTGTCCTCTCCTCTGCACCTCCGAATCCCGCCTTTCATTCCGGTCCGTCTACACCTCCGCATAGCTCCCGGACTCATTTCCGTATCCCCTCATTTGCGCCACCAAAATAAAACTCTTCCACGTGAAAAAAAATACCTGCCCTAGGTCTACGGCGAGTTCCCCGGGCCGCCCATTATGTGGCGCAACGTCGAAACATCGTGGCATGAAGCTTCTATACGTCCAAGCACGAGTAAAGCCGAACACGACGCCTTATCACGCATCAAGCTTTCCACTAACAGAAGCGGATCTCAAGTCTTATTCACTGGAAGAATCAGCTAGCGTGGGAGCACGGGAAGAGTAGAGTGGGAAAAATAAAATAAACATATAAGACACTGCCGCCAGACCGACCATTCCCAACATCGCCCGAACATTCCATCTACTGTTCTCCAGCTTCAACAACCAGGCAACCATGCATTTCACCACAACCACCCTCCTCACCCTCCTCGCCGCCGTCAGCGCCGCCTCCTCTGTCCAGAACCTCGACCGCTGGGTGGTAACTATCAGCCACGACTTCGCCGGCGGCGCTGGCTACAGCGAGAAACTGCACGCGGAATTCCACTCCCCTTCCTACGATAAGGCCCTCGTAACCGACTGCAAGGCTTCTTATACCTATTTGAAGGGACGTACAACGCCGATTTGCACGTCGGATTCGCTGACGTATGATTATAATAATCATACTCAGGGTACGTTTCCCTTTCTTTCTTCTAATTTTTTTCTTTTCGAAACTGGGTTTGGGAGGGAGGGGTTTAGGGAAGGGAGAATGAAGAAGCTGGTTGGCTAATAAAGTTTGTGAAAAAATAGTTTTCACTATGCGCCAGTGTATCACCAAGCCATCCAAGATGGTGGTGACGGGTGAATCCACGGTCGATATCAAGGTGAATGGTGGGAAGGATCTGAGGCCTTATACTGGTACATTTACTGTTCCTGTTACGCATGGGAAACTGGAAAATAATTGGATCGCATAATCTGACGCGAAGCGGGCGGCGAGTGGGAGAGGTGAGGGGGACAGGGAAGAAAGGTGGGTGAATGTGCAATGAATTAGTGAGATAGATGTATATACGTTGAAGATATATGTATTCTTTTGAAATAAAACACGTTGCACCTTTTAAGAAGTTCCATGATTAGATGTCGCCCCTGTACTTCGCACCCGCACCACCAAATGTGCCGTGGAATCCGAAGCTCATAGGACCATTCATGTCCGCTCGACCCAAGACGCTCAAATCCTTTGCACTGAGGACAAGAAGGTAGCTCTTCTCCTTATATCCATCAAGCACTACACTCAACAGAATACCGTCGTCTTCCTCGGTACCTTCTGGATCAGCAATGAAAATCGGCTCGCCGGGCGTGTGACCGTCTACCTCCCAGAATATGGACTTCATTGTGTGGTTGTCGAATTTGACGATGCCGTCGAAGAAAGTCGATCGGAGACGGTCGGCGCAGCCGTAGGTGTAGCGGTGAGGACGAAGGAGGTAGGCTGGGTTGATGGTGCCGAGTTCCATAGAGTTGAACTTCTCCGCTTTGAACACGAGTTCGGCGGGCAGGGGCGTTGTAGGAGGCAAACCGGCGTCGACGCTGGGGAGACGGAATCGCGTCTGCATGGGGAGACAAGACATGCGCTTCTCACCATTGAATTCCGGTGTGTCGATGGAGGAGATGATGTTATCATAGTAGAAGCGCTTTACAACGTCGAGGTTCTCGAACATGCTCAGTTCGACGACGACATCGGTCTTGCTCTTATCAGATTCAGATGGCTCCTCCCAGGCATTGATGCTGTGGAAGCAGAAGAACGGGTCGCTCTCAAAGGTTGCAACCAGACCCTTGTCTGATTTGCAGTCGACGACATACCAGCAGGCTTTTGAGTTGGGATCAAAAGGAGCAATGGCGTCGACAATGTTCTTGTGCCACAGTAGCCCAATGCCGTTCCATGTGATGTGGGAGTTCCAGACGCAGACAATGACATAGCTCTCTGACAGGAAGATAGAGTGAATGTATGCTGGCGTGCCGGGGAAAGTCGCAAGAATCTCTGTTTCTCCTGTGGCCGCTGATACGCGGAAGACGCGGTAAGTACAGCCAAGAGCGCCAAACTCAAGATTGAAGTTGTACATGTCGCCCGTATCGGGGTCGGACTTTGCATGCGCGGCAGAGAATGGGCCTTTGAGATCTGGGTGAAGGGCGGATTGGCGAGCATACCCCTTTGGCTCCAAAGTCTCGGGATCAATCAACTTGAGAGCGCTAGAATCCGTCTTCGCACACAGCGTCTTGATGCCGCTGGTATGATTGCTGGTCTCGAGTGGCTTGCCACGGGCAACCTTTTCGCTTCCAGGCATGTTGATGGATAGAGTGACTCCAACGTTCTTCTCGTTCTTCAACTTGGGTACGAATATGCTCATGACCTTTTGGAAGAAGCTCTCACAGGGATCGCGCTTCGCACCGAATGTCGCAGTCTCAAGCTTTCCAGTTTTGCGAACCATGTTGATGTACTCGTCTACAGTACGCCTGGATCGATAGGTAACTTTGGGAGTACTGCTGTCGTTCGGGAAGTCGATCTGGAAGCGGTGAACGCAGGAGAAGCCGTCGAACCAATGTCTTGCTGCCCAGATTTTGCCATCGTCTGTCTTCGCCTTGAAGCCCAGAGGTCCTGTCCGGTAAAGGACACCTGCAGCATATCGTGGGATATTACCGTGTACGGTGAGTTCAACGGGCTCGTGCTCTTGATAATCCGTGTCGAAGCCGGCGGTATTAGGCCAGACATCAGTTGTTGGGACAACCATATTGGGCTATGCGTAGAAAAAGGGTCGAGGTTGACTTGATTGGTAGTAAAAGATTCAAAGTGACTTGATAGATTAGAGTTGAAAAGAAGATAAACGTTGTACTTGAAATGAAGATAGCCCAAGACGTTCACTCTGGATAGTCCGAGGGTAGATGTAGTGGTGAAAGATTGTTTGATGTCTGAATGTCTTCTGTCCATTCATCTGGGGATTGCTCTTATATGTAACGAGCCATATCAGGTGAGCTGTGCCACAGTCTTGTGAAAGTGGGCTCTGCATGGCCCCTCAACGGAGGAGCCGGGATGCCATGACATCTAGCGTGCGTATAGCGTAGTATGGACCGCAGCACGCTCTCAACGTTAAGGTACATACATCTCAGTCAACTTCGTCAGCGCTTGTTTCACCGATTATGAGGATGGCTTGCATCTTGAGATGATGATTGGTGAGGGTTGCGGTTGGCATTCCAATATCGTGACTGTTCTCCACACCCAAGGGATCTCTAGGATATCACATGTATATCACAAATGTCGGTAGTTGGTGGCAAGAATCACTTCTCATCCAAAATGGCATGTAATATTAAACCTCTCGACGTTGCAAATGCGATTCTTGGCGTTGCACTACGGGGCGGGCGGCTGAATTGTGGCTGGTGGCCCGCAGGTTCGGGGGGAAGAAGGAGGAACAAACCTCCGATGCTGTTAGTTTCGGCCGCAAGTCCATGTAACGGTCGGCCACTGTTACCAGAATGCCATTCTTTCCGAGCCCCTAGGCTGTATTGGGCGAATGCGGGGCGCAGGCCTGGCATGTCTTTTGCTCAGTTGTGTAAAATGTGCCACAGACGAAACAAAAGTTACGGCCGTAAGGAAGAAAGTTCGCCCGATGCTACCAGTGCACAGAATATGGTCATTTAGCAATGGAATTCATCTTTTTTGGTTGTCACAATGAATTCGAAAGAAAGTATAGCCAATACTAGTATCGAAAAAGTAGCAAAGAGCTCGCAAACTATGCTTGATCGATGTGACTGACCTGCGCAATGATGAAGGTTAAGCACTAGTCCAAATGCAGTACTAGCGGACCAAATTCCCGCCGTTGCGAGCGGAAGGGCGCTGTTGCATCATCAACCCCAAACTCCCTTTCACTCAAATGGCCACTCACCAATCTACTCACACGTTTCCTTGACGACTTGTAGCGCAGTGGAAAAAAGCTCCCAGTAAACTGAACTTCGACCAACTTTCTCCATGGAACCTTGAGCCAAGTCGATCCGTCCGGAACGACGTCGCTTCAACACAAATTTCTAAAACCCCAAACTTTGGTCCGCGGACACAGATTAAGGAGACAGCGAACAACCACAAAAATGGGGGCCATACTATCCCTCCCCTTCACCCTGCTCAACTTCCTCCTCCCATTCACGCGCGCTGGCACACCACTATCGCAAGATCTACTACACACAGCCATCCTCTGCGGAACCCTATATTTTGCCCCGCAAATCGGTGAATGGTACAACGCCCGCCAACAAGGCGCCCATCGCACCCCCCCGGACCAGCCAGACGCGCAAGAACCCTCAAATCAACCCACCGACAACAACCTCCCAAACACCAACACACAAGCCGCCCCAGACCCACCCCTAGACGAGCGCCTCATCCTCCAAGACGACGACGACCCGGACACCCACCCCGGCGCCGCCCGCCCACGCGCACCCACCCCACCACCAGCACCGCGCCACCAAGCCCACGTCGAAGACGACGAGCACCGCGACCCCTTCGCCCCCGGCCCCGCCAACCCGCCTCCCCAACAACAACCCGCCCGCGCACCCACGCACCGCACCGTCGGCACCAAAAAAGCCAAATCCCTCGCCCGCAGAGACCAGCAGCGCGCGTACAACGAGTGGCTCCGACAAGAAGCCGAGATCCGACGTAGACAAGAAGATGAGGGCCGCGAGGAGCGCGAAGCCGCACTCGCACTTGAACGCGAGCGCAGGGCGGCGGCTGAGGAAGTGATTCGGGCTAAAGAGCGGGAAGAGCGGGAGGCGCTGAAACGTGAGCGAGAGAGGGAGGCGAAGGAAGAGGCGGAGAGGAGGGAGAGGGTGGTGGGGTATGTGAGGGGGCGAATTGAGGAGGTGGGATGTGTGGATTTAGTCGAGGCAGCATGGAAGGAGGGCAAGGATAGGGTATGGGTTGAGAGATTGGTCAGGGCGTCGGGACTACTGGGCCAGTTGACGACGGAGGGGAAGAGTGTTATGCTGACGGCCAGGGACTGGCTTGTTAGGATTGATCAGACAATCGTGGATAAGGCCTATGCTGAGGCGGAAAGATTCGGTCTGGAACATGGTGGTAAAGTCGGCTTTGAGGAATTCGGCAGTATCCTGGAGAACGTTGTACTGCAGGGCGTAGAGGCGTGAAAAAAAAGGGCAATTGGTAAAAAAAAAACGCAAAAGCGCTGCTCCTTTTTTTTCTTTTCATCGGACCGTTGGCGTTGTTAGGCTCAAAAGTACATGTAACAAAGGGAAGGATAATAATACCCATAGACGAAATTCATGATACAATATTTCTACCATCGTTGGCTACGTCAAAGACTTGTTGTGCACAGCCATATACTATAACAACATACAACACGACCTCCTTCTCTCCGCCAAAGGAAAAAAATCATGTTCCTCTCGGGGGACCTACATCACCCTGCACACAACAAAGTCCAATTGCTTTGAATTTGGTATCGTATTGTCCATTTTTTGTCATGCAACCATGAAAAGAGGAGGTCTTATTTCACCTAGAGAAGCCATGTCATGCATAAGATCCCCCAATCCCGTCCGATCAAAATCCGACCAGAACAGCCATTCGAAAGAACTCCATCCAGAGAGACACCATGCACACACATACACAGAACGCACGCCCTTATCGGTTGGACTTGGCGACACGCTCGAGCTCATCCTTCTTCTTGATGGCGTAAGAGTTGCTGCTTCCCTTGGCAGCGTTGATCAGCTCCTCAGCAAGGCACTCAGCAATGCTCTTGATGTTGCGGAAAGACGCCTCACGGGCACCAATGGTAAGGAGAGAGATACCCTGGTTGACACGGCGGAGAGGAGACACATCGACGGCCTGGCGACGGACGGTACCAGCGGAACCAATACGGGTGGAGTCTTCACGGGGACCGCAGTTGACAATAGCGTCGACGGCGACCTGGATGGGGTTCTGGTCGGTCATGATGTGGATCTGCGATTGTCAGCCATCTTGCACCAACTCTTCTATTCCTTCCCAATATTCCGTTTCTGAATCTTGAAAAGCGGGTAGACGTACGATCTCGAAAGCGTGGGCAACAATGCGCACAGCCATGAGCTTCTTTCCGTTGTTGCGGCCGTTCATCATGAGCGAGTTGGTGAGGCGTTCAATGATGGGGCACTGGGCCTTCCTGAATCGCTTGACGGCATATCGGCCGGCCGAGTGTGAGATGTAGACGGGAGAGCGGATCTGGATGTAGTCGCTGCGGCTTCAGTTAGCCGAAGGTCTCGCAGCGCAATACAAAAAGAATCCAATGCCATCACAATATTCCTTCATGTATGTGTGCGGCGCAAGATCGTGGTAGGGGAAACGTACGTCAATGAGATGTCGCGGACTTCAACCTCCTCGTAGGACCACTGTGAAGTGTTAGATTCGCTTCGTGTTGTAGTTTTCGCATTGTGCCTGCCTTGTTGAACAGCTTCACGCTGCCCTGCTCCTCGGCGACATCCTTGGGAAGGATGTTGATGCCGGTGGGGTTCTCGACCTCGATTTCTCCGTTGTCAGACATGGTTGCGTTTGTCGGTGTGTGAGGGAGAAAGAGGGTTGGGCGTCTTAGTCGTTGTCGCTGAAGTTCGAGCAAGTGTCTACAAGGGAATTTCGCTAGTGTGTGTTCGCCAATGGTGCGCTAGTCGCGCCTTGGCGCTAGACCACCGACCGCCTTTGCATTCTGCCAGAAACCGCTAGCGAGAAAACAGCCGAGTACCAGATGGTGGGATGAATTACCCACGCTACATTATCCACAAACTTGTTCTCATGTTGATTGCACTGTTTAGAGTCGCCTAGCATTATTACCGATACCACACCCTCTATTTCTAGGCCGAGAACTTGCAGCCATCTATCTCACACCAATGTCTAGAACAGTATACACAAACGCAATGTTACAAAGTTGAACAGTATATATCAAAAATTACAATAACTATATTATGTATTCATCATCCGTAAAGCATAACTGTGGTATATAACGCAGTTTTTGCCTACCCAAAACAGACCAAAGAGATGAAGAAACAAAACGCCAAATCAGCCAAATGATGCAGCAGTGGCAGCCCCAACTCCATGCAATGCCGCTAAGCGCAAAGTAAAGCCGCGAACGGGGAAATCAAGTGGTATCACGACTCTCGCTGCGCCTTGGGCAGCACACCAGGCACCAATGTCTCAGAGCGCTCATGATCTGAACAATCATTTTTGTGCCCTTGACACGCTCCGCATCCTTGACACACTCCGTACCCTTGGGATGGGGGCACTGATGTCTCTCCGGTCCTTCACTCCCTCAAACATCTGCTTCATTGGCGTCCCTTGGCCAGCAGCCATGCTCTTAGCGCGGCCGCGTCGTTCACGGATGGCGGCAAGAGCAGCCTCACGGTCAATACCCAGCTTGTTCAATGACAGCTCGCTCAAGGCAGGTGTCTGGGCATCCGCCGCAGCGTGGGCGACCGTCGAGGGTGTCATAGGGCCTCGGCCTGCCTTGAACGCTGGGGTAGCAGGTGAGAAGTGCAGTGGGATGGTGGTTGTAGTAGTAATGGTGCGGGTAAGATAGGGCGTAACGGGAGCGGCAGGCTCGGGTTCTTGAGTTGGTGGGGACGCATCGTCGTCGTCACTGTCCTCAACAGCATCCTCATGAATGTTGATATCTGCTGACTTGCCCTTGCGGCTCTCTCGCACAAAAGCTACACGAGACGCTGGACGAGACTCTGGAAGAGAGACCTGAGCAGGAGGCGGCATGGCTCTCGTCTCAAGGTCCATTGGCGGTGCTTCACTCATCTCCACTACAGGTGATGGCTCGGGCAGGACGGCTGCTAACTGTGCTTTGACGGGGGAAGGCACGGAGCGGAAAGTACCAGTGACTGGTGAGAAAGCAACAACAGTGTCTGGCTCTTGAGCGGGTTGTTCAGCCACAGGCGTGGTAGGACGCTCAGCTTCAACAGACTCTTGCTTCATGACTACATCTTCCATGACGTCGTCTTCGTGGTTGCTAGCTGGAGGTGTAAACGTTGACTTGATCCGCTGCATTTCGGCTTGGAGAGAGTCATCGTGAACGAATTGCTTGCCCCTGGTCTCGGCAATTCGGCATGAGCAGCACTGGAACTGACATTCCATCTTCATGTAGTCAATCTGCTCCTCAGCACGCTCGCGGGCGCGCTTCTCTGCAGCCAGCTCTTGTTGGATGAACCTCAGCTCGACTGCACCCTTCTTCGGCGAGACGTTTTCTTTGTCATCGTCCTGACGAGAGCTGTTGTGTGGCTTGCGTGGGGATCGGACTGGTGAGGCAAATTCGTCGCGTTCGTCATCCTCGGCGGAGGGTAGCGGTATCTGACCCTCGGCAGCAATACGCAAGACCTCTTCCTCTTTGAGACTGGTCTTGAGAGCATCGCGTTCTGCCTCAACCAGGCTCAACTTTTCCTTGAGTGCCTGCAACTCTTCGCTCAGACGAGTGTTGGTGCTTTCAACTTCAACCTGTAAGCTGTAGACATCGTTCTTGTATTTGGTAGCTTCCTCAGTCTTGAATTTGACATCTGATTCAGCCCGTTGCAGATTACGCTGAAGGGTTTGAATCTTTGACTGGAGCTGTGGGATCATAGATGAATGCCGGAGCTTATCGTTGTTCGCCTCGATCCATTGCTTTTTGTAGCTTTTGTATTTGCCTTCGAAGACCCTGCTCTGGTTCTCTGCTTCAATCTGTATAGTGTGAGCTTAATGTAGTCAATCAGACATGCAAGCCAAACTCACCATCTTGTGCTGCATGCCCTTCCATCGCTCTTCATTTTGTTTGAACACAGTCTCCCATTGGTTAATGGCAGCTTTGTTCGCCTTGCGTTCTTTCTCGTAGCGTTCCTTTGTGATGGCAACCTCGAGCGAGCCACTAGCATGCTCAAGTTCGCTCTTCAGCTCTTCAATGCGAATGTCGCGCCGGCTAATGGCCATTTCGTGCTCCTTCTCCTTTTTCGCATGCTCCTTTTCCTTTTTCGCATGCTCCTTTTCAACCTTGGCCAGCTTCTCTGCATTTCTTGCCCTTTCCTTTTCTAGCAATTCCTTGAAGCGTCTGGACGCTTCTCTTGGGTCCTTAACTTCGAGATTCTCAAACATGCCGGTGAGAGCTGTGACGGAGACGTCCGAATCGGTTCGACGGTGGGTGTGTCGTAGCGGTGAGTGCGTGCGGAGTGGCGGTGTTGATGGAGACATGACGGGTGATGCACTTGCAGAGTCGCCATATAGCGACTTCATAGCACCGCCGCGGTCGGGGCTGGCGGGGAACACAGGCATTCCAGGGGAGAAAGCCATTTTGTTTGGTGAGACGGGCAGAGGCGGATCCAGCTGGACCGGGGATTCTTTGAGGCGCGCCAACTTGGCGGTATTGAAGGGTTATGTATGTTTGAGAAGAGAATTCTTTTTTCCGAAAACAAACTCGACGCAAAGTTTGGTGCCCTAAGGAAGATGTGCTGCGCGATAATGTGATGTGTGGTGGTGCGAGCGTAGACGACCGAGTGTAAATAGCACTAGTTGGCCGTCATCCAACGCTACTTCCCTGTACCGTAGCAACCCGCACGGACCACCTCATCTGGCAAACCCCGCGTCATTTGTTCCCTGAATCCCGAACACATATTTACTCTTGGGTACCTGGTGCAGTGTAGACCCTTTTCTCCCCTGATTGAGGATAGGCTACGAAGGCATGATAAAGATAAAGTATTCAATTCTTCGACCAAACAGCTGCAAAGTATGCTGAAGATGCCTATATGAACATACCTGCTTTGGGAACTCATACAATCAGTGTATCACGCCCTAAGTAACTCAAATTCTCTATCACACATTGTACCATTTCGGATGCGATGGTCTGATTTTTGTGTGTCATCTTCGGAAGATGCGAAAATACCCCTCGCCGCAATCCAATCCGCCGACCAGGACATATTGACTTAATTCATCTTAGCCTTGCATGAAAGGATAATCAGATCTACTTATGCAGATCCATGTCAAGACACCACTAGTGCACTCATATTTCCGGTATATTCTAGTCAGCTGCACATTCTTAGATTAAAGTCTTTTTTCCAGATGCTAAGCCTGAGAGAGCGAGATTGCGAAGAGTCGTCGAAACTGATAAGGATACTATTGATAGTGTTTTACAAACAGCGCCCATTTCTACAAATATCAATCTAGTCTACAAAGGACCGGTAGACGCAAACATGATAAAGCAGATCGAAGTATAAAGCAAACTGGAAATTGGATACAGCGCTTGCTCAATGATGACCATGAACAAAGCAACGCGTATGAAAATATCTTGTCGGATACCCTCAGGAAACCAAACGCCCCATGAAGAGAAGCACTTTTTGACCTTTTTTATTTGCAGAGAGAGAAAAAAAACATCTCAATGTGGTGACGGCCGTACTCGAGTCATAATCGTGACGATGATCAAAGTCGATCGAAAAATTAACGGGATAAAAATAGTACGAGTTGCAAGTTCAGACTTCCCAGGGCTGACGCGGACGATGGATGGCTCCGTAGCTCCTTGGCTCGTCCTCTTCCATCAAGCTTTCCATGACAGAGCCGGCATCGGTGTTGGTAAATGTCATTGCATCGTCTCGATCCAGCTTCTTGTGCATGCGGTACACCTGGACCGAAACATACACGACCAGCGACATACCGACTACGAACGCCGAGGCTGCAAAAAAGATGTTTACAGGAGTCGGGTCGCCCTCGAATAGGCTCTTAGTCAATGCATCGATAGCCGTCTGCGAAAGGTTGACGAGTCCAGATGTACAGATAATGGTGCCATATACTCTGCCAAACGTAGCAAAGCCAAAGACCTTTGTAGCGTAGTCTGACATGGCTGAGTAATATAGTGGACGTAGAAAGACGAATAGGACGACATTTACGTAACCAGCCCATAGGGTAGGTATTGAACCAATGATGCCAATGGCAGTGGTCATTACGACAATAAGGAAGAGGACGCCGGCGGTGCTAACGTTGTCAAGCAGAATGCCGAGGAAGGGGGTAGCAACGACTCCGGCAAGTGGGAGCGCAACATCAAAGAAGTTGTTGACTTTCTCAGCCTGTTCGACGGAGCCGAGCATGTACGTGTACTGCTCGCGGATAGTTGCGATGAAGTAGTTCATGCGCACCATCTGGATAATAGTCAGAAGGACGAGCAGAATGAACCAAGGCGTCAGCATTTGGTCTTTGGCAGACTTGTTGTGAAGTGCTCCCCAGACACCAGAGGTCTCTAGGTTCTGCTCCCGCTTTTCTTCTCGAAGTTTGCGCGCAGCTTCGTTGCCAACAAGGTCGTCGAGCTTGCTCAGTCGTTCCTTGCGGCGTTCGCTACGGGCTTTTCGGCGCCTCCACATCTCCTCGTCTGACAACTCGTCGTCCGAGGAGTGCACATCGCGCATAGTATCTCCAGCCTTCTGAACCTTCATCTCAAGTTGTGCCTCAGTTTTGTAGTTCTCGGTCGGCAAGAAGGTAAGTTGGGCAATGGCGATTGCGAGTGGGACAACCAGATATACCAAGAAGAATGTCTCTGGCTTGAAGGTCCTGTCGCTGGCATCGTACATGATTCTGTAGAAGAGAAAGACTGCTGCAGAAGCGTCAAATGCGCCAGTGACGAGTGCAACGATGGAGCCACTGTACTTGGGGAATGCATTAGCAATCTGGAAAGCGGGCAAGAAGACAAATGTGCCCCCCAAGGCAAGGAAGAAATTGCCAATTGTATAGCCTTCAAAGCGCTGGATCTGGGAAGCAAAACTCATTAGAATGCTGCCAGCAGCAAGACACAATGAACCGGTAAGGAAGCAGAGCCTGGGGCCGTAGCGGTCGAGCAGTGTGCCGACTGGCAGGGCAGATATGTTTGCAGTAGTAGAGGCCAACGAAAAGAAGAAGTTCAATCGGAGATCCTGCTCGAAGCATACTTCGACATCATCATCAATTTCTTCGGGAGTGCAGAGGTTGCGGAAAACACCCTCTTTGATGAGAATTGGCTTGAGTGCCGCGAAACCAAAGACGATGCCGCTGGCAAACCAACAGGCGAGGACTGTTGCAATGACCTGTGCTGGAAGCAAAGTTAGTTGATTTAAACATGCATTTACCGTTACTCGAGGTAGCAATACTTACCGACACGTTTCGTAGTGGATACTTTGTAGGGCGTCAGACCTCCCGGCTCCTCGCCCGCGGAAGGCTCGTCGGGGTTGGGAATCACATCGTAACTGATAACCCGCCGAATTGCCTTTCCATGGGGATTGAGGAAGCCGGCACTCGACATGGCACTCTCAAGCGACATACGGCGGTCAGCTGCATCTTGACGGCTATGCTGGCGGTCAATGGGCGGCAGAAACAAATCTACGAGAGCCTCGTCGCGGTCAGTGCCCTCCTGCTGGCCAACATGCTGGATCAATGACATGAGAAGTGGGGAAGAAGACGCCTGTTAGTAGTGATTGGGTATGAAGTTGAAGGGAAAGAAGCACAGCGTCCAGAGGGGAGAGGTCAGTAAAAGATTTGCTTGCGTCGGGTCGTCGGCAGGGTAAACAGAGGGAAGAGGAGCGGGCAGGCGCGGAGTTTAATTGAAGCTCGGCAGACTGACACGCGACCCAAGATCTAGACAGAGCGATAGCGGGGATCACATGGCACATGCGGCTTCATGTCCGGCAGGACGGGGCCGTTGGCCTCGCATGTTGGCGGTGTCGCGGGCGCGAAGTGCGAGCATGTGCATGGTACATAGTGTGTGTTCTGCCGGCATGGGAGTCGACCATGCTTCGCGGGATGTCGCATACTCGCTTGCCAGAAAGGCCGCGAAACGTCCAAAACGGTTACTGTTGTTCGGCGGATGATTGGCTGTGTTCGGCGGTAGCCCTGTCCGCTGCCCCACGCACTTTCGCGCATCTTCCAGCAGGTAACAACCTGGGAGCCACAGCGACACGGCGACACGGCGACACGGCGACGACAGCGCATCACGCCATGTCTTCTTTTTCAAATAATATAAGGCCCATCATTACCACAGTGCTGTGTACACGCGTATCTTGAGGAAGAGGGTGGGTGAACTTGCGTCATAGGCCGCGATCGCCGTGATTCAGCTACCCTACTCGTACACCCTCTATCGCAACCATTACGCAGACGATCCCTGGCCATACACATCCGCATCGAAGTTGGTGGGGAACTGGTCGCGTCCCTCAGCATCACTTCGCACCCACACCGCGACACTCGTGCCAGGACACTTGAACAATCCGTAGCCTTCACTGTCAATCTCCACTTCACCTTGCTCCCATCCAAGCACGTCGGTCCACTTCTCCCCGGCGTGCATCTCGCCAACCGCCATTTTGATCTGCCCTGGCCCCGCATTGCTCATCACACATGCAAGACCCGCCACCTTGTCCCACGTTCCACGACGCACGAACCCAATGCAATTGGCCTCGTTGAAGTAGTCCTCCTGCGCTCCGTATGCAAACAACTTACGCGCCAGGATAAGGTCTGCAAGCTTGCCACCGCACGACGCCGGCGTTTCGTGGGGCTCCGACAGTCCATACAGATCGCCATAGAACGGGCATGGGTATCCTTCTTGTCGGAGCAGAATCAGTGCATATGCAAGCGGCTTGAAGAAGCCCTCAATCTTGGTTTCCATGACCTGTCCGGGTTGCGTGTCGTGGTTAGTGACAACCGTCACAGCATCTATCGGCCGCAGCCCGACTAGTGAATCGTCAAATACTGTCCTTAGATCGGCTGATTCGGTTGTGGATAGCGAGCCAAACTTGTTCAGCAACGGCGAGTCGTAAAGGGAGATTTCGTGATTCATGCCGTCGAGCCATTCGCCCATTTCCTTGACATCGCCCGACCAGAACTCGCCCACAATGAAGATATCGTCTCCGCATTGCTCGCGGAGGTTCTTCATCCATTCGTTCGTAAACCTCGAACTGAAGTGCTGCACAGCATCGAGGCGGAATCCCTTGAGCCCGAGTTCTTTGGTTATCCAGACACCCCAATTCTTCACATCTTCTTGAACTTCAGGGTGCGAGTAGTCAATGTCTGCAAACATCATGTAATCAGCATTGCCGGATTCCGTGTCCACGCTTTGCGACCAGCCTTTGTTGTCACCAAGGATCTTGTAGATGGCCTTCTTCTCGTTGGCCTGGTTGTAGTCGGTTCCGGAAAAGTGCTCCCAGTGGTACTTCATCTTGGAATACTGCTCACCACGTCCTGGGAAGTCGAATCCTAGCCACCCCTCGATTTCGTAGGCATCGGATATCTCCTTTGTCCGATCGTTTTCATCGACTTCCACAACCCGGCACTTCTCCGTCCTATCTGCACCCGCCTTGTGATTCAACACGGCATCCCAGTAAAGGCCAACATTGTGTTCCTTGGCAACTTTGGCGAGCTCTAATAGCTCTTCCTTTGTTCCCCATTTCGTACCTTTGGCGCCTTTCTGATCAAATTCGCCCAGATCGTATAGGTCATAGATGTCGTAGCCCACACCCTTTGGATTGGCGGCTTTGCAACCAGGAGGTAGCCAAATGTTAGTTATACCGATCGCTTTGAGCTTTGGGAGCTGTTCAGCGAGACGCTTCCAGTGCTTGTGATCATCCGGGACATTCCACTCGAAGCCTTGGAACAGTGTACCATTCTCAGGCGTCGGCTTTTGTTCTGTTCAGTGGTGAGCATCGCAGTAGTCCAATCGGAAGAGAAATTATCGCTGGACCTTACTTACCTTCTGAACCCATTGTCAGGGATGCGCTTGTCGGCTTGGGCTTGAGGTGTGCTGTGTTGTACGATTTCCCGATGATCGATAGACAGCGCAATGGTTCAGCTGGGCCAAGGGGCTCAATGTCTGAGTGTGGTTTTCAAGTACACCGGAAAATTCGACAGAGCTATACTTCTCACTCATGTTCTTTACTTTTATACCCACTACGGCTCATAGCGGGCGAATACCCTGTATGGGCCCATAGCTGAGCAGGTTTGTCTGTTGACTCCTTCGGCCGGGCTGGCTATCAAGAATGAGACACGGGCGCTGTGAATGGTCTAAATGCGGGTGGAGACCGTGCTTGTCAACATTCAGCACCAGTGACGTCAGCCTGCACGAAACTGCCATGCCGCGGACTGCCATGAATCATACAACTCAGCTATCGGTGTAGAAATAGATAAGTAGAAGCAAAAAACAACATGGTGCCCTGGACATGTCTCTCAGCTCTATGAAAGTGTTGTGGGTGGAGACTTTAAGACTTTGGGGCAAGATCGTCGCTGCTTGAACAGCCGGAGGGGAAGCCGCCAAAGATACAGACTATGCCGGAACAGGCTAGCGTCTTGTAGCTGCATGCATCCGGGCCACTGTTACTATGTACTTCCATCTCATCTCATCTCATTATTGGTACACAATGACACAATGTGCGACTCGACATTGTGAAGCATGTAGCAAATGCTTGTAATATAATTTGAGATTAAAACTTCTCACTGTTTCTTTGGCTGTACTGTCTATTTGGTGCATTGGTAAGGCACGATATCAGTACCACGGCTGCCTAAAGCCACCTGACTGACAGTAAACATGGAAAGGACACCCGGTGATAAGGCACGTGAGGGGGAGTCCATTGCGAACATCAGTTCTCGCAATACCCCTGAAACTCCTTCCTCTGTACAATCGCAGCCAACAGTCTTCACACCGACGTCGATACCCCAGCAGGACGCGGTCGAACAGAACCACACAAAGCGCAAGGCTCAACACGTCTCTACTACGTCACAGAAGCGCTCCAAAATGGGGCCTTCAGCGATTTTCAACACTGGAAAGGACTCCGCTGAGGCAAGGAGCCAGCTCATCGTTCGCTTCTATGATCCGGATATCAAAGCCAAAGATGCAAAAAATCGCACGCTAGAGGAAATCCTGTCGTGGCCGGATTCTCAGCTTGAGTCTTCACACAACTACATTCAGATGCTATTTCCATTGCCAGAGGGTTCTATGTTCAACTGGGACGCACCTGTCATTGATCTTGCAGTTATGCAAGCATTCCGTTCGCGAAGTGAACTTCGCCATCAGCTGCGCCGAAGCTTTGAGCGTATGCTCAAGTTCTACGGCTTCAGGGTGTCCATGAAACCGGAGAACGAGGGTGACGAGAAAGGCGCTGTTTCTGAAGCTACTCAGGCTGATGCAAATACGGACTCTCCCACCAATGCAGATACTTCTGGTTCAAGGGCCAAAGCAACCTCAAGCGAGTCCATCTTCCCTCCTGGAACGCACAAAAATGGTTCAGTCTCAAATCCGCCACCGTACCACATTATTCGCACCTCCAGCTGGCGTAGACAATTCCAGAACTGGGCTGGCTTGTTTGATCACAATCATCTCCGCCTTACGCGTATCCTCCGCTGCCTTCGTGTGCTGGGTCTCCAGAAGGAATGCGATGCCTTTTTCAAGGCTTTGGAGCATGCGTTCCATAACCCCGAAACTAGGATCAGCGAAAAGTCCATGGGCTTCTGGCGGTTGGCTGTTACGCGCCCATTGCAGTGGGCGCCCGATGGTCAGAAGTGCAAGTGGCTCGAGGCCTGGGAGCAGGAGCAAGAGAATGAAAAGTGATTAGATGAGGGAATGATCATACATGGTAGCGATATTCATAAAGGAAACTCTGTCACGGTCGACGGAAGTCCAAATCAGGTTACATGAAGACGGGTAGATTACAGTATTGACGCGATGCCGTCCAGCGTCGTGTAAGGTAGTACCAGTCAAACTCCACGGCTAGACTTCCCAAGGGTGCTTAGTTGGAGATATCAATTAGAATATATCAATCATTCTTTACTACATTCTCTGTCGCGAACCATTGGTGACGTATGTAAGCCACACGGCTTTGTAAGCCCAGCACCTCGTTAAATCGCCACTTGGCGGCGAAGCGAACAAGTGTTCTTTGGAAGATCCCGACACTTACATATCCTCTGTGATCACTTCAAGCCACTTTGTACGCCACATGTGTATAAACTAATCTAACCTGTCTCTTAAGAAATGCTCCAACAGATATTCAGATATCAGAATCACATGGTGTAGAATTTGCCTCTACAGCTCCACTCAATTCTCAATGCAGACACCTTCCGAAGCAGTCCCAAGCACTGACCTTTAAATTATCGTCATCTTGGAATTTTGACCCGGAGTAGTCGCGTCGTATGAAGCAGATTTAAAGAGGGTCTCAAGAGTCTTTTTCGAGTGGCGGAAGAAGTCTGCGTCATTTCATGGTCATCTGGTCTCCAAACTCCACCTCTGTGGCTGGGGGAAGTATAAGACCTAGCTTACAGAAGAGTAGTTAAGCCACAACCAACCCCACTTGCTCGTACATCTCACGTATGCATGGTGCTCGGTCCGAGACAAATGCCTACCAATTAAGGTCTACGATAATAAAGAAAAAGCCTCACTTTGTTTCTGTAGCAAACCTACCACAGCCATGACGGAAAAGAACCCGACCATCTTCATTTTGATCACAGGACATTTCCAGGTGTTTTTGTAGTTTTCCGATAATTATAGTTTCGGGTGTGGTTGCTACTAAAATTACTACGAAGATCGACAGTGCTAAAATCCGGCTACTACCAACAGTTGAGCACCACGAGTACCGCATCATTTCGGGCCGCTCGGACCGCACCCACGACCCTAATTCTGCATGCCCTCAGCCTCTTCCCGACCCGAAGGTATCCCCCAAGAGCATGGGTATGCACATCCGCGTCAGAAGACTCGATGTGGCCATACACAGTCATCGCGGAAGCGTGTGATCACACCGCCACAACAAGGATGAGCACGCAATCATGAGTTGTGGCAGAGAACCCATGTGTAGGGCGTGCTTATGGCGCCGGCGTGAGGTGTTGGGTGGAGAGTATGGAGAATGCCCGAGCAGGTAACGTCACGGCCAAGACAAAGGCTTGATTACGAGGATTCCTACGCTTTCTCCTAAGAACAGTTCTCCGCTCTTGGCAACGTGACGCCCATGAACTACCCAACTTGCATTTTCTCAAGTAAAGGGCGGCTATAAGCTTTTCTGATGTGCTTATACAGCTAGCCAAGCACATCCTGCTCGCTGGTCACGACCGTCTTGTGCCCTTGGCATCTGTAACGAGGTGGGATGACCAACACCACAATCGATGGACCGTCTCGGCTCCGAGTTTTGGGCAATTCACTTTCTTCCTGAAAGGAATTCATCACTAAACCTTTTACACAGAGGTGGGTCAGTAAACATGTCCGGAGCTTGCCGGTGGGCCTGATATTCACAGTCTGCGCACACCAGACGCTCAGACCATGAGTCAAAAGGTGTATTCTTAAAGATTCCTAGAGGAGAAAATTCGGCCGAGAGACAAATGTTTCATCCACTGACTGCTTTGGCCATTGCTCAGATGTCAAGTATGTTGAAGCAATCCAAGCCCAGGCCACGAAGGCTTAGTTCAAAGCACTGACTACCAACTGGAGTAAGATGTATTGATTCATCGTCATATCGCGGAGATAGTGTCACGTCTCCCTTTTTGTTCATCACTCACTTCGGAAATATGGAGTTAAGGGTGCCGTAGAAGCTACGTTGACATGCAGCAATGTGCTAAACATCCATCATGGTCTTCCACATGATTGACGAATACCAAGAAAAATCAAGGCATCCTTTCGGTTTCGAAGATTGTAGCACCGATGACAAGGCATGGCGAGCCATTTGCAAGCGATTGCCAACAACCAACGCTTACTGATGCCCACGATACGCGTCCCCATGGAGCAGCTACACCTACATCCCACGGTCTAGTGACCTCCCTCGTCTATCCTCAACTGAATAAGGGAAAACGTAGTGAGCCTGATGATGCGTCCTCCCTCCACCATGCTGATTAGTACAATGAGAAATCTACCAAATCTGGAGACTTGTTCAGGTATCCGTGGATGAGAAGTGCGAGTTGGTGTGGATTCTGTAATCAGCTGTGGCTTGACAAGGCATACACCTTCCTTGTGACGACATTGAGAAAGAAGAATGCTGGTTCTCAAGGAGCATATCCGAAAGGCAAGTGGAGAGTATAAAAGGAGGGCCTACTTCCAGCTCCAGATATCCCACCACGCTCTTCACCTCTCTACCAATCACTACAACAATCTCTCATCCCAACATCAACACAACATGCTCACCCTCCCCATCCTCTCTCTCCTGGTGGCAGCCGCGACCGCCTCTCCGGTAGGAGAAGCCCCCCAGCCCGTCACCAAGCGCCTCATCAACCCCAACACCGTCAACGCCCTCACCGCTGAACAACTCACGACCCAACGCAACGCGCTCCTCCTCGCCCAATCCGAAACCGCCCGCGAAGCCATCCTCTTCCCGAACGCCCCCAATGCCGCAAACGACACCTTCCAATTCATCAACAACACGGTGACCCCCCCAACCGGCGGCTCCATCTTCCTCTCCACCGTGAACAACTTCCCCGCCCTCGCCTCCACGGGCCTCGCCGCCGCCGTCGGCTTCGTCAACCCCTGCGGCCTCAACACCCCGCACTGGCACCCGCGCTCCAACGAATTCCTCACCGTCGTCCAAGGCAAGCTCCTCGGCGCCATCCTGCTAGAAAACGACTCGGGCTTCGGACATGTCGTCGGCGGTGCTCCCCCCGTCATAGGCCCATACACGCAAATCGAAACCACGCTCTCCAACTACACCGGCATGCTCTTCCCCAAAGGCCTAGTGCACTGGCAATTCAACCCAGAATGCGAACCCGCCGTCTTCGTCGCCGGCTTCGACAACGCCGACCCGGGCCGTGTCGAGGCTGCCCGGGGCTTCTTTTCTGCAACCCCCGACGAGGTGCTCGAGGCAAGCGCGGGATACTCTGAGTTTTTGACCCCGCAGCAGATTGCGGGGCTGAGGCCAACGCTGACGAGCGATTTTACCGAGATTGTGGAGAGTTGTGCGAAGAGGTGCGGTATCCCGTATAAGGCGGAGACTGGGCCTTCGCCTAGTGTGTCGGCGTATCCGTCGGGCACGCAGTCGGGGTATCCTGCTGCTTCCAGTGCGTACTAAGGTCCAGTGATCGAGTGAGCACTTGGTGGAGCGACGAAGAAAGAGGAAGAGGTGGTGGTGGCGACAGCAACAGCAGCGGTAGTATAGACGTCGGTTAGAGGGGAGGAATGGATATAGATCAGGGGATTTCGTTCGTCATATACAGACTGTTGTTTTGGATTTTTGTTACCTAGAACTCTGCTAGCGATAGCGATAGAAAACTCACACTCGTTTTTATAGATGGATTTCATATTATAAAACCTACTTAGTGAGTAGATCCTTGAAATCAATGTGACAGTGTAGAAGTTTCCAGGCAAGGTGGTGATGGCGGGATAGCTGACTACTCCTATGGCTTTGGAAGATACTGGTGGTCTTTGCATTCGGTCTCGTTGGTAAGAACATGAGAGACTGACGAACAATGGGCCTGACTGTCTCTATTAGTGTTTTAGCACTGCATCGTTCATAGACGCCCGGCAATACCGTATTGCGGTCACACCTCTTCTTTTCCTAAACGCACTCTATGCAAGAGCCAGTTAGTACAACCACAAAACTTGATCAAAAAGACACCATAACCCCATGAAAATCCCTCAATAACTTCCTCGAGTACTTCTTTCGCATTCAATATACACACCACACCTCTCTATCGTCAATGCGATCTGATTCCTCCCTTCCTCTCCACATCTCCTCTTTCCCCCCCATTTAAAACTCAGAAATCGTATCACCCCGTCTCTTACCACGCATCTCCCACCTTCCCTATTCAAATCATCAGCTTCCTTTTCTTTTCTATTTCCGCATTCCATGCCATGCATGGCATCTTCAAACTCACCTCAGCCCAGTATCCAGCAGCGCCCAGCAAACCCGGCACCAAGGCGACGTATGCGAATGTGATCCAGGCTGTTCGTCGTGTCCAGCGGAAGTACTTGTGGCGGTTCGTGGTCATGGCTAGGTCACTGTGTTAGTTAACTGCGATTGAGCCCGCCCCATTGGGGGTAGCTAAGCCGGGTAACTGTCTTCTGAGGCTTTGTTGAAGGGGGTAAGGAGTGCGCGGGAGGATTGGAAGGGGGCGGAACGTACTGGCCCATTTGATGATGGCGGGATCCGCGTGGATCACTGGGTGTGGTTGTTAGTCCAATTGCGTCTTTCACAGGCGGTTTTTGGGGGTATATGCGTACTGCCGTGATTGTGGCCGGCCATCCGGCGGAGTGTAGGCTGCATGGTTGTGGTGTTTGCGCGGTGTGGAGAGGGGCGCGGTGGGTGAGGTTGGTGGTTTGGAGAGGTGCGCTTGCGATGAGGTCGGCGGGTGCGGCGAGGGCCGTGATGTCTTGGCGTTTTTGGATCGTCTCTGGCGAGAGAGGATTAGTCGGCTGGAGATTTAACAATGGTAATTGCAATTTGGTATTACATAGTAGCTAGGCTAGATCACATAGTGCGATCTATTGTATTGTGTATTTTATGTTGCTCATATCGTTGCTATAGCTATGAAGATGAAGCTGTGCAGCACGCTCTGAGTGACTCCGTCGTCACAGCTCCAAGTTTTGTCAGTTGCATGTTTCTGTGCCCATGAGATACTTCAAAAAGCATGTACTCGTACAAAACTATAATTTCCATCGCATCGTCGGAACATACAAGATCCGATCCAGACGAGGCTTCTCGGGCGGGGAGTCTACCCTTGGTGGGCTGAGCGCCGAAGCTTGTGACGAAACCACATCGAGCTTGTGGACAAGCCTCGGTGATAATATACGACCAACCGTATAAAAGTCCACAGCCTCCGCCCAAGGTCTCGGCCTGCCTTCCCTAAGACCCTAATAATTTCAACCCCATATCCTCCTCACACATCGTAATCGCAGCTATGTCGAACCAACAAGGCGCAACCATCACAGTTCATTGGTGCGTAGAGAACACGTCCCAGCGCAATTCCCTTCCATGTTGCCAAACACAACGCATCATGTGATTTAAAGAGTTTCCGTCTAATTGCACAACAGGCTGAACAAATCGCGCGGTCAGCGCATCGTGTGGCTGCTCGAGGAGCTCAATCTCGAATACGAGATCAAGGTCTACAAGCGCAATGCCAACAGGCGCGCAGGTCCTGACCTAAAGGCCGTCCACCCCCTGGGAAAATCTCCAGTGATTACCATCAGGCCGGCAAATTCGGAAAAGGATATCGTTATTGCCGAGAGCGAGACCATCATGGAGTATATCTGCGACCATTTTGGAAAGCAGTTGGTTCCTACGAGGTACCCCGAGGGCCAGGAGGGCGTGCTTGGCGCAGAGACAGAAGAATGGATGAGGTACAAGGTGCGTTACTTGCCGCCAGATTTTCTTGGTATCTTGTTGTGGAAGAGAGGGTTAGAGGGGTTGGTGTATCCGGGTGCCTTTGCCTCTTCTACTGCAACTCTTTCACGTGACCTGTAAAAGCATGATCACTGACCACCACGTAGTTCCTCATGGACTTCACCGAAGGAAGTCTGTTCACAGTCCTGATTGCTGCTATCATCAGTGGCAGTAAGTCTCCGTCGAAAACATGTCTCTCCCACGTCATTCTGCTGACACTATGTAGGCATTAAGAACGCTCCCGTTCCCTTCTTCCTCAAGCCCATCACTGGTGGCGTCGCCGCCAAAGTCGATGGCTCCTTTGTAGACCCGGAGTTGAAGACACACTTCGATTTCTTGGAGGATTATCTCATCAAGTCTCCCTCGAAGGGAGAATTTTTCTGTGGTTCCAGCCTTACCGCAGCGGATATCATGATCCACTTTGCACTCGAGGGAGCTTGCCAGCGAGTGCCTTTAAGTGATACAAACTACCCCACTCTGTATAAGTACATGAGGAGGTTACAGCAGACGGATTCATACAAGAGAGCGGCCAAGAAGGTCGAAGAGGCGAGCCAGGAGAAATATGTGCCGTTTAGCGATGCCAAGTTTTAATAGAGTTGAAGCCGTATGGCAAGAGAGGCGGGATGGGTCTCGGCTACCATTTGATCTGCAGATGCATGGTTTCTTCTATAGTCGCCTGCCTTGCATATAATCATTTACGCCGTGGCGTGATTACATCGGCTACGGATAGGGCATACATGGTCACGCTTTGAGAGGTTTTGAGTTGCAGCTTTGTCGTTAAACACACCCGATGTGAAAGTGAGGTCACACTTGGAGGTCACACTTGGAGGTCACACTTGGAGGTAACACAGCAGAATCTCACGTCAGCACGTGCAACCCCTTCCGCCAACCGTCCGTATCACCTGCGATATAGAGGCCAGTCAGCTTTAGCCTCACATCACTGCATGATGAAGATAGAGATTGGGGGCGAGTTTGAGCCGCGCGGGCAAAAGTCAGTGATGTGCGGCGACGTTGACTCGCGCGAGCGGCTGGCGGGCAGGCCGAAGAGCAAGGTAATGATTACGCGCAGATGGCTGAGACGCCTTGCTGGCGCGCAACAGCGCTGTTATATATCCGCGACGTTGCTCTATGCTCGTGGATCGTATTGCTCTCCCTCCAGCGTTCGCTCGAATCCCTCGGCCGGCCGTCGTCGAAATCAACGCCCGTTCCAACGCCAGTCCGAATCCAGTACTGTCTCCGCGAGCTGCTCATCACCAAGACCTTACTCAGCTCTCCCTCAGCAACTCCAGACCCCCGGTTTTCCAGCGCCTCGACTTGGTTCCAGCACCTAGGCTACCTGTGGTCCGACACTACGTACGAGGCGATTGCCTGGGTGTGGTCAGCCAATGTCTGACCGGTCGCGCGCAACCTCTCGGGACTTTGTATTTCAAACTTCTGACCAAGCAGGTGGAGCATCGCAGCAGTATCCACAACAGTCGTATAACAGCTACAACGCGGACCAGGACACAAGTACAGCCGAGACTGCAAGCCAAGCCCCGGTCTATGACGCCTCGACAGCCTATCGCGACTATGTTGCGCAGCAACATCAGGTAGCGCAGGGCCAGTTTGGTGGCTTCAACTTTGGTTCTCAGGCGCCTGCAGCATGGGACTGGACAAACTCGCTCGACTTCACCGACTTTACCAATCAGTATGAACCCCAGGGCGAGCTGGTCCAGGAGTTCCAAGGTCAAGCAAATTCGGCCAACGACTTCAGTATCCCGCTCCCCGTCACTAATAGTGACTCTGCATATGCGCCTTTCCAGCAACAACCCCCAAGCGCGTCGTCTCCACCAAATGCTACGCAAACCCAGATTCCATTGTCTCCGCCGCCCCCGCCTCCTCGATCGCAGCAGCAGCAACAACAACAGCAACAGCAACAACAACAACAACAGAGACCGGTAGTACAGACAGGCATGAAGCGCAAGCTCGATTCCGAGCCATCTTCAGCCGTGTCGCAGACTGGCGGTGCAGCAATAGAGAACCCCTCGAAGCGCATAAACAAGTCTCGCCAGTCATCAGATGCGTCGGCTACGTCGCCTGTTATACAGGCACCAGTCGACACACATCCGGCGACGGCGACAACAACGACAACGCGTAGCACAGCCCTTCCCGTGCCCAACGAAACTGCATCGCAACTGGCGCCACGAGAAAACACACAAGTTGAGCGGCGCAAGGAGCAGAGCAAGGGCACAGGACCGCAAGGCAGGGTCATTGACGTTTCAACACCGAGGAAAATACAAGACGCGCCCTCCGGAATAGACATGTTGCCCGCAGGCAAGGTGTTTCCCATACAGATCGGCTCGGAGCTATTCAGATTGTCTGGAGCCTCGCTCTCGTCGGATGGTAAGCATGCGCCAAAACTGAAAGAAGCAGCCAAGGCCTGTCAGCTAAGACTACTAGAGCACCTTCATACTTTTCCCATTTTTTCGGCCAGCAACTACACGATAATGGGGGTCGCGCTGGTGACGTGAGGACCTTGTATATCGACCGTGATCCAGAGACATTCCGTGACATTGCTCTACATCTGCAGGGCTACCATATCACTCCAAAAGACGGCGAGCATTTTGTCAAGTTGTATGCCGATGCGCAGTTCTACTCATGTAAGCTCGTCTATGAGAAACACAAAGGCTCAGAGCTGACTGTAGTAGTACCGCGACTTACTAAACAGCTCTTTGGCACCGATATATTTGTCCGCATAGGAGGAACTCCTTTTCAGATACCGCGTGATCTCTTCTCTGCTCCAGGCGACAGTCCTAATTTCTTCTCGCTTGGATTCGCGCATTTCTTCTTGACACCCACAGAAGCATTTCCTGGACTGGATCATGATGCGCTACTCCGTCCGCCATCCATCAAGCCACCCTCAGTGCCGAATAGGAACGGAGAGACTTTTAACGAGTTGATACAGATACTACAAGGATACAATGTCGAGATTCGAAACAGTGAACACCGATCCAAGCTCCTCAGAGACGCACGTTACTTCCATCTCAAAGGGCTTGAGCAAAAGCTGATACCATGTGAAATTTCGTTCAATGTGCGGCGCCAGCAGTCCGAAATTCTGGTGCGGCTCGAAGACATTCGCCCGTCGGGCGTCTCCTTTATCCCTGATAAAACAGCATCGGGCGACTCGGATTCTGGATCGGTCCATGGTGGCCAGTCAATCAGTGCGTCTCCAGGCTCACAGCCTATTGGCAAAGTCGAGAGTCCTGCACCGTCAAACGCAAGTAGCAGTGCTGTCACGCGAGCAGGCTACGTGTCATACGCGCGTCCATATACGGATGACCATGCAAATAGTAATATCTTGGTTCTTGAGATTTCCTCAACGGAGTCGACATTGTTGTTTTTGCCATGGTCGGCCCCCATGGCTTCACGGACGGGTCCACTGGAAGTCGACTTTCGAGCCACGTTCCACAACTCGACACTTGCACGTGTTACGTCCCTGTTCTCCGTTGTGGCTTCAAAAATGGGCCTGCCAGCCACGCAACCTCTGGGGCTCATGCACCTGCAGTCTGGCGGGGGTGTTGCGGCACAACCAGTTAGCCCGGCCAATTCTGGCGTGAGCGATCGCCGCGTTCGCGTGCGCCTCGAGACTGACTGTGCTCTGGAGATCGACGGTGCACCCGCAGAGCTTGGCGTGGATGGTAATACTGGCCGCCTTGGTATCCGACGGGCAAACTCCAACGGAGCATGGCTGTGGGGCGGTGATAAATCAGATTCTGAATCTTCGTATCTCCGAGCCGACGAGCAGGATTTAGAGGTGGAATGGACACTCAAACGCGCACACTGGCGCATCCGTGTCGAGCCTCTTGCTCCCGATGCAGACGGTGATGTGCGACGCATGCAAGTCATACTGTGTGGCGTGCGACTAGAGGTGTTTACGGCCGAGCGGGCTCGTAATGCTTCACGTGGGTTCTTGGGCTAATGGATTGTATAAAGTGTGTGTACCCTGTAAATATATACGAATGACACTATCTATTCTCCCTCGTATGACCTTTCCCAAGATTATGACTGGTTGGATTGGCTGTCAGCTGAGTTGCCAATTGGCGAATCCCTGTTTTTGTGGTTTTCTCTAAATGCTAGTTTTCAAAAATGGTGTTCCATACTTAGTAAATTTTTACCACGTGAACACAAAGAGACGGTTTTAGCAGTTTGTTATTCGATGGTGCAACTGTCAAAGTAAATGCACAGATCGTACCAATGAAAAATCATAAAAGTTTCTGGATGCAAAGCTAGACTGGCTAAGTTCAATCTCTAAGTTTCTAAAGATAGCGATTAATGAAACTGCAACATAAAGAAAAAGGAATTGTTCCAAGCATTCTATACCTTTAGTGTCATTTCACAAACCCACCCCACTCAGTCTGGTTCTCTCTCCTCATTTGCGCTCTACCCTAGGATTAGGCTCTGGAGTCCCGGGTGTCAATGGACTCGTACTATCTTTTCTTGATGCATCGGGCGTCCACCTTTCCGCATCACCCAGGCGGTCTGATGTGAGGCCTGCGGAACCAGGGTTGCGCATACCGGCTTCGAGCTGCTTCTGGTAGCTGACTTGGCGCAGGCGCTGGGCCTCACGCGGTGTAAGGTGAAGATAGATCTCGACACCGATAGCATGTAGTGCAAACGCAACCCAGACTGCCATACCGAATGCAATGTTGAGCGCGGCACCAGTGTTTGCCCTATCTCCAGATCCAATAGTTGCAGCCACAGCAGACACGGCGTCTGGGTTTGAGCCGTTGGCAAAGGCAGAGCATGCGGGGTACGACGTAACAAGATCGATATCATCTTCGATGGTAGCCGCAATCTTGACACAGGGCCACACAGTGTAGTACCCGCTGTTCTTGATAATCTGTGCCGAGATAATCATGATGATGCGAGTCGTGATGATGCAGCCAGCATAGAACCAGCCTCGTAGCATCCATGCGCGGTGCTGCTCAATCTGCAACTTCTTCACATTGATGTAGCTGATAATGAAGCAGCCCAAGGTAGTAAAACCGAGCGCACCGAGCGAGCTCTGGACATCAAGACCGCCGCCAAATGCATGGCGGATAATCATCAGGGCGCCAACGAGACTGATCAGGTACAGCAGCAGCGAAGCGTATCCGCCAATTCGGTGAAGAGTGAGCCAGCGGTGTCGGATAACCGGCGTGAATTGCATTACGGCAATCATGCCTGCGGGCAGGACGCCGCCAAGATGTAGCAGAATCCCCACTTTGAACCGGTTGAAGTTGAGGTAGTAGTAGCATTCTCCTGGCGCGGCGCTATTTCCCGTCGAACTCGGCCCGGCGGCGGGACAAAACTTGCTCGAGAAGCCAAGGTATTGCAGGCGTGCTAGTGAGACTGCGGCACATGTGTTAGGATTTATTTAAAAAAAAAGCCTCACAAGGCAGATTCAGTGATGGGGGAAAAGGAGGAATGAGTTACTTACAACCAAGGAGCGCACCCCCGAATACAAAGTACAACCAGAAGTTGTACGTCTTTGTGAAACCAAGTGGATTCGCGACTTTGCGAGCAAATGCGCTCGAGGAAGGTGGTTTAGCGACCATGTCGATATACGTATTTGCACAAACAACAGAGGGAAGAAAGTGATGAAGATGGAGAGGAAGAAGCTTCTTATTGTAGTGGCAAGGGAGTTGCTTGGTATGTAAGTAAACTCTTTAATTTCCCTTTCTCGTGCGATGGCCCACTCCATGTTATATCCTACACAACTGTTTCGAGATCAACGTCATGATGCCCCCTTTTCGAGACGATTGCGTGGGTAGCCCTCAAAAAAAAGAGTGCCAAGGGACCCGTGGCCGCAGCACGTATAACGCTTTGTGCACTGCCTTAGAAGCGGTGGGCTCATTACAGCCGCAAAGAGTTGATTCTGCGACAGCACTGGCGCCCGATCAGAGGTGTTTTACAACGATCGTCGGAGTATATATTCACACGACCCACAAGCGGACTGCAGGGTAACGGGTCCCTACAACGGTGGGGCGGAGATCTTGGCAGTCCTTTTCGAGCACTTTGATTGGTTGCGCAGATTGAACCAGAAGAGGATAAGAGTAAATGCGTGTGATTGGACGGGAAAGCTGATAAAGCGGGGCGCCTTATGACTAAGGTACCTTATTCGGGCCTTGCGGCTTCTCAGCATCGTCATAGACATGTCCACACCAATGGGTGAGCTGCTTAGCTGTCAACCTAATTCAACCAATGTACCCTTGCTGGCGATTAAAGGAAGCATGCCATCCGATTCTGCAAAGGGAACATTCTGCGCTGGCCTTGCGCGTTAACCTGTTTGTTGACTAAGTAGGTAGTTAGGCGTATACGCGCCTCTTCTTTCTCCACACACAGACCGCCATGGTGGGGGTTCCGGGGCGCTCCAAGGGATGTGTTGATTGTAGGAAGAGGAAAAAAGGTGTAAGTCGAAGGCAAAGTTCTCACGAGAGAGTGATAGTCAGGACCCTGTGGCTGATGATATTCCTCTAGTGCGACCTAGTCCAGCCTGAATGCGGCCAGTGTAAGGGACGTGGGATAAAATGTGGAGGTTACGACTCTGATCGCATCTTCATCTACCAGCAAGGCGCGCTAAGTCGGGCTGCCGCACTCAAAACAGACAAATGTGCGACCGTCAGGACATCGCCAACCCAGCCAGATCTGCAAGACTACCAGATGGTGCATCATTCAAAGTCCACCTTTGCTGTACAACGATGCGATGAACGCCCCACTCCTGTGAACTTGATGCTCCCCCAGGGCCTTGCCAAAGCAGCCTACAGCGAGAGGACCGTTGCTGCGTTTCTGGAAATGTATAGCCCTGCAGGCACAATACGTAACACCAATGTCGACGCAAGGGAACTGTTTAATTTGCTTCCTTTACTTAGTACACGTGATGAGGCACTGCAGATGGCGACCCTGGCCGTCGGCATGACGCAACTGGGGATTACCACAGGGAATGAAAGCCTCACCCGGCACGGCAGGACGCTATACGGCAAGGCGCTCAAGGAAACGGCAATGGCGTTGCGGAATCCTGCTAGAGCAAACAGCAAATCACTGCTCATTGTGCCTCGCATCATGGGCCTTTTTGACATGCTATATGGCGCTGAGCCTGACTCGTCTAACCAAGCTAAGAGCTGGCTCAGCCATGCAGAAGGTGAACTAGCCATGATCATCAGCCGGGGGCCCGAAGCGTTCTCTGTAGATGATGCAGCCCACATGTTCTTCACCACTGCCAGATATCGACTCCTGGGACCCGCAGTACGAGCCAGGAAGCCGACCATCTTCGATGCACCGGACTGGAAGACGCTACCTTGGAAAGGAAGAACAAAATCGTACGAAGATGCGCTTATGGACATCATGTGCGGCATACCAGAGCTCCTCTGGTCTGTTGACAGACTCCAATTCACAACCCTAAACACCATTGAGAAAGAAAAACTCAGACTCCAAACCCTCTCCAAATGCTGGACCATGCATTCCGAACTTGAAAATTGGAAATCAGCAGACCCAGACTCCATATACACCCCTACTTTTGTAGATCTATATACCACAATCTCCTTCCCAAACATCGACATCGCCTGCCTCACTGTCCGCTACTGGCTCATCTGCCTCTTCCTCTACTCCTCCCTCGACATCGCCTCAGGCATCGACCCTGCAACCGACTACTCCCTCTCACACCCGGACCGTCCGCACCCCCGCCCTTTTGCCCGCATGATCACCCGCTCAGTCGACTACTTCATGCAAGAAAAATTCGGCGTCACAGGACTAAGTGCCATGTGGTTTCCACTCGGCAACACGCTTTTCTACATGAACCGCAACCGCGATGCCGACGAGGCATACATCATTGCGGTGATGAAAGCGTGGGAGCGCCCCAAGTTGCCAAGTGCAATGAGGGAGTTTCTCAAGAGCTTCCGCATGACGGTGGATCTGAGGACGCTTTCTGCGCGACTGCTCTCCGAACTTTGAATTTCTCACACACATGAGATAGTGTGTGTGTGTACTTATACCCAGCCTTTCTCCAAAAACCGCGTTTATTTCTCCCGTTTAAGCACCGTATGCTTATATCAGCCACGATGGTAGCATCATGGGTGGCCCCGGAAACACCCGCCCGCAAAGCTAGCCAAACCCTACATGTCAAACACACGGCCTCGCACCTACTTACATAAGGTAACCCTGACCCTGCTTATGCAGTGTAAAACTGAGCCCCACTACCTACCCGCCAAGCTCCCGTCACACACACACAAACTCACCGGCCATCCTATCATCCGTCGGGCTAACTATTGCTCCGACTGTTCAACGCGCAAAAGGGACCTACCACCCCCTGATCCTGGTCTCCCCCAGTCAACAAGAAGTTGTCAGTCACCAACTTTAATTGTATTCGCCTCCCCCCATCCATCCCCATTTTTCTTTTTTTGTGGGTTCCAGCGTGGCGGTGACACACTTGGCATGGTACGATGTTACGAAGAGAAGAAGTGTTGACGTCTGTGATTTGGGGGGTGTATCGAGGGGGATCGAGGATGAGCTGGGTTGAAGGGAGGTAGGAGAAGAGGGTTGCGTGGCTTTTGCTGGGCGGGTGAGGTATAAGAGGTGCACCTCGCAGCGCCCTTGTTAGAGGGCTTAAAGACAGCGGGCTTTGTCTTTGCTTGCAGGTCAAGAAGAAGAAACAGAAGATGATGATGAGGGGACCGGGGTATTATAGGAGGTAAAGGAAAAAAATCGTGAGATACTCGAGGTACAAATCTCATTTCGACGAGAGAGAGAGAGAGAGAGAGAGAAGAGAAGAGTATATTATTCAATCATCGTATCATGAAAATTCTATGTTCTATCATCACAAGGGGAACTCCCCCTAATTATTCCTCACACTCTTCTCCTTCTTCTCCTTCCTCTTCTCCTGCTTCGTCTTAGCCTTCTTCTTATTCCTGTTCCCCCCCTCGCCATCACTCTCACTCGCCCTCTTGCCACTTCCCTTGCCCTCACTCGCCTCCCCGTCCACAGTCTCACCATCTGCCTCCGCTTCTTTGAGCAACAGCGTATTCAACGCATCATTGAAATGCTGCAACTCGCAGATATCACCGATGCGCACGCGCATGTAGTCGAACGCAATGGCGACTTTGAGGTCTTTATTGCGGATCTTGACTACTTGCTCCATTTTGGCGAGTGACGAGGATTGGTGCTGGAGGGTTGGGGTGGGTTTTGCGACGTCGCGCGGGGGTTGGGCGATGGTTGTAGGATGGATGTCCATGTTGTCTGCGTTGTCGAGGGTAGGATCGACTTCGTCGTTGTTGTCGGTGGGGTCTTCTGCAGTTTTTGACGGGTCAAGGAGGGGATCTTCTTGCTCGCCGTCTGTGACTGTTTCCAAGACGGGGATCTTTTGGTAGCGCTGGCTGAAGTGGGTGAGGACAACTGCCTTTGCATTCATTTTTGCGCCGATGCCCAGGGCTTCGGATGTGGTAGAGTGCTTCTTTGCTTTGGCATCGCCCAAGAGCGCGTCGTCGAACGTAGCTTCGTGGATGAGCACAGTGGTGTCTGTGCCGACTTTTGAAAAGTGCCAGCTTGGTCTGCAGTCGCCTGAGTAGCTGACTTTGAGCGGCTTAACTCCTTTGGGATCTGAGGGTGAGGGAGGAAAGGTGATTGAGACGGCCATGGAGCCATGGCAATGCACTACATTCGCACTCTGAATATCCTCGAACCCAAAGAACTTCTTATACACTGATTTGGGCACTTCTGGGTTTTCTGGTCTCTCCTTTCCGAACGTGTTCATAATCGAGAGTCGGGAAGAAGTGGCATATTCGTTGGGAGTGATTTGCAACGGCAGAATGCGACTGTATCCGATATCTTCAATCGCAGAATACTCATGTAGCCACTGGAGCATGCCATTATGTGAAATGACAGATAAACCATACGCTCTGATATCAATGTCTCCCACAGTGTCGCCAAGCGGTTGCAGGTTTGGCACACTGTTGTGTACCACTTGGTACCAGGCCCGGATCACGGCAGCTGTCCCCAGATGATGGTCAGCGTGCAAGTGGCTGATCCAGATCACCCTCAGATTCTTGAGAACACCGATGAGTTCCTCATGTGGAAAAACTCTCGCAAGCTGTCCGAGCGTGTTCTCGCCGCAGTCAAACAAGTAATTGCCAATGCCGGGAACCCGAACCAAAGTCGCAGAAACATTGCGGTACTTTGATGGTAAGGCCGAGCCCGTACCGAGCGTAATAACTTCTGTATCTGGACGGGCCAGGAGCTGTCTCCATTCGTTCATGTTATTGCGATTTTGTTGCAATGCTATCTGAGCATCCTGGGCCAACTCAAGTACCTCGGTTGCCGTGTCTCGTCTTGCCGCTTCGTCGTCAAAAGGCGCCGAGATCGACTCTTTCTTCATGGCAAATTTTGGCATAAGTGCAAAGGTCAACCCTCGGTCAGCAGCCATGGTACGCTTTGGCAGCTCAGATGACGCCGACTGGTTGGCTCTGTAAATACTCTTCTGAGGGACGCTGGTACTGTCAAACACGGGCGTGGAGTATCTGGCAGGATCTACTTGTCCAAGACGCGTGGCTTGGGTGGCAACCGAGTCATTAGTCATACGATTAGGTGCAGTATCTATAGACGATATGATATGTTTAACGTCACTCAATCTCTCCATGAACTCTGTTAGAGCTGGGTGGCCTGCCACGCCCGGGCCAAGAATCCAGACGATAGCTCCGATACCTTTCATGACTTCTGGCGAGTTGAGCTCCTCTCGTTGAACAATACTTTCAACATAATCGACCGAGGGAACATCAAGAATAGCAGTTCCTTGACCAGGCCTATCCGCACCCATGACTTGTTCCGGTGTGACCCACTCTCCATTAGCATTCTGGACTGATATGCCTTTGGAAAGCTGGCCAAATTTTGGCCCTGGGGTGATGCCCAGCTCTTTCGCACGCGCAACATCGAACTGTCCGCGGGTAGGGTGCGCTCGCACAATGTACGACACGCACTCTGAAGCAGGCTTGGTCGGCGGGAGAGCCAGAATCTGGGCGCCAGGCCAAGGTGTCCGTGTCCACACGGTTATATCGGGCAGAGGCTCTGACCCTCCTGGCTTTGGCCCGTTGTAAGGTTCATAGCTGTGGGTTTCCGGGTTGCGAACAAACATAGCGGCTGGCATTTTCACTTTCGAGATGTGTTGCTCGACAAGGGTGTCGAAGCTCCAGTTGGAATCAAACATGAACTTGATGGTTGCGGTCCGTATGTTATCGTATCTGACCTCGCGAGCTTCTGGAGTTTCGTTTTCTGAGGCCTGGAAGTCCTCAAACGTGTTCAGATGCGTGTCAAAGTGTCGTCGCCGTTCCTCTAATTCAGCTTCTGCTTGTGAATCTATTTGGGAACCAGCTGGAGAGACTGAAATGGCCCAGACATTGATGTTAGAGTCTTGCCATGTGGGGAGTATGACGCCATTCTCGTCCTTGGCCGGTGACTGGTTTGTGTACTCGGTGGCAGTAATGGGTATGCCTTTCCGAAAGATGAACCTCCGGCATGTGCCCAACGCGTGCTTCAGGTTGGGGGGACCATATACGTCAAAATGCGGCTTCGGCGGCGCTTCAGCCTTCTTGCCTCGCTCCTGGGCCAGCCGGAAGGTTTCCATAGAAGTGGTGTAGGAGCTTGTGCTCGCGTCGGCCAGTGTGAGCATCATGCCGATGAGCCCGCCCATATTCTTCCATTCAGCCCTGCCAGTGAGGAAGAAATCCTGTGCCTTCAACAGGCGTGTTCCCTGTTGCACCATTGCACGCTGCGTGCCCTCTGCCATGCTGCCAAAGACATAGTGCTTGGTTGCCGTGCGTAGCACGAGTGTAGTACCTGGGCTATCGGCCGTCGGCGTGGTGATGATTTCAACACTGCAGGACATGATTCTCGAATCTTTCCTCAGGCTGCTACTATCCGCGAGTGGTCTGTCTTTTGCATCGACGGGTTCGAGTGGCTTAGAGGGCGGTACGAGAAGAGGCTGGAATCGAAATTCCGCCCGGGGTCGGCTGTATGATTTCAAGAAACGGACATGGATCGTGGCGGCCGTAACACGACCGGCGGCGCTTAATCTGGAAGCCAATATGAAGATGTTGGAAGCTGATTCAAAAATGCGTGCGCAAAGTCATTGCAGAACTTCGCCCGCGTCACTTTTTTGGCCATCCATGGGTCCGTGCGAGCAAGATCAAGCGGTCCTGTTCCGCGATCCGATCCCTGTCGGCACTACCATCCCGCCATGCCGCGATATATCCATGATCTGGGTATCGTCTTTAATTGTAATTTAGAACTAGCTGATTATCAATATCCTTCGTTCATACTCTAGTCATGTCCTTTTTCTAGATCCTCACGCCTTCTTCCTGAGTGCTCCCCCGTCAACCGTGATGTCCTGACCAGTCACGAAGCCTGCCTCAATCAGATACAGCACAGCATCAGCGATATCCTTCGGTCTACCAGCTCTGTTCGTTGGATGATCTGAGATATCCTTCTCGCTGATCTGGCTGGCCCAATCTGTCCCCTTCTCGTCACCCTCTTTGCTCTCATGTGCCACCTTGATGCGACCGGGCGCGATGAGATTAACCCTGATACCTAGATGCCCCAGACTGATTGCCATTGAGTGCATCAATCCAATCAGACCAGACTTGCTTGATGCATATCCCTCCTGGTTGGGGTCCGATTGGTGTGCGCGGAACGAGCCAATGTGTATGATACACGGTCCTGCAGGGCTGGAGTTGTTTGCGTTCTGCATGTGTGCTCCCTCTTCAACATCAGAGGCTCGTGCCTTCATGTAAGGAACACATGCTTGACTCATGGCAAATGGAGCAGTAAGATTGGTGTCGATGTACGCCTGCCACTCATCAATCGTTGAGGGGTCTTCCATCGTCTTGCCGTCCTTCCATTGAGGACTAGCAATTCCACCATTATTTATGAGAACATCGATTCGATCGTTAAAGAAGCTGGCGGCCTCCTTGACTTTGGCTCGAATCTCATTCACGTTCCGAAGGTCGCAGATGGCATATCCTAGTCTACCGTCCGCGTAGTACTGCTGGAGGTGGACTTTGCACGTATGGTCGAGTTCTTCCTCGTCAATGTCGAAGACGTAGGCGTGGTGACCAGCCTCAAGCATCATCCTGGTCAATGCTCGGCCAATGCCTCGAGCCCCACCAGAAATGATAATGTTCTTGTACAAGGGTGCTACCGGTGCTTGAGGAGACGCCATTTTGAAGTGTGGAGATTATGTTGTGTTTAGGTAAAGACCTTGTCCGCATCTCTGACTGCGGTTTTGATGCTTCCATTGTTTCTGCCAGTACGTTGATCTGACGTCACGCCTCAACACATTGTTTAATGTCGCGGCATCTCGATACGGAGGCAAAAACGCCTGTTATCGTTCGGCCACTGTTTCTGCTTTCCAATATTACCTATTCTCATAACTCCGAGGTCTTTCCAGGATGCGGGAATTTTCTCGCGTTCTCGTCGCGTATATCCTAGCCCTCTTGGTATATAGGAATATTATAAAACCCCACACTGTATGCCCTTTCACTACATAAATCAAATAACAATTGTGCAGATATATCTGGAAGGCTGTTGCTTTGATATCATATCGTTCAATGAATCAACAGATTGTTAATAAGAACCTTTTCATTGCCTCCTGCTATCGGACGAACATGATAGTAGAACGATGAACGCCGTATTTAATCCTCGTACGATCTGCTTGTCGTGTACAGATAACACCCTCAATGTTGGATGTAGTCAATATGTAGTTGTACTGTATCCCACTTTGAGCGGGACAATCGGCCCTTCCTTACTGCTGTCCAATCGTGCGAGGCAATTACACACTAGCAAAGTGGCGGGGATCACTGGGACTTATCGGAGATAACGAGCATATATTTTATTTGGGAAAATTCCAATATCAAAGCTAATTGAAGAAAACACATTTTTCAATGCTGCTGAATCATGACAGCGACTGTGCAAAGGCCAAAGCTGCAACTCAAGCTCATGTTCTAGACGCACCACGATAAACATCACGGTGCATTTTTTCAGAGGCTAGTTCAATCGAACAGTCCAAATCGCATCCATAGATCTTTTATCAAAACAAAAGATTTCCCACATGACGCCTGAGAAACACCAAGTTCCATGAAAGTACAGGTATATGACCACATTGCATGCATCGTTCAAATAAGAAAAAGCGCCGTCAGCCCATCGCACCTAGCCCCATTTATTGCGAACGCTGGTAGACACCCACAACCATGGCGTGGTCACGCTCGAAAGGCTCGAGGGTAAGCTGCTCCTTGGGCTTGATGCCCATCTCTCGTAGCTTGGCGACTTCCTGTGCGAACACAGCCTCGGGGGCGGCTGTGGAGTCGATACAGTTGGCCTTGATGGAGATGACGATACCGCCACCAACCTTCAAGAACATGCCGGCGTTGAGTCCGACAATACGTGCTTGATCAGGCTGAGCAACATCAGCAAAGATGCAGTCGACCATGCCCAAAAGCATCCTGTATTTCGATGGGTGTCTGGCGTCCTCGACAATGGGAATGACGTTGGTGCGGTGGGTGGCCATGTTGATCAGATCACGACCGGAGCGGTGGGAGAATTCGACGGCGAAGACAGTGCCTTCGGGACCGACGATGTCGGCAACGTGGGAGACTGATGTGCCGGAAGCAGCACCAAGGTAGAGGACCTTGGAGCCAGGGCCCATGTAGATGTTGTCGACACCACCCAAGATACCAGCAGCCAACTTGGAACGGAAGGGGTTCCAGACACGGTATTCGGTGCTGCTGGCCTCGGTCTCGCCGTCCTTTGCGGCGCTGGCACCAACGCTGATGCGCTTCTCTCCGTAGACGGACTCTCCGGGGGTCAGGTTCTTGGTGACGAGGAGATCTTCCTTGCCACGAGCGACGAAGACACCAGCATGGCGATGGCTGAATCTAGATTTAGCAAGAGTTGTACTTTGGACGGGGACTCTACTCACGGCTCGACGATAACCTTGGCTCCACCACGCGCGCCTCCACGACCACCGCCGCGAGGACCGCCGC